AAAATCTTACGAATATATCTTTATAATTGTGAAATTTTAAAAATTCTTGTTATTAATAGTTCTTTTGGTGGAAACATTTAAGGAATCAGATTTATTTTTTTAATTAAACGTTAAGAAATTGAGTTCAACTTTAAGAAGCGAATTTAATTTCAATAAAATGATAGAAGTTTGCGTTGAGAGTTAAATCGAATTGTTGAAGGGTAAGATTAAGATGATTCTAACTCTAATATCTATCAATTCATTATAGTTGGCAGCTCAATGGTGATCTTTGTGACTGGTTGCATGATCATAATATTGTTAGGTTTTACGGAATGATATTATTAAAATGAATTTTTTAGAGCATTAATTAGTTTTTTTTTTTTTTTTGTATAAAGAAGTGTTGCCAATACCTGCACTTGTCATTTGAATATAATTTTTATAATTATCAATAGTTATTTATTTATTATTTTTAAAATGATGGTTAACAAGATCGAATGCTTAATTGGTAAAATTATGAATTAATTCAAGCTTGGTAAAGTTTTGTTGTATTTTGTAGTTTATGCATAGAGTATTAAACTGATCAAGATAAGCTAATTTAAAAATTCAATTTCTAACAATTTTTAACTTAAGATGGAAATGAATTTTCAAGTGCTAAATTTATTAAAAAGAGTTAAAATTTGAAACTAAGAAGAAAAAAACCACTAATTTAATTTTAATAATACATAGGAAAATCCTATATTTATTTTCAAAATTAAAAGCTTCAAAAGAAATTTTACAGATAGAAAATGACATTAGTTGACATACTTAATAACATAACAATTTATATATAACTTTTATAAAAAATACACATTAAATTTTTTTTATAAATTTGAGATTTATCAATTTAATATCATAAAATTTTATGTAGTAAAAATTTATTTAATAAATATATAATTAATCAATTATCCAAACAGATTGTTAATGAATAATATGATTTTTCAATCAAGTCAGTGATCAGAACTAATTTAATAATATTAATTAAGGGAGAGGGACATGAGTGACGAGGAGATAACATAAAAGATAAAGTAATTAGAAATTATCAAATTTAATGTATTAATAATATTTAATGCTATAATGTTAATAAAAAATTACCATTAATTTTTATTTTATCCCCTCAGAGCATACGTTAAAATATATTTATAAAATTTAATATTATATATATATATTGAGGGAGATGGAAGAGGGAGTGGCAGCAATCATCCATTCATGAATCATGAGGCTCTGAATGTGGAAACAGAAGACATTAATATTTGATGAGTTCCTTCACTTCTTCCTATGTACGAACAGTGTTAAATCAAATGTGTGTGTGTCACATTCAATGCCTCATAAGCCATTCTTAAATAACTATATCAGAAAGAAGAGTAAAAATGTGAATTTAACAAGTAGCTTAATATTGTTTAAAAAAAATTTAGATTTAAATTTTGTTTATGTTAAAAAATTTTAGTAATAAACTCATAATTACATTCAAGTACACAACTAAGATCAAATTTAAATTAAATTAAATTAAATGAAAAAAAAACTTTAACATCTTAAGTTTAGTATCCAAATGTCTCATCATTTCCTTTCATGGATGAAAATTGAAAACAAGCAACCAAAATAATATTTTGTTTTTTTAACAATTACTCTTTATCTCAATTTTTAATTTATATAGATGCCAAGGCAATGCTTAAGACCCATTTGTTTTGCACCTTTTTGTATAAAATACATATTTTAATGTATTTTTCTCTTAATCAGAATTAATTTTATTTATTTTCAAGATAAACCACCCTTTAATCTATTTAAATATTGACTTACATTAGTTAACACAAACAAATTGCAAATTATGGTAAGCAATTTTATGAAGCAACTAATTTTAAGTTGGGCAATGAAACATTTTTGGGCTTTGCCTTATACCTTCCTCCGCCTTATTAGGAATTTAGGGTCACAATTACCAAAATAAGTCCGTACCATTTATTCAGTGTAATTATATGTACTTTTTTTTGAGTTAGCTCTGCTTCATTTAAAGAGTTTGTTATTTCATCATTGAAACGTCACATAATTAACATTGTATTTAATTATATATTTTTTATATGAAAAAAAGAAAATGATCGTTTTGAAAAAATTTATTAAAATATACAAAAATTTTAAAATTGTCAAAAATTGCTGAGGCATTTTTGGTACTTTATTTTTCAAAATTAATTATTAATTTTTTAATTTCTTATGGTTTTTTTTAAATTACTATCGACGAGTTTTAATATATTTTAAAATATTGTCATTTTTTTTGATAATTTATAAATTTTTCTTATTTTATCTTCGAATCTATACCCACATTTTAAATTTTATATTTTCGTAACTTTTATAAAATGTCATATCTTGATATATATAATCTTTAAATTTCATATTTAAAATAATGACATTTTAATATCATATAATTGTTTTGTGTATTTGTATATACAAAATATATTTATAATTAAAAGAGAGAATAAAAATAGTTTTACTTCAAAAAACATTTCCCTTTATTGTACCTTGTAATGACTTCCTCTTAGCAATAAATGAGAAATAGATGTATTTAATATTTGAAAAATTAAAAATAATTTTTGTTTTGTTCAAAAAATTGAAAATGATTTAATATTTTTCTATAAGAGACTTACGTTACATGCTCCCAACACGGGCTCTGCCTGCCAGGACACATCCTCTGCAAATTTGCAGAGCTTTCAATTTCTGACTACATTACACTTTCAATTTCAGCAACACAAACCACTTGAATCTTTCTCTTTTTTTTATAATACCCAGGGTATCTTCTAATTCTAAGTTGAGGGCTATTCTTTTCAAAGTACAAAGATCATTGAAGTAAGTTTTAATTTTTTTTTCAATAAAGTCTTTTTCATGGGTATGATAAAAAATCAATTTTTTGTTAATTTCTTTAAGAGATATAACTATTTACTAATTATGTTGGACTTTGTGTTGGTAAACCAATTGAATCTACACTTATCTGTAGTATTAACTATGAAGTTGGATAAAAGGGTTATAGTTTTTTCCTCACAACTGTCATAAGAAGCCACAATAATTTATGGATTATTTATTTGTTTTTAAATTTATCAGGTGGCCCTATGTTCACCAATCCTGAAGCAGCTTCAACCTGCTCCTGCACTAATTTATGTGTAGTTTCAGGTTGCCAACTAAGTTTTAGGATCATGTTTCCAAGATATGCTTCATATGAACTTATGAATCAATAGGATGACAAAATATTGAGTGCCGCCAGCCCCACCACCTATTTCTTCCTTCTCATGAAAGTTGATTCACTTCAAAAGAATATTTCATATTTAGTAAAGTTAATTGTATATCAGTTGATACATTATTGAATAACTTAATACATGATAGACCGAGTCAAGTTACAATCTAAAAGACTTGTAGGGAAAAATATGAATAAGTTAATGTAAATTCATTTTAAAAAAAGCATTCAATCTCACTTGTTAGAATGTTTTTTAAAATTTTAATTTTGATTTTATTTTTTTAAATTGTCTCTAAAGACATATGTTAAAAATTAAAAAATTAGTAAGTTCATATTGAAAATAATAATATTTATTATCTCAAAAAATCATAAAAATATTTAATACACACTCATATATAGTAACTTACGACATTTAGTAGAGTATATTTAACATTTCTTAATACATTTCCTTAGACATGCATAAAACAAATTATAATTTTTTTAAAAAAAAAAACTTAGACCCTTTACACAGAATCATATATAGATAGACGTAGATTTTTGTTAGTATAATATAGATTAATTTATGAAAAGTTACTTTCAAGAAATTTACCAATCGCTTCCATTTGATGCATGTAAGCACAAAAACTATTCCAAAGTCTAACATATCCTGTTATATGAAACAAGTCATATTTGTTCTTCTTCGTTACAACAATCTCAGCTCATGTATAACCTGTGCCAGAAGGGTTATTGTTTGATATGCTCAGACTCGTGCAGTACCAAATCATGATTTTGGTTGGTTTTCGAAAATTAAAATCAATGGACGAGGCTTTGAACAGCAATTTCTGTCTTTTCTTTAAATTCTTTCCTTTATTTATTATTTAGTGCATGTTTGATAATATTTAAATTTAAAAAAGATTGCTTATTTTTCAGAAACTTCTCTTCAAAGGTTAGTAAAAATAAACATTTGTTTTTACAAAATAAGTTAAATAAAATATACGCTTAATTTATTGGCACCCACTTCTTGCTGAAACTAGCAATGTACAAGTTGCCTTACACTTGTTTTTGTTGTTACATATACGTCTTTTATATGCATTTCATGAGAAATTGGTACCAAATATAAATTTGAAATATGTGCATGGCATCACAGCTACAAGTGGAGCTACCATTACGCAAATTTCACGTCAATTTATAATAGTAGGCTTGGGATCAACCACAAATTTTAGCTTTTGGTTGTTTTCACTTTTCTACACATTTCAGTGTGCATGTATTCATCATTGCATTTGTTCCGTTATTAAGATCTTGAAACTGTCAGTATGATTCGCTTTCTTCATATTTCAGAAGTCAATGACAGGAAGTGAAGCAATACCAAAAATCACTATTTTCTTTATATTGAGTTATTTGCTATAAATTTTGTCAATTATTTTTTCACCGTCTTATACCATTTCCATAACTCCAATTCCATGTTATACGTGGAAAGCTGGTTTTTTGGTCAACAAGAGGAGCTAAGCCCCAAAACTAGAAACTAAGACTAGGATTAAAAAAAAAAATTACACCAATACAGTCTTGCCATTACAAAGCACCACACCCTTGGGGAGAAGCCTACTTACAATTTTGACGTTGATCAAAGGGTTATATTAATTTGACATTTTATTTCTCATAATTATCTCAAATAAATGAAAACTAACATACCATTAACTCGAAATCAAAGAAACCAAGGCATTCAAATTGAGTTCATTCTAGTAGTTGAAGTGAATGACGATCAGGGAGAAAGTGGATTCAAGACGTGGTAATGAAGAAAAAAACTAAATTACTCGGTACAAACTGGTAGAACAAAAGTTAAATAGCAAATTGGATCAGTGATTATTGTCTTTCAATAAATAAAAGCATTGAATTACAAGATCATTATGGCTAGAGAAAATGACTAAAGCAGGGCTTGTGAAACAGCAAAAAGTCTTCACATCTTTTAGTTTCCTCAGATCCTAACCTTACTTTCTCTTCATATAAACACTGAACAGGAAATGTAACTGCATCGCTTTGATGCATTGAGAAGATAGCTTTGAAGCCCCAATCCTCAACAGTGAGAAAGGAGGGAAGTTTACCTAAATTACACAGCTATGTTAGTGAGATGAGAATTAGAGCTTCCAGAAGGTCTTCTTGGCAACTAGGATTTTCTCTCTGCCATGTGATTCAGGCTCTTTATCGTGTATGGTAGGACTCCATCTCACAGCACGTGCAACACGAGCTACTTTGTCAATCACTTCAGGGGTATCCCTCACCACAACAGTGCCTTCTGGACGCAGCATTCTATCCATTTCAACCATCAAATCAACAAGGTTACATCTGCAATGAAGTCATGAAGTGATGATCAGGGTAAGCTCATTATTTTTATGAAACAATTTTGTATTTGCAAGGATAAAAGTTATGAGAGGTAACATTTTGCATTGGAATAGAGGCGGGCAGCTGTTGTAAGTAGAGATCTGACATCAATTTAATAGAAGGAAATTGGAAATCTAGGCAAATCAGAACCACATTTGAGTATCTGTTCAAGTACTCCTTGATCCATACTATGTTTTTTATCAATAATTCCAGACATATCAATAAACAGCCTGTCTTCTAGTGATACAAGTTCTACAAATGCTACCCAATCAAAATAATGGAACAGTTGCAGAAGCAGACCATCAGTTTTTATATTTGAAAATTAACATTTGAATGCAATAAATTTAAAGTGTAAAACATTCATATTAAAGGAAACAAAAAATAATCATATTAAAACAAGTCATAGATGCAGTGAAGGCATACACAAGGCTTCAACATACACCACCAGATAGCAGTAAGTAGTAATTGTTAATTGTAAGCACATCATGCAGTGTGAAGGCATGCTTGGCTTCTGATCAAATCTAACACGTTAATTAATAGCCACAAGTCAGTTAAGGTAGCAATCCCGTGTTAGGAGTTAGGAAGTTAGTTAAGACAGTTAAAAATATTAATTGGTTAGTTTGGGGGGTTAGTACAATCTTTCTTTCCTTTTCTATATTTTCTAATTTAGAGTTCCTAACATCTTGTCTCACTTTTTCTCCACTTGTTCATGTACAAATATTTGAAAATAATGACTGAAAATTCAAATTAGTAAATTCAATCATATCATGACAACCCCTATAAAGTCTTAGACCAATAGGGAAACAGTTGACGAAGCCAGAGCTATGACTTCAAATAAGCTCTTTAGAATGAAAATACCTGCTTTTGCCAGAGGCTGGATCCTTTATAAGTGATTCAATGCTGGCCACGTGGATCAGGTCGTAGGTACGAGGATAGGTTGAGAAAGGTTCACACCTGGGAAGAGTAACCAAACTTAGATCTAAATTATTACAAACAGTAACATGTGTTCAAATGCACAGAAATAAAATTGTTGCCTAAAAGCAGGGTCCTAGTTGTAAGTCTAAAATGGTGAAGTACTTCAGTTTTCAATTTTATAATAACTAGAAGATGCTAACTACTTTTTTTGTAAGGACTCCCCAAAATCACAAACATGTACAATTATAAAATCTATTAAAAAATTATTTACTGTCCCTAGTCATTCATTATTTTGCTTAAGTGAGCATATTGTCACAGCAATTTAGATCCAAGGCACAACAACCAATCTTTTTTCCACTATGTGAGGTCGGCTAATTTAGATCCTAGGTACTAAAGCTAAAAAAAGAACTAGATCATATAGATAAATTCTGATACACAAAGACATATATAGCAAAATACAAGATAAAGTATAGTAGAAATTACTAACTGCCTGGAAAGGAAAAGACGCAAGCATGGCAAGCAAGTCAAACTGTAGACCAGGAATCAACTTGTAAGCAACATAATTTCAGTGAACTCCTAGCTGAATGAAATAGTCTTTGGTATTAGAGTATGAAAAACCTTTATCATTAAACACAAAACATTTTTTTCCCTCAAGTCATGTCAACACTCAAGAATGTGTCAATTTATAAAGGAGGGTGTCTACCATTGATTAAGACAAGCCAAAGGATAAAATATAAAAAGTCCTTTTTAAAAGGCTTGAAATTTTCAGAAAAAAACTCACCAATCATGATAGACACCAATAAGGCCTCTGTCAAATATCACATCAAGAGTAGAAGGCTTGCGAGCTGGAACAACATTCATTACCCACACAGGATCAGAATGTAGTGCTGCCGCAAATCCACCAAAAAATGCATTCATGTCCATGACATTGCGTATTGCTGCAGTCCCCAACTTTATGTTTAGAGAATTCTTATAGTGCGCAATTCGCCTTACCCATCTCTTAGTGTCAGCCTCATATACATCAGCACCATTTTTTAGGAGTTTGGACCTGGGTGGTGGAGCAGTTAGCCTCTCTGGCCACTTGGGAATCGTGCCAATATCATATTCTCCTTTTACAGAAGATGTCCTAGTGACACACTTCTTCAATTTGAAGTACCTGCAAAATAAATTATCTTAATTGTGGATTCCCAAGTAACTACACTATGAGAAGTTTGTAAACAAATAATAATGATAACATTCTTCCAAACACTATTTATTATGAGGTCAATATGATACAGAAATGTGTAGCAAGCAGTAATAATAGACAGTTAAGATAATACATTATCAATGTTGAAAATGTGAAGCAAAGATAGTGAAGAGGAAAAATTGACTACCAAATGCCTAAAGGAAATTACCAAGCAAAACTTGGGTCATCTGAATCATTACATAAGTCAAGACCAAATTCATTTTGGTTGGGGAGACACATATCCCCTGCTGGCTTTTTCCAGATCACAGTGTTACCATCTACGGCAATCAGTTCATAACACAAAGCTCTTGCCACCGCCTGGAGATCCGACCATTCTTTATCTTGTTTAGGCCACTGAACAGGGGGGCCAGAGATGACTAAGTATCCACCAGGGCGAAGTAATCGGTCCACTTCAATGAAATAAGTTGCATCTGCAAGGCAGGGGGGTTTCTGCATTAGGGCAGTGACATCTATTTAGAAAATTGCAAGATGTGCAAAGGTCAACTGCGATGAAGAACTTACTGTAGGCTGTAAAAGGGATTAAACACCGAGAACAATGGACTAAGTCAAAGCCAAAGGCAGGAAATGGGAGTCTGCGAGTACCAAGCATGGCGACAAAAGCTGGTATTCCTCTTTCAAGAGCAAATTGTATCTGCGATTTGTGTGAATCTCTTGGAGCAAAAGACACGGTTAATATGTTTTGAGACAGTAAATATCCTCCAAAACTAGCAACCTGTAAAACATGAGATATTTTCACGTTAAACAACATTAAATTTTACTAAGATCTCAAGAGGAAAAAGGACAATAGCTCCTACCCCACATCCCATATCAAGAGCAGTCCTCAGAACACCACCATTCATTGGAATGTATAGACCAAGTTTTTCAATATACTGCTCTGCTCCATCTGGAAACATTGTACCACCCCCAGGGAATATAAAGTGAGGGCCTTCAAGCTTCATCCATCCCTGGTGACCTTTCCTGTCAGCAATCTTGTTGTGTGGCATGTTGCTGTGCCATATCTACAGAGCATATATTAGTACTTTCAGATAAATGGATCACAAAGTGACATACATCAACAACATCCTAAAAACACTTTTCTGAAACACATAATTTCTTATTCTGGAGGCAAATATTTTCATCTTAGGTTCTTAAAACAAACGTCTTAGGGCCTAGGTGGCTCCATAACATGGCTGCCAGATAATTTGAACAGAGAATTCTATTAGATCAATGATTACTTGCACAACCACATAGCATTTGAGAAGTGATCCTGACGTGGACCCTATCAACTGGCACAACCTAATTACTTCATCATTTTAAAAACCAAGACACATGAATTTAATCCCTCATATTGACAATGGGGGGCTGGATCCAGAATCAGCTTAAAATGCAATCATTTTTTTCTATTAAAGACCTCCACTCAGACTCCAAAATCTTGCAAAAACAAGATGCTAACAAGTTAAGCCCACTTAATCACATATTAGAAAAACTCAGAAACAAGTTCCTATCTTCCAAACATGATAATTATTTACTTGCCAAACACCAACATAATAGTTCCCTACGTAAAACCACCACAAATCACCATAATCAAAATAAGTGTCCTACTAACAAGCACCCTAATAACATTGACTAAGAAATTAATATATATATATATATATATATATATATATATATATATATATATATATATATATATATTAAAATCTACTTTGAGGTTATATTAAAAATGAAGATGTGTTAGTAACATTTTTTATAAAAGCATTTTAATTTTACTTTTAATTCCTTATCCACTACTCTAACAACCAAATAACAGCAGTCACCAAACTTCTTTTCAGCACTTTCTCATGATATAATCCAAAAGCAGGCAAACTGCATATACCTTGTGCAAGCTCTCAGGCCACTGCACCGAAACCTTATAGCCACTGGGCGGTGGAATGAGGCAAAGTGGCGTAGTCTCTGACGGAGGGCAATGCCTCTCTCTGTAGTAATTCATCTCTCTGCTCAATTGGCTGTTCAGCCTCGGATCCTCGCATGGCATGTGGTCGGCCGCATCGGCGGGGCACGCCTCAATCACTCGAGGCTGCCCCGCCTCAATCGCCGCCACCACGCGCTGGCGCTGTTGCGGATCCGAGGCCGAAAGGAGCAAAGTTTGGCGCCCCGATGCGGCGAGCGAATCGCCCATCGGGGTGAAGACCAGCACGAAGAAGAGGAACACGAGGCCGAAGAACGCGGCGGAGACAAGGTCCAGAACCCGCCATTGACGAGGGCCACCACCGCGCTTTGAAGCTGGGAGGTTCACGTGACCCATTTGGAATGGAATTGGATCCAATCAAAACGGCATCTGGGTTTTGCGTTTTGAAGCGTTTTGTGGTTAAAAATGGGTGTTTTTTAAAGTGAAATTGCGGAGGGATGCTTGGTGGGTCGGAAAATGGAGTTTAGTTTGAGAAGTGCTTTTGGTTGAAGATGGGTTTTGGTAAGTGTTGGGTTATTTTGATGTGAGATTGAAGAAGGTTTATTGGAGGAAGAAGAAGAAGAAGGATCTGAGATTCTGTGTGTTCACTGGGTTTTGTTTGCATGTGTTCAGTATTCAAAGCCACTCTTTTCTTCAGATAGATCAATGACAGTGGAGTTTTTTCCTACTATCTTAGATTTTTTTTATTTTTTTTTGGTGGAGTACTAATTTAAATATCTGAAAGACTGAAACACTCAAAATTCACATCCTATCCATGTATTGTTATTTTTATACTTTATATTTTTTAATAATAGATGCATTTAAAAAATTTGTTTAAAATATAAAAAGCAATTAAAGATATTTATTTTTATAATATATTAAGCATTTTAGTTTTTCTATGTAGAATAATGGGATATAGATCTTATGGCAAGCAAAATAATAATAAATAAATATCAATATATGAAGCAAATAAATCTTAACTAGCTGCTGGAGAAGAGAATATTTTGTTTGAAAGAAGAATTTGGACAGGGAATGCTAGGACAAATGCTTCGGAAACTGTACAAACACGTGTTTCTAGTAAAAAAAAATTCTGGAAAGATTGGATCGGGCATAAGAAACAAAATAAAATAGTAAGAGTTCGTTTGATTTTTTTAAAACATTTTTTAAAACGAAAAAATAAAAATTATTTGTTAATATATGTTTTATTTTAATTTAATTTTTTTTAAATTATTTTAAAATATAATTTTTTAAAATTAAAACAAAAACAAATAAGCCTTAATTTTAAATTTTTTTTATAAAGACTTACTACTTTTACCGAAAACAATTTGTTTATAATTTTATGTCTCTTGGGTGTATATATATATATATATATATATATATATTTATCTCATTTTCTTAAATTGCACGTATATCCTTTCACTTTTTTTAAATAAATTATAAATTTTTTACTTTTAATTTTGAATCATGTTCTAAAGTAATTATGATCGAATGACTTAAGTTTATAAAATTACAAAATAATAATATTATATTACTATACGACGTTTAAAATTGAGGGGCGTAACTTTTTTTTTTTTATAAATGTGTTAGACTTCTTTACTTTAAACATTATCATTTGATATAGTAAATGTTTTTGATTTAGATTTTAAAAATAATTAAAATAAAAAATTATAAACTTTGTATTTAGAGAGAATTAATGAAATATGTATTATAGATTTTTTTTACAAAGACTAATTGGCTTGGCATAACCATTCTTTTTATATAATAAAAATTCTTTGAGAATTTTAAAAGTGAAAATAATTGATAGTCTATATAGTTGAATAAATAATTTGTTTTAAAGGTGAAAAAAATGCTAATAATCTTTTTGGTTCCTACATTTTAAACTTGTGTCTATAGTGAATTTATTTTTTTCTTTCTAAATATAACTCATTTTGATCATGTTGTTCTTTGCCTTGTTACATGACTTCTTATAAACATCTAAATAGAAAAAGAGAAGGAAATCAATAGCTCGATGATGACTTATATATTGAGGTACCAGTTAGTTTGAGAAAACAAAACTTGTAGAATTGAGTAAATTTTCATTGGTTTAATTACTATTATTAAATATTATATTATTTTTAGTTAAGTGTTAGTTGAAGAAGCCTTGATTTGTTAAGTTAGTTATATTTACTCTTGTTATAACTAATTATAGGCTTGTTATCTCTTCCTCTATAATAACTTAACTAGTTGATTCTTATGATCATGATTAACAAATAATTTGGTGAGGTACCTTTGTTAAGTGCACAGAGATCAAGTGTGAAGAAACCAACTCTTGTAAAATTCTTATAATCTCTCAATTAAAAAGATCAAAAATAACTTGAAGAGTGGATTTAAGATTCAATTCAAACCATTATAATTCGTGTGTTCTTATTTTTTGTTTCAAAAGTTTTTGACACTATCATTTTTGCATCCTAGTAGTATTAAATTAAATTGTTTTGTTGCTATCTAATATTACAATTGGTATCACAACTTCGGTTAAAAAAGGGGCAATTTCGCAATGAGCTCAACAAAGTTTAAAATTAAGAGATTCAATGATGACATGATTTCAACTTACGGAGGATAGAGATGAAGGTGTTTTTGGGTTAAAGATGCAATCGTAGGTGAAAACAAATTATCTGCTACCTTGACAGATAATGAAAAGAAAGAAATAATGAGTAAAACACATAACTTGATCATTCTATCTCTGAGTGATAAGGTGTTGAGGGAGGTAGTTGGAGAAACCATTGCAACGGGTGTATGGCTAAAGCTTGAAGGATTGTATATAATAAAATCCTTGATAAACAAGTTATACCTAAAGAAGAGATTAACTCAAGATGGAGGAAGGATCATCCATAAAGGAAGATGTATCTCTGTTCATGAAGGCTATCTTGGACTTGAAGAACATTGATGTGGAGGTTGATGAAGAAGATCAAGTTATTATGTTCTCTTCCACCATCATACAAAAATATTGTTGATACTATAATGTTTGGAAGAGAATCACTCACTTTAGAAGAAGTCAAAGCTACACTGAATGCTAAGGAAACCAAGAAGAAAATCACCGAAATCAAAGGGGAAAATGTTGATGTTAAAAGTTTGTTTAAGGCAAATTTGAAAAAAAGGAGAACAAATCAAAGAATCTAAACAAGAAGCCAAAGACTAAGAAGTCTTGTTACTTCTGCCACAAGGAAGGCCATTTTTTAAGAGATTGTCTAGAAAAGGAAGAAAAAGAATAATGACAGATCTTGCAACTATGGTAGATGGATATGAAAGTTTTGATGTTCTCATTGTCACTGATTATTCATGTAGTCAAGAATAGATTCTGGATTTAGGGTGCACCTTCCATATGACCTTAAATTTGAATTGGTTTGATACTTACAAGAAAGTGGATCTTGGAAGGGTTCTAATGGGCAATGACACTGCCTGCAAGGTAGCTAGTATAGGGATTGTCAAAATCAAATAAATGATGAATATGTAAAAACCCTTACTGAAGTTAGACATGTGTTTGAACTCAAGAGAAACCTTATTTCTATTGGCATGTTAAGTGAGGCAGGGTGTGATTTCAATGGAGAAAGTGATGCAATTGTTATAGAAAAAGGAATCCAAGTAGATCATGAAAGGAATAAGGCAGAATGGTCTTTATAGGCTGCAAGGTAAAATATTTATCAATTTAACTAATTCCTATTCAGTGTCTAAGGATAATTCAATTATAGTATGACATCTTAGACTAACTCGTATTAGTGAGAAGGGATTAGAAGAATTGCATAAGTAAGACTTGTAAGAAGGAATCAATTATAATAAATTGAATTTTTGTGAACATTATTTATATGAAAAATAGCAAAGGGCTAAGTTTTCTACTACCACACATACTACTAAAGAGATTCTAAACTATGTGCATTCTGATATATGGGGACCTGCTAGAACTCAATCACTAGGTGGAGCCAGGTATTACATTATTTTAATTGATGATTGATTAAAGAAAGTGTGGATATGTCTGCTGAAGCACAAAAACCAAGCTTTCAAAACCTTTAAATAGTGTAATGCTTTGGTTGAAACTTAAACTAGAAAACAAGTCAAGGTGCTTAGAACTGATAATGGTTTGGAATACTTGAATGATAATTTCAATGAGTTTTGCAAAGATAATGGGATTACAAGGCACAACACAATCAAATTAACTCCTTAACAAAATGGCCTAGCTGAGAGAATGAATAGAACCATTTTGGAGAGGATTAGGTGCATGCTTTCTAATGCCAAGCTCAGTAAATAGTTTTGGAGATAAGTTGTTCATACAACTGCATATATCATCAATAGATCTCTTTTTGCAGCCTTTCAGTTCAAGACACCAAAGAAACTTTGGATTGGTAAGCCACCAAGCCTTAAACACATAAGGATTTTTGGTTGTAATACATACATTCACACTAACGAGGGGAAGTTAGAACTTAGATCAAAGAGAAGGATTTTCCTTAGATATCCTGGTAGAGTGAAAGGATACAAAGTATGGATTTCTAAATCTAGAAGAGAAAAGATAATTATAAGCAGAGATGTTGTCTTTCAAGAAGAAAACACGATGAAGGATCATAAATAGGACCTTGTTGTTCCAAAAATTGCCAAAACAAAAATGAGAGTTCATTTGGAGGTAGAGCTTACTATCCGAAGGCAACTTGATGAGATCATCATTCACTAACCTAAAGGAACTCAACCTGAAACATACTAAGGTGATTACATATTGACCAGAAATAGGAAAAGGAGACGTAGTAAAGCTCCAGAGAGGTATGACTATGCAATTATTATAGCCTATGCCTTAACAATGGAGTATGAGGAGACTAGCATTGATTTAGTTAGTTACATAGAAGCCAGATTAAGTGCTTATTGTAAAAACTAGAAAATTGCTATGGTGGAAGAGTATGATTTTCTCATGAAGAACCATACTTGGGAACTTGTGAAAAGGCTTGAAAGCTAAAGACTTATAGGCTGCAAGTGGATTTTTAAAAGAAAACACGAGATTCTTGGTGTTAAGAAGGGTAGGTACAAGGCAAGGCTAGTGTTAAAGGGCTTCTCACAGAAAAAAAAAAAAAAAAAGGATAGATTACAATGAAATATTTTCACTTGTGGTCAAACACACTAGTATAAGAGTGATTCTAGTTCTAGTAACTTCCTATAATCTAGAGCTTGATCAAATGGATGTAAAGACAATATTTTTACATGGTTTGCTTGATGAGGAAATATCCATGAAACAACCTGAAGACATGAAGTGATAGGAAAAGAAAACATGGTCTATTTGCTAAAGAAATCGTTGTATGAACTTAAACAGTCTCCACGGCAATGGTACCTCAGGTTTGATAATTTTGTTGTGTTCAAAGGATATCAAAGAAGTTCTTGTGATAGTTGTGTCTATCTCAAGAAGAAATTCACTGGAAACTACATATATATGCTCTTATATGTAGATAATATGTTAATAGCTAGCAAAGATGTTGAAGCTATTAAAATACTAAAGCAGGTTATAAGTTCAAAATTTGAAATGAAAGATTTAAGAGAAACAAAAAGGTTTTTGGGTATAGACATCGTGAGGGACAAAAGTAAAGGCACAATTCATCTTAATTAAGGAAGCTATGTTAAAAAGGTCTTGAACAGGTTCAATATGTTCAATGCAAAACCAATTTCTACTCCTGTTGCTGGTCATTTCAAATTGTGTTCAAATCAATCTCCCAGGTATGAAGAAGAGTACAAATTCATGAGCAATGTTCCACATGCTAATACAACAGGTAGCTTGATATATGTCATGGTTTGTTCAAGATAAAATATAGCTTATGAAAGAGGTCTAGTTAGTAGATTTAGGGGGAATCTTGGCAAAGAACATTGGATGATAGTCAAATGGATGTTCATATACTTGAAGAGGACTTCAAATATTGGATTGAGGTTCAATAAATCAAAAACTGACAATAATTCAATCACTGGATATGTGGATGTTGACTATGCAAGTGATATAGACAAGAGAAGGTCAATAACTGATTATATCTTTACTCTACATGGAAATATAGTTAGCTAGAAAGCAAATCTTTAATCAGTTGTAGCTTTATCAACTAATAAATTAGAATATATTGCTCTGATTGAGGCCATGAAGGAAGTCATCTAGATGAAAGGAATTGAAGACTTAGGTTATGTGTGATAGCCAAAGTGCTATATATTTATCTAAGAATTAATCATTCTATGAAAGGATAAAGCATATAGATGTAAAGTTTTATTTCATCTAAGAGATCATTGTAAAATGTGTGATTCAACTCAGTAGAATTGATATTGAAGATAATTTTGCAGATATGTTAACCAAGGTTATCCCTACTTCTAATTTTGAACACTACCTAGACTTAGTAAGCATTTGAAGACCTGGTAAGTAAAGTTTCAAGTCAGATTTGGACATCTATTAGAGTTAAAGCTGTTCATAAAGACTCACGGTGGAGATTTGTAGAATTAAGTAGATCTTCATTGGCTTAACTGCTATTATTAGATGTCATTATATTGTTTTTAGTTAAGTGTTAGTTGAAGAAGCCTTGATTTGTTTTTAAGTTAGTTATTTCTGTTATAACTAACTATAGGCTTGTTATTTTCTCCTTCATAATGACTTAACTATCTGATTCTTATGATCATTATTCACAAATAATTTGGTGAGGTACCTTTGTTGAGTGCATAAAGATTGAGTGTGAGGAAAGCAATTCTTGTAAACTTCTTGTAATCTCTCTGAATTAAAAAGACCATAAATACCTTGAAAAGTGGATGCAAGATTCAATCTAAACTAATATAATTCATGTATTCTTCTTCTTCTTTCTTGTTTCAAAAGTTTTCTACACTATCATTTTTGCATCCTAGTAGTATTAAATTGAATTGGTTTGTTGTTGTCCAATATTACATATACGAGTAAAGTTAGAATAAGGTGTCCAAGCCAAGGATGCAGTAGGTATTTCACGGAATAGGTTTTTCAAAATAGGTTTGTTGGAGAGCAATTAAGATTTCAAATTGACAACAATATTTAAGTACTTATTTTGTTTTAAATTCAAAGCCTTTCAAGTCATGTAGTACATTTAGTTCATAAGTTTATAAGGCTTTGAAGTGTGCTACTTGTACTTTACAAAAAAGCTTAACTCTGTATTTTTAAGTCAAATCTTTGTAATTGGTTAAAGTTCAATCGTAAACAAGTAAATTGGAGGCTCTAGTTTTGTAAAGTTATTAGAGTTTTCTAAGTAATTTAACAACTTAAGATGTGTGAAAGCAAATGACTTCACCCTAATTCTAAATATTTAGTGACTTGGTCTTTAAACTATGCACTTGATTGTGAGTGGCATAATCGAGTTGGGGGTTAAATTTTTTGTTCCATTCAATTATCAAATTTATTTATTTTCTAGGTTTTACTACTTTTCTGCGCAAAATATGAATGCCACTAAGGCCCAAGAAAACTAAGCATCAAATTCTATCAAATTTTGAAAAAGTTGAAGTAAGAACTTACTTTATCACTATACATATACAAAGTTTCTTACACAAAAATTTTCTAACATTTCAAGGTATGAAACATATAAGTAACGGGCATTAATATTTTTCATACATTAATAACTAGTTACCCAACATTTCATTTAGTAACAATACTTAGTTGTAACCACACACCATTTTATTTTATAAAATAGTCGGCAAACTGTACAAAGTAATTTTTAGTAGTCGGCAAACATTTTATTTTGTTCTCTCGTAAGATAGCACAAAGTTATTATTAAGATGAGATGATATTAATTAGTACTAAATATTACTGTGGAAAAAATTATAGTTAATGCCAATACAGTCATATCATTAACTTATACGAGTTTAATACCGATGGTCATATACAACAACTGGTTATTTTTGCATAGGCAATCTTGAACTAAAATTTTGAGCAGATAGCATTTTGTCGTTGCACAAGTACAACTTCAATGCAATTTCGACCAAAGCATTGGGTAAATATATCAACCATGATCTTTGGAGAACCCACTCTATTATATTTATCTGCAGACTATTTGAAATAGATCAACAGAATGGTTTCTAACCATCAAAGCTCCAGACAATGAATGGTGTTACCCAAAAAGATGCGTTGTATTGAATAGAAAAAACACTAAATAAGGGGGTTGGAATAAAGGAAAGAAGATCTTTGGGACAAATTAATTAAAATTATAAGGGAGTATATACAAAAACAACCATAATATGCAGTTAAATGTTTGCACAAATGTATGTTCGCAACCTCGACTCAACCCACCATAAGGTAAGGAAATCTTTTTAACTTCACTCTAGAAACTTGCTCCGTTATATTTGACCAATGCCACATGATATATAAAATAGCAACCTTGGTCCCATTATCAACAGTCCAAAATCATAGTTTCCTTAATGCCCTAAGATTGTAGTCATGCTTGATAAGATTTGATCTCAGTAACATGGAACGAACATCACGGTCAAATTCCCTTCCGGTTTCCAGAACCCTTTGAAAGGTGGCATTCCTTTGATCTGCATGCCGTGCATACAAAATTTTGTTGTGCGAATCAATTCGAGCCTGCAAAGTGAAATAGGTTCCATAAATGATACAGTTATAATCGCATCAAGATTATTTTATTGTATAAACATAAAAAAGTTAGAATTATCTTCAGAAGAAATTTGGTGGCCAAAGGCAAATGAAAAAATTGAGAAGCATGTAATACTGGGATTTGTAGATTTTTGCCATTATAAATACAACCCAGTGGAGCTATGGACCATGAAAACAATGCATATTAACTCCAACCAGACCTGTATTTGATTATCAGTAATCAATGCTTCAAGTTCTTTCTCAAGTCCGGCAACAGTTGTCTTGAATGCATTAGCCATCATGTTCAAATCAACGGAAACAAATGGGTGTGTATACTGGATAAGTGCTTTGTGACGAATTTGATCATAGAGTGTCTCAACATGGTCATGCAAATGTATATCAAGCAATAGGTTTGCTTTGAGGTTTCCAAGGTATTCCAGACATGAAGCATAGTGACTGCAAAAAGGAATAAAAGAGATAAAATTTACACATGCACACAGAGAGAGCCAGTTAAAGAGAAGTAACAAGAGGAAAGTAAAACACTGCAAAGAAACAATTTGAGCAAGACATAGCAAATGTGTGTGAATACAAAACATTAACACTTTGTGTTAGACAAGTATTGAAAGATTTATCCATCTCAACTCAATAATCAGTCAAAACAAATAGCCAACCCCATAACAATCAATTATGTCTAACTGTCAACAAAATAATGTCAACATTCTTCATGCAAAAATCGCAGTATAATTTTTTAAAACTCTGGCCATTTTTTTAGACATATATAGCTTAGCACCATGCATGAAGAACTTCATGTACCTATGCTATCCAGATTCCAGTGCAATTCCACCTAACCGATTCTTCATAGATTTATTTTTAACTCAGTTAAGCATGAAAAAAATGTGATGCCTAGTGAGAAAGAGAGCAAAATCACCAACTCACCTTGAGTAAAAATCATTTATCAGTTCCCTTACTTCAGGCACCAACTCTAAGAAATTGCGGAAGTTGGAATTGTCTATAACTTTGCTCTGCCAAATATTACCAAAAGAAAACAGAAAGATCACGAAGACAATGTCATCAATGTCTCATAGCAGTCATTGTGAAGAAAAATAATCATAACAGTATAACAGAGTACTTGCCTTTAACTCTGACCGATCAAATGTTGCAAGTGCACACAGTCCTCCATATGTTGCAACATCTTGAGGTGCAATGACTTCATTATAGTGACTTCCCAGTTCTGGTCCCGTTTCTAGAAACTGCATTATGACGAAAATGAGGTTGCCTAAGCTATAAGCAATCAAGTTAATATGTTATCATACATCAAAAAATAATAAATGAATAAAGCCCAGTTTGGTTGAGCAATTTTAGAAGTACATGTAAGAAGAAAAGATAAGGGGAATAAAACAAATGAAATCTTTCTCATAAGTTAAAATCAACTTATGCTCTTTTATTTTTTAAAAGTTTTCTCAAGTAAACTTCTTTAAAATATGAAGTGCATAAGTTGATTTCAACTTGTGAGAAGGATTTTATTTGTTTTATCTTCTATATGTGCTTCTCGAGAATCTCACCCAAACTAGGCCTAAATGTAGAATCGTTGTTCCTCAAAATTCTAATCTGGGATTTCATATATTGCTAGAATGACCCAGTTTAGGATGATCCTGAGCAGTAAAGTAAAAAAGAAAGCTAAAGAACAGACCTTCCGGGCAGCAAGCTTGTACTTTTTGGCCTCTAGATTTGCCAGTCCTGCAGCACATCGTAGCTTTGCAATTGTTGTTGGCTCAAGGGCCTCTGGTGCTTGTTCTGCCTTGCTAACATTGCTTGTAACATGAGGAAATTGACCCATCTCAATGCTGACCAGAATCACACTCATACACATATGAATAATGTGTTTGGATGTAGTGCAATAATCCCGGGTGCGGGCATAACTTTTAAAAGCATCCCCCAGTTGACCATGAGCATAGTAAAAGTCTCCAAAATCATTGTATCCCATTCTAATGCTTTCTTTAATCAAATTTGTCTGCAGAAAAGAAAGGCAGGCTGAAAGAATTGATAGGACATGGAAGCAATGGCAATTTATGAAAAAGCAGGTCTTATCAAAATATCGTATAAGAGAACAATATCCCTGAAAACAGAAACAAATAGCAAAACCTATCCATTTAGCTTCACTTGTTATTCTTTTTGACTTTAGTTTGGGAGGCATCCATCTGGCTTCTTTAAAATGTCAATTATGGAAAACATATTCATAAGATCCACTGAAGAACTACTTCAGAATTCAGCACCATATCAAATCCAAATGACATGACAATATAAGCTTGCATGTTTTATTCTACCGCTGGTCTTAAAATAAGACTGTTTTTTTAACTACTTCACAAAAATTAAGAAAAGTAGTTATCTTCATCGATGACATTAAATTTTTTGACAATTTGGATAATTTTTTCAAACTACCCTTAAAATTATTGGCACCCATCGTCTACTCTCCTACATAATTAATCACTTTGCCTCAACTAAACGGGGGAGGGGGGGTTGTTTGTAACAAAATAATTAATGTAAGAGACAACTTGCAAGGGGTCTTGTAAAGAAATACCATGACAAACTCCCAAAATGGGTCTAATATTTAGGACCAGAGGTAGTACATTTGTAGTGAGCCCTGACATAACCACCGAATACAAAACAATGCGAGTGTTCAGTCTAATAGCACACAACATCTATATAACTATCTGCAGAACGCTTCGTTTGAAGAAAAACAAGTCTTTATCTTTCATAAATAAGTACGAGAGTATCAAAAGGGCCAGGTGAAAGTGAAACTGACTACTGTCACCAAAAACACATACAGCATATCCCAAAAGTTTGCTGAACGTATACAAAATACAATAGTTGACAGTAAGCATTAACAGAAACCAATGTTATAGTCAAATAATAATTTGAAATCGACAAACAAGTTGCAATCCACCACAGAAAAAAAAAAAAAAAAAAAAACCAAGGAATTGCTCTTTAGTCTGCGCAAACACCACTTATCAATTATTATCAATGACACGTATGTTTGAAACACCCAATAATCAAAGTAAACTGAACATGTACTTAATCCTTAAATTAGGATAAATAATGATCATAGTTTTCAAAAGCTCTCTAGCAAAAATAATATATTGTTTCTTAGAAATAACTTTAACGCCTAAACCAAATATCCACGAATAAAACATACACGCGCAAATAAGATAGATTTTAGGGCAAAAGCAGAGAAAATTTTAACTACAAAATAATCAAAATCAAAAAGCGTGATTAGAGATAATACCCTATAGGCATTGAGTTCGTTCTCGAGCTTCTCCTTCTTCTGCTCAGCTCTTCGATCGACAGCATCGCACCAAGTCGTGTCCATGGCGTAGTTAGGTCCCAACCTTCCATCGATTTTCTGCACGACTTCCCTGAAGAGTTGCGTGTTCTCGCCCTTCTTAATCTCGTCGTAAGCCATGCGAAGCGCCTCAAGCTGCATCGCCGGGTTGTTCATCTTGTCGGCGATGAAGAGAAGCCTCATGATCTTCGTGCGCCCCGAGTAGAGCGAAGCGTAGGCTTCGATGTCGAGCTGGTCACCGCTCATGATCGCTCGCCGGCTGCGCTTCTCACCGTCGTCGCCGCCGCCGTTGGCGTAGATTTCGTCGATCATCGGACCCGAGGTCTCGTCGTCGCCGTCCATGTCGACGAGAGATTGGGATTAGGGTTAGGGTTAGGGTTTTGTGGGAGAGGTTTGTTTCTGTGTGGTGTGGTTCACTAATCCCTGGGTGCGGTGGCTCAGTCAGGGTTGCTTTCTAGTGTCACTATGCACGGAGATAGATCGCTTCTTCTTCAACGCTTTTTTCTCTACATAGTGCCGTTAAGATAACTAAACGTGGTCGTTTCATGCGTGGTCATAACTCCATTCTAATATATAATCTATTTTATTAAACCAACTGTTATGTTTGCTTTTAAATAATTAAACAAATTTTATGTCTAATATATTTTTAGTAAAAATATAACATTTATTATCTCAAAATGATAAAAAATAATTAATATTTTTACACACTTCAAAAAATTATATTTTAAATGTCTTAAATTGAAAATAGAATATCTTATTATATTTTAATCATTTTTATTCAATACTTTAAGAATAATAATTGATGCTATTTATATTTCAACATAAATTTTAACATAATAGATATAATAAATAATGATATGAGATTTTAAAATATTAATTTAATTATAAAATTGATCTTATATTTGATATTATTGCTTTTAGTTTTTACATAAAGAATTTAATATTTTAGTATTTATATAAAAATATTTATAAAGTTAATATTAAATTTAATTCTTATATATGACATTATTTACTTACATTTTATTTAGCTTATATTCATATACGAAAAAAAAAATTTGATTTAAATTTTACACATAGTATGTTGTTTTTTATTTTAATTTTTATATTAATAATACACTAATATTACTTAAAATAGTATTTTTTGTATATAAAATTAAATATAGTGAGTTACTTAAAATAATACTATTTGGAAAAATCTATGTAGCAAAAGTTTTTTTTCCTAATATGTACAATAGTTTTATTAAATATTAAAAAATTAACCATATTTCATTAAAAATAAAATTATAATTACATTTATAAAAAAATAATTTTTTTAATAAAATTTTACTACAAAGAAGCATCTTTTCACCCTATTATAAATTTTAAAAAATCTTATTTCATTGGCATAGTAATAGACACTGACCTCACTCTACATAAACTCTCTTCTTGGTTCCTCCCAGAGATCGAGCGAGCAATCACTGGAGCGCAGCAGAGTTTGTTGCCGCAGAAACTAGAGGTTGAACACTCTTCACTTCCTTCTTCCACCGTTTATGGAAATTGAAACGCCGATCCCATAAAAAAAGAAAGTTGCTTGTTTGTTTATGGAAATTAAAATGCCATACATCTTTAACACTCAAATTCATTTGTAATTATTTAAAATCCGTCGTATAATGTGAAATTATGGTAGTGTCTGATATTTGCAGTTACATTTGTAATTATTTTCTTGAAGCGGATGGACAGATACATGTATGGCAATGTGGTTCATAGAATTGCTTTATTTTGTTTAATTTTAGTTTTTCATAGCCTCTCAATATTTCTTGGAAATTGAAATCTTAATAATTTTGCCAAACATAATCTAAGAAGCTAAATTTTCTGTGATTTATTTTTCTACTTTTATTTTTCTTTACTTATTCAGTTGTTTCTTGTGACTAGATTATCAGGTCAAATACAAAAGTTTTTTTAAAATAGAATCAGTGTTTGTTAAAATTCAGATATCACAAATACTTTGAAAACACTAGTATCTTTCTACTGTCCCACACTACTATTACTTAAAATAGTATTTGTTATATATAAAATTAAATATAGTGAGTTACTTAAAATAATACTATTTGAAAAAAATTATGTAGCACCAGTTTTTTTTCTTCTAATATGTACAACAGTTTTATTAATCTTAAAAAATAATTTTACTAACCATTCAAAAATTAACCATATTTCATTAAAAATAGAATTATTATTACATTAAAATAAAAATTAAAAAAAATCTTATTTTTTAATAAAATTTTATCATGAAGAAGCATTTTTTTATATTAATGTAAGTCTAGATGTAGTTCTTCGTGAGACGATTATGCCCTTGTTGGTAAATTCTAAATTCAACTCTTAAAGGGTATTGAAATCAATTGGGAATTATTAGCGTTGAGTGCTACTTTTGTTACACGGCTAATAGAAACACAAAAAAGTTGAATGAATGAGGAAAGGTGGCGCGCATTCCCATAATTGGCATAATAATAGACACTAACCTCACTTTACAGAAACTTACTTCTTGGTTCCTCCCAGAGATCGAGCGAGCAATGGCGACGCCGGAAGCCGTCGTAGCTTTCATGCGAATCACCGGTGCACCAGAGTTCGTCGCCGTCCAGAAACTAGAGGTTGAATACTCTTTACTTTCAATAAAAAAAGAAAGTTGCTTGTTTGTTTAGCATTAATCTTTGTTAATGTGATCCGTTATTTGCAGTTACATTACTGTTATCGTTTATGTGAATTTAGGGAGTCATAATGCGTTTTTTTAACTGCTCTACAGGAATATGGAGGCAATCTAAATGAAGCGGTTAACGCTCATTTTCTTGAAGCGGATAGGCACATGTATGGCAACGTGGTTCATAGAATTGCTTTATTTTGTTTTATTTTAGTTTTCCATAGCCTCTCAATATTTATTGGAAATTGAAATCTTTACCAAACATGATCTAGCTAAATTTTCTGTGATTTATTTTTCTACTTGTATTTACTAGATTATCGGGTCAAGGACAAGATCTTTCTGCTGCCCCACACTATAATTACTCTGGTGCTAGTAATCAAAACAATGTTGGATCACGTGGAATTGTGCCCTTTCTCAATGCTGCTAGGAGCTTTAGACCTTCACTACTTCTTGACCCAAATTATAGGAGAGAACTTAGAGATCTATATAATGGGATTGGTGCTACTGCATTTACAAGTCATGCATCGCCATATACTTCCCATCCAGGGGAGGCGAGGGGAGTTACTGCAGGAATCAGTAGGGCATTTGAGCCACGTCATCAATCAGGATTGAGCTCTACAGATGCATATGTGACTGGAAATGTATCATCTCGTGGTCAAGGAATTCATGGGACAGATGATGATCAGAATGCATACACTTCAACTCAGTCAAACACCTCAGATGTTCCTGATAATGAAATAGAGGAAGCAATGATTCAAGCAGCAATAGAGGCCTCAAAAACACAGAGGAGAGAAGGTTCTTCGTGGGAGCAATTGGATGCTTTTAATGTATACTCGTAGTCATAGCATGAAGCTTACCATGTTGTTTTTACTTCTATTTCTTTATGCCTTCTAAAATTCCCCCTTCAATAACATTATATTTTAGGATTCATCTGATGGTGGTCTTCGTCAAAGTCATTTTCAACAAGAAGATGATGATTTGGCTCATGCAATTTCATTGTCCTTAGAGGTTTTTGAATGTTTTATTTAAATGTATGATTCAATTTCTTCTTTCCTAATCTTTCTGATTCTTAGTTCCATTACATTGAATTTAGACAGCAGAGAAAGAGAAAGCATTACACGAACTTCTAGCAATAGAAGAAAAGGAAGGGCTTGGAGTTCATGATTCACTAGCTAAGGGAAAGAAAACCAACAGTAGTAGCTTAGAGGTGCATATCTTGTAACCCTGATTATATATTTCATATACACACTGAAAATGCATGGGTATTCAGGGGGCCATGGTGCTTCCATTCCAAGTTTATGGAAAATATATTACATATTATTTTATTGGTAAATATGTTTTTTCACCCCTACAAATTTTCTTGATTTACTCGAAAGCCATTATTGTTATATATTCTGGTTCTGGCTCCTCCAACTTTCTCTTCCTAGTTTTGGCCCTGTAGATTTCTAACCACTCTTGTATTAAGATGCATAGCACTTTCTACTGAACCATTTCAGGTTATGGATTTGTCATAGTCAGATGAATTTTTTTTATAAATTTACAGAACTAGACATGTTCTAATATATCCATTAGACTTGAAATGTATTAACTTAAATTGGCATATGTAATATGATTATCTTTCATTTGAGTGTAAGCAATTCAGACGGTAGTTTGTAGAAATGATTTATGCAATTAGATAATCCAACCTCACTTCAAAATACAATATATCTTGCTTTCTTCTTTCTAACAAAATATTGTTTTGCAAATAAAGTTAGGAACATCATCTAATCAAAATGTAGCTCAAGATGTGGCACAACCAGTCGTTGGTCATTTATTGAATCACAGTGCTGGTGGTCATAGTCAAGGGAATGAAGACGTGTCTCTTGCTGAAAAGGTACCATTGCAGACCCAAGAAAGAATGCTTGATGCATGTGTGAAGTTTCATCTCTAAAACTGATGATTGCTATCCTAAAAAATTCTTGCCTTATTTGACAATGTAGTGGGGTGGTATTTCTTACGAGGAGCTTAATGAAGCATTGTTAGCTGAAAATGCTTTTTTTGGTGAAATTTCCAATCACAGTTCTCACAAATTTTCATCCTTGTCTGATGTGCAACATCATCCAGAAAAATATGTGGATCCCAAGGTGCAGTCTTTGTCCTGTTCTACTTCACAATTATTAACTGAAACTCGGTTGCTGAAACAACAACAGGTTAACATTCTTGCCTGTGATGGCTGTGTGATCAATGTTTATGACATGATAGCATAATGTGTCATCATTTTTTGCAGGATGCTGACTATCTAGCATCGCTACGAGCTGATAAGAAAAAAGAATTAAATTCTTGCAATAAAGCTGAAACTCAATCCTCAAAGGAAGAAGAGTCACACGAAAAGATGCTAGAGAAAAAGGTAATACTTTTGCTGAGTTGGCGATTTGTTGCCTTTGTTTATGCTGTTAGCTGTGCCTCTGGATATGAAGCTTTTTCTTTCCTTTTTGTTTTTTGTGGTACGATGTTAATTTTTACAACTGTTTGCACATTAGATGACCCAAGATCAAATTTTTTAATTGAATCATTCAACAAATAGCCATTTGGGCCTTGCTTAGGTGGGTTGGTTAGGTAGATGGATAAGGGCAGAGCCTTTTTTTTTTTTGTTTATCTCCAATGTGCTGAAGAAAAGAATTTTACGTGTAACTTAAGATAAATAAGCTATTTTCTTAGAGGATTGAGTTAGGTTTGTCATATGTTGACAAACCATCATACATTTGGCATGGCACTGTGGTGGCTGTTCTTCCCATGGCGGCATACCGGATATTGTGGAAATTTTAGAAATTCTTTCAGACAAGGGGAACTTGGCTGACCCTAAAACTGTGGTCTTTGAGGCTGCTGACCCTAATATGGTCTTTGAGCCTGCAGCTGTGTATTTGCTACTGCTCTCTCATCTTAGTCTTTCTTCTCCCTCTCTCTCTTACCTTCCCCACTCCATGCGGCCGCCATATATCACCACAGCCATCACTGGCATGACCTATTTTTTGATGAACATCATTTTTTTTTTTTGTTTTCTGTTTCTTGTCACTCACAAATCTCCTTCTTAGCTTTCCTCTTGAATTTTCTGTCTCATTTTCTTTTCAGTTTTCCTTCTCAACATCAATTTTCATTCTCTTTTTCATTCAATCTTTTGGGTTAATTTTCTTTCACTTATCAAATTTATTTTTCTAATATTTTCATTTTTTTACTCAATTTCAGTATTAGTTCTTTTCTTTTCGTCCATTTTTTTTTGTCTAACACCCCTGCTATGTTATTACTTGGGTTGAGCAGCAATTCTCCTTAACATGGCTGAACAAGCTTTGAGACTTATGTTACAATGTTATTGTGAGACTTGTGATATCTTGTTAAACATTTGATGTTATTTCTTAGTTTTCTATCATTAGGTTTCCTGATTATGGCATATATTGTTATTTTTCTTATTGCTTTACATTTTACAGCTTTTTTGTATATATAATATATAGATTATAATGCAATAATTTTATGGCAATTTTTTTGACTTTTTGCCCAAACTTGCCATCTGCTATTTATAACATTGGATTGAGTTGATCTACTCGATAAGAACCTTCAAACCAACAATTGGATTAGTCAATCTTACATTTTATGAAAAATTATTAAGAGGTGTAAGTGTCAAAGTTTGACACTTGGTGTTCTTATGATATTTTATATATAGGCATGAGTTTTTATGTTAAATTCTCTTAGATTTATGTCCTTTAGTTATTGATGATAAATTTGAGTTATGTCTTTGTTAGTTGTATGTTATTTTTAATATTGATCATGAATTGTATGATTCATGATAAGATTTGATTTGCAATTTGGAAAATGAATCTCACTTTGTCTTGGTAAAAACACCACTTTGCCTCTCTTTTTGTTCCTCATCGTGTTTATTAAGGAAATATGTTTTCCTATCACCTCCCGGCAGCTCATATGTTTTATGTTCAAAACTGGATTTTGGAAGCCAAGCATTTTCTTACTTTTTTTTATTGCTTAGGTAGGAGGATTTCTTGTCCTTCTGTTTTTAAAACACTACTGAATTGCGTGTGCTTGGTGGTTGCAGGAATTGGATAAGATGCTTGACAAGAAAGAAGTTAGGCTTTCCAAAGAACCACTATTAGATGATGAAAATGCAATTACAATAGTTGTTCGAATGCCAGATGGTGGTCGCTGTGAACGCCGTTTTCTCAAAACGGACAAACTTCAGGTAAAGTTAATGTTATAATATGGTAAAAACTAAATTGTTGATAATATTATGGAGTGCAGCTCTTACACCATAAATAAATCTATTAAACCAGATAATGCAGCTGCTAAACAAAGAAACAACACAGGAAAGAAAAACCAGAAAACTCAATAAGAAAATAGGAATAAGGGTTTTAAAGAGATTTGGGTATCAGCTGGTTTGTTACTGCCATGATTTGTGCTGGTCATTCAAAATCAGCCATCTGGTCTTTCAAATCTGGCATTTGTAGCGGTAAATGTGTAACTGTAGCATACCTTTGTAATTAATAGTATAGCTGTTACATACAAGTTGATAATTAGGTTGTATTAAACCTTATATAATGAAAAATTCGCCAGTAGAAGAAAACACAGTTTTATCTCATTTCTTCCATTGTTAATATGGTATTAGCTTGGTGTGATCAGCTCTAGAGTTCTTAGAAGTTTTCCATTATGTTCAAGTCCCTCTTACTCTTTCCTTTCGTTTCCCTGTTTAAGTTCTTTGTTTCCTTGTACTCAAGTTTATTCAGAAATCAGAATATGTCTTTCGACAAGTACAAAGCCTTGTTGCATCTCAATGGCAAGAATTATTCTGTTGGGGTGTTCCATTTTTAGATTTTTGTAAACAGCAAGGATTTGTGGAGCCATGTTTGTTGATTGTTGCATTCTAGCTCTAGATAAAGCTAAAAGCAATGATGATCATGCGAAGTGGACTGTATAAGATGCCCAGGTTATGGCATGGATTCTAGGATTTATTGAGCAAGACATTGTCTTGAATCTTCAGCCTACCAAAACTACTGCTGACACATGGGCTTGCCTGAAAAAAATCTATACTCAAAATAATACTGCTCATCAATTTCAACTTGAACATGAGATCACTATTTTTCAATAGGAAAATCTGTCTGTCTCAAAATTCTATTATAGTTTGATGAATCTTTGAGCTAAATATGCTGATATAATCTGTTAAAATGTTTCTTCTGGAGGTCTTAGTTCAATTCAATCTGTCCACAAGACTACAAAATGAGACCAATTTCTTAAGATAATTCAGAGCATGAATTTAAGGATACTTGATCCAACCTTATGAACTGAGAACCTACCCCATCCTTGAATACCTTGCTCATTGAGTTGTTTCATGAAGAACATCTTTCCACTATGACAATCTTGGAGCAACAAAATCCAAATTTGTACTAGTGGTGTATGCAGCACATGGCAAGCCAAAAGGATGTGACTTGAGCAATATTCAATGATTTTGTTGCAAAGAATTTGGTCATTATGCCTCTAACTATCAACAAAAATTTTGCAATGATAAAAGAATATCCCATTCGACCTCCAAAAAAATCAGCAATAGTTTTTCTGGCCTCAATTGGTTCCTCTAGTGCCAATAGTTCATTGGATACAACTCTACCTCACAAATGCTGCTGCGGAATTTATGACCCTTGAAATGATTCGACAAACAATTCTTTTTTCCTTTTAGCTTTAGGTATGTCCAGTAGAATCTTACCCAAAATTTCTCCTTGGTACTTTGATTTTGGAGCTTCAAATCATATGACAAATAGTTCTCATTTTCTTATGATAAACGTATATACTAGAAATCTTAAATTTCATATATGCTTGATGGGAACCATTTGTCCATCGGAGCCATCGATGATATTTCCTCCACTTTGGTCAACTAGTTGACGATAGTTGTGGTGCATGAGTGGAGGTAGAAAGCTATTGAAACCAAATTTCTTGTGATTGACGAAAACTAAACCTGGGATGTTGTTCCCTACCCAAAATCAGTCAAACCCACCTTGGCAATAAGTTTGTATCTTTTGTCAAGCTTTGTGTAGATGGATCCATTGATAGTCACAAGGCTCATTTGGTTGCTCTTGGTAGTAAACAAAAGTATGGACTTGACTACAACGAGACCTTTTCATAGGTAGCCAAGATGACTACAATGAGAACCATTCTCACAATTGCTGCATTTCAATCATGGCCATTGTATCAAATGGATGTAAAGAATGCAGCTCCATGATGATCATAAAGAGGAAGTTTACATCTAACTTCTGACTGATATGCCAATTTCCTTTCCAAATGTAGTTTGCACTAAAAAGATCTTTGTATGGTTTGAAGCAAGCACCATGAGTATAGTTTGAAAAATTTTGGTCCTCTCCTTGGATTTTTGTTTACACAAAGTTAGTATGACACCCATCTCTTTCCCGACAGAGGATGTCTAAGGGTATAGTGGCTTTATTTGCTTATGTAGATGACATTGTGGTTACTGCTTCAGATACAAAAGGCATTGTTGCAATTCAACAGCAACTGCAATATACTTTTCACATGGAAGATCTTAGCTACCTCACCTACTTTTTGGGATTAGAGGTACATCATCAACCTTAAGCAGTTCTTTTTTATTCAACAAAAGTACATATAGGATCTGGTTGTGTTAGCTAGTTTGCAAAACACACTTGTTGTTAACACCCCAATGGAAGTTAAGGTCAACTATAGGGATGATGAAGTCACACTCCTTGAAGATCCTACTTTATATGAGAAGCTAGTTGGCAGCCTCATATACTTCGCAATCACTAGACATTTCATGTGCTGTCCAAACAGTTAACAAATCCATGCAATCACCTCGGCATTTAGCAAACATTTCATAGTGCAAGGCATCTTATAATTGTTAGCAAACATGTTACTTGGGCTAACCGGCCAGACACTTGAAAGTCTACTCCAGGATGGTGTATGTGTTGGAGAATTAATCTACAACCACAAAAAATGTTAAGAGAAAAATGGCATGTCATGTTGGACATTGGTCTTAACTTACAATCACAAAAAATGTTAGAGAGAAAAGGCCTGAGACACGTTGGACCTTATTCTTAAGGATTTACTCACAATATAGAAAAAGAGAAGGGGTGTGAGAGAAAGGAATTTTTCAAACCATGCCTACTGTTAGTTGTAGTTAATACCAGGTAAAAAGAAATTAAGAAACTTTTTCTTCGTAGTAGAGATAAGATAAAGATAAGATTGTTAACTGATAAAATAATGTATCTAACAAGTTAGAAGATCAATTCAGATATTATCTATTTAAAACAACTACTTCTAGATGGACTTCTTGAAATATTAAAATTTTGAATTACTTCCAATAATTCCCTCCATATTTAAAAATAATTCAAAAATAAATTCTAAAACATGTAAGAAAATATCTAGGTCAACAACATGAGAGTAATGTTTCGTATCTAGTAGATTTTGGACCATTGGAAGTTTTAAACTTCATCTCACATTAAATGTAGTCTAGCACTTTTCCCATACACCATTGGAAGGGACTAATTAATAATGCTAGCAAAATTAACAAATGATTTGTTATTACTCATATAAACCTTCTTTTGGCATACTTATCTTGGCTAATGGATTTTTGTTTTTCTATCTTGGTAGCTTCTTTTTGATTTCATAAACATTCATGGAGCACTGAAGCCTGGGACCTATAGAGTTGTGAGTGTCTCATTCCCTATCCACTTGATTTCTGTGTTGAACCTTTTATGTTATTACGATGGTTTCTGTCAATGGTGTAACTGAAGGTATTGTTTAGTTGTGGTGGAATATTCTGTCATCAACTGAGTTACCTTCATAGATAACTGATTACTCTGTGGTTTTGTTACTGTAATTTTTTCATGTTGATTATCCAACTCCATGCTTGATAGAATATGATCTAAACAGACTAGGATGAATCTGTGACTATTGTTTCTGGGCACATGTCCATGTCCTGAGACCTGAGTTATGTTGGTTCGAGTTTATATCTAATAAATACTTGGGAATGCATTTACTTAAATTGGTTGACAACTTGACAATATTTAAAACAAGTTAATATGATGTTATCATTTCAGAATATATTGATTTTCATATTTTTCACACTCTTGTCTGTGTTGGGTGATCCATTAATACATTTATTATACATTCTGACAACACATCCTAAAATTAATTCATTGACTGTAATGATTTTCTATAAAACTGACAAGGCATGGATGATGGCACTCAGGTTTTTTTTTTTTTTTCATGGATTATTGTAATACATTTCTTTCAGTTAAATGATTTTTCGTTGTATGGGAACAATTCTTGATCATTAATTTATATTTAGGATGCATATGATCCCTGTGACTGAGATGTAAAAATAATCGACTATCATTGCTTGGATATTTGAACAGGTAAAGTCATACCCACGACGTGCCTTTAGCGTGAATGATAGCTCATCAACCTTGAATGAAATAGGCCTAAGTAACAAGAATGAGGCTTTGTTTCTGGAGTTGATTTAGTTTCAGCTATTTTCCTGTAAGTATCCTGGTCTGTATGCATAGATTTGAACGAGAAAAAAATAAATATCGAAGGATTCTCACCTTGTAGCGATTAAACAAAACTAGACGGATGATATTCATTGCAAACAATTGTGGGGAAAGGGGGGTTACTTGTCAAGTATTATATTTTGATATGTAAGAATCGATTGTTGGCTGAACATGCTTTAATCATTTAGGAAATGAAAAGGTTGATTTTAGTTTGAGAGTAGTGAAACAAATTGAGTGCAAATTTTCTATCTTTTTTACATCTTGAATTTAAGTAATCACGATTCAAACGACTTGAAAATAACTGAAGTGGTTCAAGATTTATGTAGTCTTTTTTTGTTTGTTTGTGAATTTAACATGATTATTACAATCCCTTTGATTGGGGTGGTGCCAATCATGCTCTTGTTCGTAGCCTTATGAAATGGAATTGGGGCTTGCTTATTGAAGTTTGAAGAGCTTCGTAGTCGAAGTGGTTGCCAAAATTACATTTCAGCAATGTCAGAGTATGTGCCCACTTAATTTATATACCCGTTAAGGATGTATAAAAAGTAATTTATTTTTTAAGAGTTTATAAAAAATAAACTTTTTTCAATTGCCCCATTTTCTTGCCCTCGATTCTTGTTGATATAAAGGGATGAAAATATTGAACTGGAGCAAAGGCGTGAATTTTCCTTTCCCAGCCTTTCCAGTGTTTCCACCAGTTTATTTGGTGGCCCTGATAAAATTCAATTCCCCCAGGACTAGAACTCCATCAACTCAAATAATTTCCATCTGCCAGAAACAGAAAACAATGCAGTGTCACGCTCAGACATTCACTGACTGCTTTAAGAATGTGAAAAACTTACTGTTAGGGACTAGTGGATGTATCATACTGGCTCCATGGAATGTAAGCAATATGAGCAGTGATCCATCTGATGGGTTCTTGCAGGACAAGGAAGCCTGATTGACGCATTCCAATCAATGCAGGAACAAAGTTCAAGAGCAAATTAAACCAGGACTTCATGAGTATCAATTGGTGCAAATGACAATGTTAAAATTTCACGAGACAGAAAACTATGTTCCCCAGTTTTCAACAATTGCAATTTGTCAGATTGCCAAACAAAATAAAAAAGCCTTGCTAACTAGTGCCTTGAACATCGGTTAAGGAATCAATAAATAGTGTTTTTTTTAATCACGTTATTATGCATTAGAAATTACAGGAGTGAGTGCATTATTGTGTTTTGGAGTAAAAAGTTTCTAGTTTTAATTCTTTAACCAGTGTGCTTAGAATGTTGGATAACACTTTTCAATGAAAAATGCCATGCAAAATAAATCTGTTAACTACAAATGTCTCATGTGGTTAGTTTTTACTTTAAAGTATTTTTCATAGATGGACACATGCCATGTTACAAATAATCGCCATGGTTTCGTTCCTATGTTGTTAATAGATGTTACTGCAGATATAACCACACCAAAAACCACATAGAACATGTTGACATCTCAAAAGAAATAAGCAAATTTTTGACAGTTAGCGCAACGTGAGTAGCCGAGATCATACAATAATAACTTTTTGTTTTTAACAAGAGGTATATCTATTTTAATTGCACTTTATACTAATTGTGCAACAAACAACAGAGTCATAAACTACAAAACAGCTTATCACGGCCCCAAAGTGAATCGAAAAGAAGTTTGGTAGTTTAATAATGCAAAGTCTAATTAAATCATTGATCAAAAAGCCTCATGCTTTCAAATGAATAAGACGACAGTAAAGTTTCATATTTCAATAATTGTTCTTTACTTCAATTCGAAACTTAAAAAGATCTTTTGCAAACCGGTTTTTTATGGTTCTTTTAACCCTTTTCACTCCAGAGTAAATGCAACTAAAACAACTCGAACCGAACGGAACCAAACCGACCTGACCCTTCATTCCATGGTCTTGTGTCCCAAAAATGAGATCAGGATGTGACCCTTAAACCGAAATGTCCAAACTCAAAGCCTGCTGATATGAAAATGGATGGGTGAAAATCGAATGGTAAAAATATGGTGTGTTGTGTAGCCCCTTTCAGAAACATCGGATCCATTTTTTGGGGAGCTAGTTTAGTCCTTATAGATTGATATCAAGTTAGACCACACTGACAGAAAAGTCAAAGTTTGAGTCATGGGATGAGATCTGTTGCAGTGGAAGCAATTTTACGCTAACTAACTAAGCAGAATATTCATTTCAGCTTGAATTGTGTTTCACTTTGGATGTTTTTTACTTTTTCATTTCCGACTTTGTGTCTGCCAAGCGTCTCAATCTTAAGGAATTGTCTAGTATTTGATGACAATTATCATAGGAGATGTAATGCCCTGCGTTCAATCTTCAAAATTTCTTAAACCAATAATGATTAAATATATTTGACGTCTTGATATGCATTCTTTGACAATTGTTTATATAATATGTACTTAAGTTGGACAAATCTTGTATCACGGATTTATTTCTTTCTGAATATTTATAATGGTTTGATATTCAATAGGTTGATCCTAAAATTTACATAGAAGTGTTTAATGATAACCATATCACATTTTTCAACTTTCTGTATTTCTGAAATGAAAAAAAGTTGTAATAATTGTACTCCCTTTATTGCTTCACATGGTTTCTAACATGGTGTTATTATCTAAATTAAGCAGCTATAATTGGCTGAATGTTGCCAATGTTATAACTGGGTTATTTAATTATGAAGCATTCTGGCCAGGAAGATTTTGCAAAGAAGGGTGCCTTCCCTTTATGTCCTACTATCCAAGCTAAGGTAGCTATTTGATCATAAAGCACCGTTTTCTTAAGGTCGATAATTTAGATTGATTTAACTTTGCAATTGTTTAAGCTAGATGTGACTTCCATGTATAGTGAAAGCCTAAAGTTGCTTGTAGTGTCAGTGAAGCACATAAGATAGCATTTCTGCTTAGAGTCGATGATTTTAAGACTCGGTGTTCCTCTTCCAGCTGTTATTCAGGAAACTATGGATCATCCACTTTGTATAAATTTCATGTAATGGTTGAAAACAATTTCTATGCCCTCAAGAAATCAATACCAAATGCTAATATTATGATGAAATTATCTAATGGTGATGGCCTCAAACCTCTATTTTCTTAAAGCTTAAAATATCTACCCATCGCTTACAACATCAAGCATTCTGGAACCAGTAACCATGATATGACAAGTAATGATGCAATAAGGAACTTTAACAACATACTCTTGAATAACACACTTTATGGGAACACACTTTATGGGACTGACTTTTTTTTTTAAGGTCAAAATATCATTTTAAAATAATAAATTTATGAGATAAATGTTTGACTTCTTAAAAAAAAAAGAGACAAATCATAAAGAATGAATTCAAAATAATGTGTCATTAGCATTTCTCATGAGGCAATTGACCTTGGTTAATGATGCTATAAATTGGCTTAAGAGAAGAGTTAATCTTACTGTCTTTGGTTTTGATGTTGTAATTCAGGAATGTAAACTATCTCCCATTATTTAAGTACCTAATGGTATCTCTATTCCTTCCTTCATTGAAGGCCATTAGTAACAAGTTTGACTTTGGATATCGAAATAAAAATTTTGTTTGAACTTTGTGACTATTTGACAAGGTATTATGCTAGTGATTGCATCAGACCATTGACCAGGCTCTCGATCGTAACAGAGCTAAAATTGAGGTTTCATAACTCATTATTATTTGTAGTTTGAAAAACTTGAAACTTTTTATTAATATAGTATAGTGTAATGTTTACTTTGCAAGAAATTTATAGGTAGGTTCTCCCGTTATAGGTAATTAAATTAGTTGTTAAAACGTGCAAGGTTCAATGGATACTATTAAAAAGGTAGCTATTGAAAATACCTTTACACATACACGCGGGAAGGCTCTGTAATAGATGCTTTTCCTGCACCTCCATTCTCGTTGATAAAACACCCCCACCCACATTGTGCAAAATTTTGCATATTCCAAGTTTAGATTTAGTTTTTGACCAAAGCAAAATTGAAATAAAAGGTTAAAATTCAGGGGAACATGTTAAAGACAAGAAAATATCGTTGATTTCAAACTGCAGCTTTATTATGTCTTTCTCCTAAATAAGTATTAAACAAAAATATTTATTTATTATTATATCAAATATTTTTTATTTAATAATTTAAAAAATTGTAGAAACAAAGGGTAAGAAAATTTAGAATTATTTTTAAATATACTCTACCATCGACATGAATACAACCGACATGTTTGGACAGTAAGATATTTAATAGCTTCTGAATAAGGGAACATAAGTAATCAAACATTAAAGATGTCAGACGTTTAGTTTATTTAAGGACATAGAGCCATCTTATGGTAATGTGGCCCATAATTTCTTTGAACAAACTTTCTACACTGAGGACATGGGAAAACATCACAGCTGATATTTAATAGTTACCAGTTCGTGTTCTATCAATTTACAAGCTATCCCACTATATTAAAATTTGAAGACTGTGCCTCAAAATTTTCAGGGGCCATAATTTATAAAGAAAATGTCACTTTGCTCCACCCAAAAAATTGGGGTTTGAAAGAATTGAACTCCTAAGAAAATTGACAATAAAAGAAAAATAGAAAATTTCACTTTGCACCAACCAAAAAATGGGGCCATAATTTTCACTTGTTTTGGTTTTGATCTGATGGTGGGGCTGTCCAGTACTGTTTAACTGCTACCAATATCTTTTGTCTCTGATAAGGTCCCTCTTCATGGTCGGTAATTTTGGCTTCCCATTGCATTTCATCTGCAATGCTCTTAACCTTAGTCAACACATCCACATCATCTCTCAAAATGACACTTCCTTGTGGCCGCAAAATCCGGTCCATCTCTAGAAGAATGTCCACAATATTACATCTGTGACACATTAATTTGATACATTAGAAGGTTTTACAATATTGACTAATAGTCACTACTGATATAAGGTGTTTCTCAATTTTCAAAGTTGACTAGAAAACAGGTGATGTTGTCCCTGGAAATTGTGAGCTAACCAAAATGACATCACATCACATGATTGTGATATTAGTTAGGATTAGTTAGTAATTAATCAGTATTACCATAATACCATTAATTAGGTGATTTGTTTGTCAGCAATGGACTAGAAAACTTTGAAAAATAAGATTTAGAATCATATTTTAGACTAGAGAACAAGGTTCTCTAGATTTGGCCACTAGATTTGGCCACTACATCTAATTGATTCTTATCATTACCTGTTCTGATAGAGGCTAAAAACTGAATCACCATGTATGAAGTCATAAGTTCGAGGGTAAGTGGACATGGCTTCACACCTGAGAGAAGACAAAGGTAGTAAGTAATGAATTTAAACTACCATGTGCTGCAACAAATGATTAATCTAAATTTTAATTTTATAATATTAGATCGAAGGATTGTATCTGTGAAACAGTGTTCTGTCTACAGTAAAGGACAAACAGTGATAGAACTTGAGTTGTGTGTAGCAGATTACATAATTCAAACTCCCTTTTTTTATTCATGACATTGTTGTTGATGGTAGGTCCTTGACCATATTAAAGTATGGAAAAAAGTTAAGGGTACTGGTTAAGGATTGAAAAGTGGAAAATTTTTATTAGAAAACTTAACGATGCAGTTACTCACAGTGATTTCCAATGCATGTTAATTCCATAAAAACTTACTATTTATTAATTCTTTAACCAGTGCCTAATTAGCAAGACCCTTAAATTATTAAATTATATCTAGAAACATGCTGATTATCTATTTAGGCATATAAAAATGCTTATTTTCACTCATCTACCTATAATTGCTTGTATCTTAACAAATCAGTTTTTCCCTAGCAAAGGAAGAAAAGCATACCAGTTCTGATAGGTTCCAATCAATCCACGTTCATATATAACACCAAGGGTGTTGATTTCAGCCTCAACAGGAACAATGTTCATGACCCACAGTGGATCATGGACTAGTGCAGCTGCAAAGCCTCCCAAGTAAGAATTCATATCAAGAAGATTTCTATATCTCCCACGCTCTGCTAGCTGATGGTCCAGGGTCTTGTAGAATGACACTCTCTTTTTCCATAATTGGGTATTTTCTTTGAACATCTCAGCTGTTATTCCTTCCAAACTTTTACTTCTAATCCTTGGAGGAATTGAAGTTAGTCTCTCAGGCCAATTAGACAGTTTCCCACCACTAACTTCTTTGACATCATTTACCTCAGGCAGTGGGGTCAAGCAGGTATCCAATTTAGTGTACCTGCAATGAAAAGGCTTGGTGAAGCAAGCAACCAAAAGGAAAAGGGTATAATATATTTTCAGTTCCTATAATTTTACTAAATTTGGTTTTAGTCTATAATATAAAAAAATATTAATTTTGAATCTCATAAATTGTTTACTTTGAAAATAATCCTTGCTAGGACTTAGCAACTTGACCTGTATTTAGATATGTCAGGTCGCATACCACCTAAGAATAGTTACTTAAGTTACACGATAGTTACATGTCATTGTCATCTTTAAGTGATAATAGGAACTATTTTTAAAAAATTCAAAATTTATCGTCTAAAATCAACAAAATATTTTTATGAAACTAAAAATAAACTTAACTGTATTTATATGAACTAAAAAATATATTTAAGTCAAAAGGAGAATCTGCATGAAAATAAAATTATTGGAGTACCCCATAAAGAATATCATCTTCTGAACTGCTCAGCAGGATGCAGGAACCTACGGAAATGAAGTAAGAAACAAGGCAGAATATGCAACACAACACAAGCTTAAGTGGCTGGGTAGTAAGTACTTAACATAGGTTTATTAATTAAAGCTGCAATCTGATTTCACACATTATGCCAACTAGTCTCTTTATAATTCAACTAATTTTGGCATCACAGCTAAACTTAAACTCTCTTTGTCAGCAAGAATAATTTTCATATTTTCTTTTAACAAGAAACACTACAAAAGCTGAGTCCAAAGCCAAAATCAGTAGCATAAGGAACCGGCAATAAGAGTAAGTGCAAGTCAATATTTTCCCAAAGTCACAAATAGAAAGTTACATTATCTGATTGCTCCTAGTCCTAGCAATGAATTTATGAAATGAATAGAAAAAGTGAAAAATGTGGCATTACCATGCTGTGTCTGGATCCTGTGCCTCACAGAAGGATCTCCTATTCTTGAAGACCTTTCGCTTGATCTTGCAATGCATATGATTGGTGGGCTTCTGCCATATTGCAATGTCATCTTTTTGTATCAATTTTTTCCAGCACAGACTCTGCGCCACATCCTCAATTGCATCTTGTTCATCTTTGAGACTATCACGTGTTCTTTCCCAGCCTCTCCAGTGTTTAGGATAGTTTATTGGTGGCCCAGAGAGAATCCAATAACCACCGGGACGTAGAACTCTATCAACTTCGGTCAAGTAAATCCCATCTAACAAAGCCATATAAACAATGAAACGTCACATTCACACACTCATTGGCTGCTTAAAATGTGAATAAGATTTAAGCTCAGTTTGAGTAACTTTCGGTAGAAAAGAAAAATAAGGATATAAAACAAATAAAGTTATTCTCATAAGTTAAAATCAAACTTATACATCTCGTCTTTTGAAGAAGTTGATTGAAAAATTTAAAAATAAAAAAAAATATATAAGTTGATTTTAACTTGAGAATAATTTTATTAGTTTTATCTTCTTATAAATACTTCTGAGTAAGCTTATGCAAACAGAATCTTAATACATGTCTATTTCAGCTTATTTTCAAAAGAATAATCGCTAAAAATTTGCAATTTTTTTAGAGATACTTTGAGAAATAAGCGATTATTTTTGTTGATGAAACTTTCCCAAACATGCACTTAGGATGTACCATGCTGGCCCCAAGGAATGAGGCAACGTGAGCAGTGAGCCATGTCAAAGGCTCTTGAAGGGTAAGGAAGCCTAATTGTGGCAAGAATTCCAATCAATGCAGGAACACCTCGTTCAAGAGCAAATTGAACCTGAGCTTCATGAGAATCTTTGGGTGCAAATGACACTGTTAAAATGTCACGGGACAAAAGGTAAGCTCCAAAGCTTGCAACCTAAATTGTAAAGTGAAATTCGTCAGAGGCCATAAGAAGAATGAACTTATTTTAATTAGAACATATATGTTATTATTATTATTATTATTAAGGATACTGATATTATGTTTAAGCAGTGTGTGGAGGGAGGAGTGAAGTCTGAATCAGGAAACGGGAGGCATGATTGAGACGATTAGGTTGTAATCTGTCAATTTTTATTGTGCTTTTCACCAATTCTTCAACAAATAACCTAAAGCTATGAACTCCTAAGCAGATTATGACAGCCACAAAGTGAATAAATAAACAAGTTTTGTAATTTAATATTGCAAGTTCCAATTAAATCATTGAGCCAAAAAAGCTTCATGCTTCCCCACGAATAAGACAAGAGAGTAAATTTTATATATTTCAATAATCAATCTTTACTTCATTTTGAAGAATTCAAGAATTTTTTTTACAAACCCGTTCTCGATTATTATTTTTCCATCCTTTTGCTCGCCAGAAAGAAGAGAGAGAGAAGTGTAAAGTTCAGATTTTTTATGATATTTAATACATTGGAAAAATATTTACTTAAGTGACATCGCAATCACGTGGATCTGGTTCAGTCATTAAATAATACCTCACTCACCCGCATAGACTAGTGGAGTACCAGATTGACATTATCAAAATCTACTTTTTCTAGCACTGATCATCCTTGATTTCCTTCATCCCTCACAGTAAGATCCCATCATAATTCTATTTTCAGAGTATGGTATTCCCACATTAATTTTATTCAACAAAAATCACAATTATAAAAAAATATATATTAAAAAATAAGTAATATAATAAAGAAAGAGAGAGAGAAAAAAGTTACAGAAAGTGTCATAAAAAGTTTAAATTATTAGCTTTTTACAAAAAGTTATAGTAAATTTCCTTTGAGGTCACGCAATAGATCCATAGGAAATTTCGTCAAATTTCTAGGAAATGACACCAACCCAAGCACAAGAATGTACTTGTAATAGCATATGCTCCCATTAATGCCCCGTTGTCTCAAGAAGGAAACAAATATGATTTCAAATCTCCATCAACCCACATTTTAAAAAACTGAGTTAGTACCAAAATTTACTTTCAAAAGGTAAAAAAATATAATACTATAGGTATTTATTGATCCTTTTTAAATAAAATTAAAAGTTCATCTTAATAATATATATCAAATTTTATTATTCAAATTATCTTATTAAAACTTTATTAAAAAAGCACAGCTAAAATTACTGATCCGTCATTCATGCACATGAATATTCTACGTAAAGTGAACCACCCGGTTCAACGAAAACCGGTCGTTCTAGTCCAAAAGAATGCACTGCATTTCATTAATTAACCCTAAAACAAAAAGACGAAAAAGCATAGAAAGAAAAGTCACGACAAAGAACCGGCTCAGCAAAACCGAACCGGGATGACGGTTCAATAAAAAAAAAACATTAACATACCCCACAACCGGTGTCAATAGCGGTTCGGATAGAGCCATCTCTTAGATTGATAAGCTTCCCAATGTCATCAATGTACGCATTAGCGCCACGTGGAAACATGGTTCCACCGCCGGGGAATCTGAACCGTTGCCCTTCGAACCGAACCCAATTCTGGGTCTTCTTCTCCACAGTCAACCACTTATGCGGCACGTTCGCGAACCAAGCCGAGTCACGACTCGCCGGCCACCGCAACGGCAACCGGTACCCATGCGGAGCCGGAATCCGGCACCGGAGAATCTCCTCCGGCGCCGGACAATGCCTCTCCCGGTAAACGAGTCTCCCCCTAGGGAACCTCAGCGACCTCTTCTGATCTTCACAGGGTGTGTACTCGGAGAAGGAAGGGTTGCAGGGAGGGAGGTGAGGTCCACGCGCCACGGTGGGCGGGGGGTCTGGGAGGAGGTGGTGGGCGGAGAAATCGAGGTTGGTGAATGATGCGGCGGTGGCGGTGGCGGTGGTGTTGGGTAAGCAGAGGGAGGAGTCGGCGGAGGTGTAGCCGGCGGCGGAGATGGTGGCGGCGGAGGGGTAGCGTTGCCAGAGGCCAAGGAGGTAGAAGAGGGTGCAGAGGAAGGTGGCAAAGGTGAGAAGGTAAAGGTTTGTGAATAATCTGTTTGGTTTTTTGGATGTGCAATTCTGAATCTGAAGTTGTGTTAAGCAGTTTGCCATTTTTTCTTCACTTCAAATTCTAAGTGAAGAAGAAGAATAATTGGTGTTTGTTGGTCACTGAATTGGGAGAAGTTGAAGTTTGAAGGAGTATGTGTTTGTTTGTATAGTGAAGCCAAAGCTTGAGTGTATAATATGTTTTTCTTTCTCTCTCTTCTATCCTCTTACCTTTGTCTTTTTGTTGTAAATAAACAAATATCAACGTTGTTGCTTGAAATTTAATTTGGGCAATAGCTTTCTCTATTGAAAATAGTCTAATATTTAAGTAACTTTCTTTTTGTTATGAATTTTAATAAGAATAATTTGTTTGATTTATTAAATATTATACTACCTGTTAAAATGTCTTTTAATTGTTTAACCTGGGTTTTAAGATGATTATTATTAGCATAAGTTATTTTAACGAATATGTTAAGAAGTATAAAAAAAATACAGCTGAAGTGAGACAACTTTTTATTTTTTTTAAAAGAGCATATTTCATATCTGTCTATATATGTATATATATATATATTGTTTATTTTTAATGTTTAAATATTTTTTCTCATACGAGAATAAGTTTTGTATTTCGTTTGTTCAATTAGAGCTCTAATTTCTTTTTCCATTTATAGTTATGTTCAAAATAGTCTAAGTTCTATTCAATTAACTTCATTATTGTTGCGAATTTTAACAAAAATGAATTGTTTTGTCTTATTAAATGTTATATTACTTGTTGAAATATCTTTTAATTTTTTAACAAAGGTTTTTAAGATTATTATTATTATTACTATTATTATATTTAACGAATATGTTAAGGAGTGTAAAAAAAAAAACAGCGGAAGTGAGACAGCTTTTATTATTTTTAAAATTTTAAAATATCATATTATATATATATATATATATATATATATAATATGTTTATTTTACTAAGATAATGTATCTATTTTTTAACACATATTTAAATGAAAATAAATTATAGTTATAATTGAATAAGAAAAACACAACTTATCCTCGTAAAAAATTAAATATTATGTATATATCAAATAAATTAAAATTTTAAATTAAAAACTTTAATTTTTTTTATGTTGAAAGTGAAAATTATTCTACTGCATATTTTTTAAGAGAGAAAATCTTATCTATTAATTTTTTTTATATTATTATTCTTTAATTTCTCTAATATGTATAACACTAATTTGTATTTTCTTGATTATATTATATGTAACTATTTTTATTATTATTAAATATATTTTTCAATTTAGAGTAATAAAATAATTTTATTTATTTTTATTGTATTTGTATTTATAAATGATCAATCATAATTAAATTTAATTAATAATTTATTTAGAGCACTTATTAGTATTTACTAAAAATTTATATATACATGAAATTTATTATATGATTGTATAGAAATTATTAAATATAAAATTGATTAGAAAATAATAGTTCCATGATCATTTAATTTTCTTTGTATATGTGGTACATTGGTATATTTTAAATTTAATTATTAAATAAATTTAATGTTTCATTTTTATTTCTTAATATTGTCATTCAGTTAAGTGAGTTTGGTCTCGATAAAACTTATTTATTTAGATGTTAGTTGTAGTGCCCATAAACTTAAAAAAGTATATCACTAACATTTTAGATTAATAGTTATGATTCTTTTAATCTATTAAAGATCTGAAGATATTAACATTTTTTTCAACTATATTACTAACTTCATTATTTATTTATGTAAATTAACGATCAGAATGATTTTATATGTATGAGAGGGTACCAAACTTTCTCACTTACACAAGGTACCATAAATTTTACCACAACTTTAACTTGACTTTTTAATTATCTATTAATAACATTACCTACACCATTGATAATATATTAAAATCATTTTTTAAATAATGTTTTGCAAATAATAGAGGTAAATATGACAAATTGCATATAATGGAGGGATGCTGTCTCATATGCTTAATTTGAATTTTAGTGCTTCAAAATATTTTATTTTACTAAAAAAATATAATAATTTTTAACTATATACTTTCTGTCATGTTTGGAAAATGACATGACACATGTACAGTTAAAGGTCTATTTTGATTTATAAGATATTTTTAGTTAATTTTAATTGAAATTTTAGTATAATTTATCAAAATAAAGTATTTTTAACTTATATTAATACACTTTATTATTTAACTTATGACATAAATTATCATTTTAAAAAATATTAAATAAATAATTAAATATGCAATTACTTAAAAATATCATAATTCCTTACATCCCAACTTGTCATGGAGTTCCTTTCATTAAGAATACTGAGTATGATAGAAGGTGGTCATTGAAAAAGAATGGGTCAAGACACTAGTTTACTTTGATGGTTGATACTACGAAAATCAACAATAATATTAATGTACACATTGTTTTTTATATTATTTTTTATTTCTATGCTTCTATAAAAAAATTATTTACAATATCATGTTTTTGGTTTTTCTATTTTTTACCAAATATATGTACATCTAACAAGGGTATAATACTTATTTTTCTTTGGACAATCCGAACATCGCTAGCTTATCCAAGGTTAAGCCTAAGCCTAACTCTTATCTTTAGATTTAGGATTTTTATAAATATTAAATTTTATTGATATAATTATCAATTTAAATATTTTTAAAAAGTAGATAATCTTACCAAATTTTATAAAATTTTCAAATTATTTTACACATTATCAAATAATTTTATTTTAATATATTATTTTAAAAAAAATACTAATAAACATTCGCTATAAAGTTACAAGTTTATAAATATATTTTTTTAAAATTTAATATGCTGAATTGTGAAGATAATATTATATAATATATTAGTAAGATTGGTAAAAATTTGATGACTATAAAGTAATATTAAGCAGAATATTTAAATATGTTTATTATTCCATCATATGTGTCACTATTTGATTTGGTGTCTCATTTAAGTATCAAAATATATTTGTATTTAAATGCCTCCAAGAGGATTGTGTCACAAAACCACATTTTAAGGAAAGAAATGGAGCAAAAATCATATTCAGATTTGATATTGACGAGGGTATTAATAAAGATTATCTGTAATAAAATAAATGGTTTTATCAAATAAGTTTAAGTGTACATAATTATTTACAAAATTGTGTAAATGAGTACAAGCATTTTATATAATATTCAGTCTTATATTTGTATAGTATATTTATTAAATTTTATAATTAAACTAAACAAAGTTAATAAAGTCAAATAATTTTGTATGTAATATTTATGATTACAAATTAATTTTTAAAAAATAATTTTTCAATTAAGTTATATGCAATACTTTTAATTACTACTGTTTTCTTTTTTTTTTCATGGTCAATGTTCTTCTTACAAGTAATGGGTGATGGGTAGTAGGTTCAAATGATCATATATAAGGATACGAATATTAAAATAAAATTACTATATATACGGTTCGTTTTGAGTATAAATATACTTTAAACACCCTACCAAATCATCATAATTTTTTTCTCTTCGTCTTAATTTTCCAAGAAAAAACTTGTGCAGAAAATGAATGGTGCGTAGAGGAGGGGGAAAATTATTAGAGTCACATTCCAAGTCAAAGAAAGGGTAAGAATTTACCAAATGGAAAAGGGCTGATAAATATTCACTCTCTTTCATGCTTACTAGTTTCTTTGGTGTAAACAAATTATTATTTTCTTACTGTTTTAATTTATAATTTTTTTATTCATAAAAAATAACATATATCTTCTAAAATATTAATTAAAATTTATTTTTTTATTTTTATCTTTTTAAGAAAATGCATCACTTGTAGTAAATAAAAAAAATTAACTAAACTAGTAGAAAGATATAATATTTTTTATAAATAAATTTTTTCATTATAATATTTTTATTTTAAAAAGGCTTAAAAAATTTATTAGTCTCTAAAATTTTCATATTTTTATTTTAATCTTTATAAAAATTTTATTTATTTTAATCCTTATTTTAAAAAAAAAACATGTGGTTTTAGCCCCTCATTAATGATTAAAATTAAAATTTTTTATATATTTTTAGGGACTAATAATAACTTGTATATTTGATGTTGTTCCTCATATATCCATGTAGTTGTTAAGTCTATTATTTTGTTAATGGTCTCATATTTTTGGTTTTATGGTGGGCATAGAATTTTCTAACTAGAGTCATTAACAGGCCTAGCCCATAAACACAGCACGAAGGGTATGCTGAAAGCCCATATCCACCACAGAAAGCATTGCGTGTCCTGCTTGTCCTACATTCTTACACTATCTCAAACTCATTTCGCTTTCTCTTTATTGTTATTTCTCTTCTCTTACAATAATAAAAAAATTATTATTACTATGTCATGATTAAAATGCCCTGAAATAGAACCAGCAGATTAGAGATTCCCAAATGGTATGCACTAAATGGTTTGGTACAATTTTTTAAATTACTACTTCTAGTAGTCATGAAACTACCTCAACTTTTTACTATTAATGCTATTGCAGCTATTACTTGTACTATTATTAGGAATTAGTATTAAATTTATTTTAAAATACTTTAAATAAGTTGAGAACTGCTTAAATTATACTATTGTTTTGAAAGATGTGTTTTCATTTGATCTTAAAAATATATTTTTAATAAAATTGAAGAAAAACAATAAGATTTAATAAATCATTATTGTATTTGTTTATTTATTGAAAAATTGGATTTTTTTATTATATTTATTAGTATGTGATTTTAAATTATATTTATTTACTTATCTTAGAATGATAAGCATGGATTTTCCTGAACAATTAAATTTGGGTGTCAGCATTACATACCCAAAATTATCACGACTGTGTAAAATATAGTAAGAGCATGTTAAAATTTAGCATGTTTGTGCTGAATTCAGCATTACATAAAATACTTGAGATGGAGTGCATCCATTGGCGTGGATGTGCAAGTATCTAACATGACTATGCAAGTTTAAATAACATACTTGTGTTATTTGTGAGATTAAGCAACTTTATATCACATACTTATGAGATTGGACTTGGCTTCACATCTAGCATTATAAATACCCCTATTTAAGGGTCTTTCCTTTTGACTTTCTATAGCACCCTTTTGCCATTATTATTAGATTTGTCTTGTAAAAGGAATTTTATTTCTCTCTTTTTCTCATTCATTATAAATATTTTAAGATTTATTTATGATTATGAATAATTAAACTCATACCTAAACTTTATGGTAAATTTTGTGTTAAACCTTGGTGTTTCTCAATTTTAATATAATTAGTTTTTTTCCCATGTTAAGTGTAAGAGTTGTTGAAATAAATTTTGTTTGCAATAATAGTCTATATTACATATGAAATAGATGTTCAAATAATATTGTACATATAGATTTTGAAATTTTGATATGTAAATTTTGAGTTTGCCCCTTAATAATAGTCTATATGATTTTTAATTATATTATTAATGTTTTCAATTTTTCAAATTTAAGCTTCTCAATTTAAATATTTACTTTCATCCATACCCTTTATACATATTTTTGTTTTAATTAGTTGTGCATTAATAGTATATCTCAAATGATAATGAGGGATTGATTTCTTTAATAAAAGTCACTTAAATGGGGTTTTTTCTTTCAATTAAGAACTTTTCATTTATATGATTAAGAACAAAATTCTAATTAACACACTTATGAAATTTAATTATGTAGCGAGATTTTTTGGTATGTGTGGTTGTTGTTAATGTGTGTAAGAATCAAGAAATGTATTTGTCATCAATAGGTGTATCTGAGTCAGCTAAGCATAAATAATGATCAATAATTCTTAATTTTATGATAAGGAGGGTCATCGTGACACCTCAGCAGGTTACATACTCAAGTGGAACAATTGAGGTAATTATTAATAAAAAAATTTATTGTGGCATTTATGATGCCAATCAAGCAACTTCAGTCTCATATTTTAACTAAAAGAAACCCTCCTTTGTGTCGTTTGCTCATTGTTTAATCCTAGAGTTTGTGTTGAAAGGGAAATTATTTTAAGGATGACACATGTTCGCATGGTAGATACGAAGAAAAAAGCCCCTTTTAATTATAATAATTTAAACTTATGCAGATAATTACATAAAGGGTCACTCTTATATCATTAATAATTTTGGATATGTAACCTTCGATTCAAGGTTAGCAATTTTCCTTTTTAAAAAGGTTGAGCATCTTTTATAACACAAATAGTAAAATATGCTTAAAGTTGCAGAAGTTGTTGGGTGTATGATTGATGCTAACAAGGAAATGCAGAAGAGGTTAAAAAAAAAACCTAGTATTTGGATAAGTGTTTGATTTATTTATTCCAATGGATAAGAATGAAATCAGGGTCCTTATGACAACGTACGAATTGTGTTTGAATAAGTCTTTGACAAATAGGCTATTTTAAGGATTCATTCCACCTTCCCATCTTATATTTTTGTCATTACCGGTAAGGGGTTTACCCAATGGTATCAATATAAGGGGCTATTTTAAGTATTAATTTAATAGTTTTAAATTATATATTTTTTAAATAAAATTGTTCTCCTTTCTTCTTCTTTTTCTAAGCTGACGTCATTCAAAATTTCAATATAAGATGGTGTTGTTAAGACTAATTAATTACAAATGCAGTAGTTCAAACGGCAACGATATTTAGCAAACTATTTCTTAATTAACCACTGATTGCGTATATTAAAAAAATTAATAAACATTAGTTAGTACAGCAGACACCTTATACCGATCTTTCATTTCATTTTAAATATCATTTGTATTAATATGCATAATTAAGAAATTCATTTGTTAATTATTATTGTAAAATAGATTAAATTTATTAAAAATACTGCAGTTATTATAGTTGATAATAACTACAAATATTATAAAATTATTATAGTAGTTAATTGACAAAAACTATTTTAATAAATAAAAATATTAAAAAAATTGATGTTTTTATATTTTAAAACAATCAATAGTTTGAAATAAATAAATAAAAATTTCAACAATATTTAATATAAGATATAGAAAATAACAAATCTAAATAGAATATATAGACATGAGATGTTTTTATGACACCAAATAAATAACTTTTTTTAAAAAAAAATCGTATCAATTAAAATAAAAATTTGCTTTATTATTATTATTATTATTAATGTGTGTCCTGGTGTGTCAGACAGTGAGATCTATTTAAGCAATTTTGAGTATCATATGCTATAGACGTTTTCACAATTTAATAATATATTATAAGAAATTTTTAATTTATTTTTAACAGTAAATAGTAGTAAATAAATAACAATTTTTTATTTAAATTTATAGTATTTAATATTATTGATATATTAAATTTTAATAAAATTATTATATATTTAAACAAAGTTAAAAAATCTAATATTATAAAGATAATTTGCTTTACGAGGGTGCAAATTCAAATGGAGATATTTTCATAAGCTCATAAAATGAATATCATTTTTGGGTACTCCTATTTTTAAATATGAACAAATAATGGAAATAATATCAGGTTTTTAAATGAAAATGAAAAACTATCGATTTATCATTTTTAATCATATATATCCGTATTCCAATCATCAACTCATATCCTTCATGTATCCAATTTTCTAAAATGCAATCTCTACGTGAATCGATATAATTCTTCAAGTATAGTTGAAATTATTTAATTTTAATTATGTTTTTTCTCTTTATATTTTAATGTATGTGTGATTTTTATTTTTTAATTTAATTATTTATATTTACCTTTTTAAATATTTAAATTGATTTTTATTTTAAAATTTTATTTAATGATTAATAAAATATATAAATATAAGAAAATATTAATTTTGAAGTGAAAAAATTTTAATTTGAACATCTTAAACGTTATAATAATTAAAATAGAATAAATCAAAGTTATACTATACATACATTATTTTAAAACTAAAATATAATTAAACCTATTATTTATTAATTAAAATAATTTTTTTTATAATTTAAATATTTTATTAAAATAAAATTCTAATTTTAATTATTAAACATTAATTTAAAAAATTAAATTTTATTGATTCAAAACATACGTCCCGTCCCATCCTCAACTTCTATTCTAATTCGTTTATCCAATTGTGTAGAATTGAACTTTCATCTAAAATATAAAATACTTTCACAAGTCAAATTCGACATCATTAAAAATATAAATGTGCATAGTTCAAATAAAATTTATCCCTTTATTGTAAAATTATGTTCTACTATTTAACAAAAAAATAAGAGTTAATTTTAATTTTATTAAATTGATTTATAATTTCTTAAATTAAACAATTAATTTTATATTTTTGTTAATTTTTAATATTATTTCTTAACCTTATTTTTAATTTTATTTAAATTTTTATATATTATATCACATTAAATATAGTTTTAAAATGAAATCAAATTTTAAAGTCATTATAATCTTAATCACAAAGTCAAAACTTCAAAGTCATACATTAAAACTGTATCAATAGTAAGATTAAAAACTCAGATTTTGTGCCGTGTTCATGAGATAGAAGGCACAGAAACGGAATCCAAACTCAAATTTTTCATATGCCGGGTCACTTATTTTGAATTTAATTTTTAAAATTTAAATTTTAACGAACCATATCAATTAAGTTGACATATCTTGATTTTAATAATTTTTTTTGTATTTTTTAATTTAAATTTTTTCACGCATTATTGTAAAAAAGTTATCCAGTTTAAAATGTTTAATTTCGGTGAAAATTTTTATTTATTTATTGATTAATCATTATAATTCTTTGAATCTTATATACAAGATATGTTTTACCAAATCACACATATTCAAAAATAAATATCTAAACTAAAATATCTTTTAAAGTCAAATTTCATTCTCATATTAATTGTGTTACTTAATATCATTAGTGATGAATAAGGAAAAACATATAAAGTATTAAATAATTCTAAAATTTTATAAATTTCTTCATAACTAAATTCATCAAAAATTTTCTATCATTATTTTATGAAAAGGAAACTAGAGAAAGAAACAAACTTGTTCATAAATTATCTTGAAATACAGACAGTGATTTTCTATTTTTTGAAAAAAATGTTAAAAATATACATTCACACACATATTTTTAATATTTTAAAATAATAAATGTATTTTTTATGAATGAAATGAATAAAAATTAGCAAAGGATGTGTAGACAGATATCAAAACTCTTTTCCAAAATTGTGAAAATATAATTAACTGCATCACGCGCTACGATGAAACAGAAGCGCGTGAGAGGGACAAAGATCACTATGCTGACAACTCCGTAACAGTCGAGAATAATCGTTTGTACTGGATAAGAAGCTCGTATTCTGTTCGTCACTGGTCATGCATCTTAACATTCTCAACCAGCCAACTTAAGGTGCAAAACGGTGTGCAGCTTAGATCAATCCATGTCTGGTCCTTACACGACAACTAAAAACGCGCGTTGGGGAATCTACACTCTCATCTTAAAAAATTCCTAAACAAATTGACCTCCCGAAGATCTCGTCTTGCATTCGGAGTTTTTTTTTTTTTCTTTCAATATCTCATGTATTTCACTCCAATTGCTGTTCTCTTCACTTTTCCCTCTCTAGCTCTTTCTCAGAAAATTGACAAATTCAGGTTCAAACTCAAGTTCTGAGGCCGATCCAGATTCTGGGTGGGTGAAATTTGATAGCTTTGTGTTCATTCAAGATCAAGTTTTGAGTTCCATTCATATTCTGGGTGTGTGAAATAAGAGAGAAAAGCATTCAATTTCGGGTTATAAAGTGGTGTTTGGTTATGGGTGCTAGTTTTTCCTCTTGTGTTTGTGATGGTGATGCTACCGCTTTAAGGCCAAGGCTTGGTGATATACCTGAGAGTTGTGTGGCACTGGTGTTGATGTATTTGGATCCACCAGATATTTGCAAGCTAGCACGGTTAAACAGGGCATTTCGTGATGCTTCATTAGCTGATTTCATTTGGGAATCGAAGTTGCCTTTGAATTATAAGTTCATCATGGAAAAGGCTTTGAAGGATACTTGTGTGGCAGAGTTGGGGAAGAGGGACATTTATGCAAGACTATGTAGGCCTAATTTGTTTGACAATGAGACAAAGGTGAGTTTTCTAAGCCTCGTTTACTCATTCACTCCCTCGTACTTTTCAAGTGCTTGATGTTTACTTGTTGTCAAACATGTTACTTTTTGGTGTAGGAAATTTGGCTTGATAAGAGGACGGGTGGGGTTTGTTTGGCGATTTCTTCCAAAGCGTTAAGGATTACAGGGATAGATGATCGGAGATATTGGAATCGCATTTCTACCGAAGAGTCAAGGTGAGACTATTGTAAGTGAATCTATGTTTACTCAGGCTAATTTCTTGAGTCTTCACTTTGCTTTCTTGTTCCCTTTCTAGATTAATATCACGCATTTTACACGTATCATCTTACTTTCTTGCTTTGTTATTTATAAAATTCGTAGATTGAATTATTCATACCTTATCTACTCCATTTTACCAAGTTTATCTAATAGCTAATGTGGTATGTGTACAAGGTTTGAAGAATTTGACACGGGATAATAATACTGTAACAAAAGCACGATAAATGCAGCAAAATATAATCCCTCCAAACTTGCAAGAAAGGAGCAATAACAAAAAAAAGATAGCACTGAGAGTCCAAGTCCAATGTGAGAAATAAAAGTCACCAGTGCTTCTCATTAAAGAAATAATTCACTAAAACAAATAAGGGTATAGGAAAGTCTTCATCAAGTGCACAAAACAAGGCTAACAATCACTCAAATTACAAAGCAGCAAAATACAAATGAGAACCAAGAAAATGAAAAATCTCATAAGATATAAAAATAATTGTCACATTAAAGATCTTCAATTGATGATCCTACCATAAAAAATGAAGAACTACACGTTTCAAACTAGCAGATCAAATTTCAGTCTGATTGAATGACGAACAAATCTCCAGATACAATTTGAAGATAATAGCTCTAAGTTTGGGCGTGAAATAACTTTCTCCTTTCCTTGGTTTGAAATAGGGAACCTAACTTGGTTTGAAATAGGCTCAATTAATGAACCATCTTTCCCTGTAATACTTATTTGGGTCGGAATTTTGATGTCCTTGTAGTCATGGTATAGTTGCTCCAGTTTTCATGTTTTAACTTTTATGATTTGACCACCTTGTGCCAGAACACATAAAATTAGCCAATGTAAGCAAGCTGTTTAATTTTAGAAAATATTTTTTAATTATCAAATTGCTATTTTATTTTTATTCAATTTTTGTTTTAAAAATTTGTAAAATAAAAAAGGTCAGGGACTATATGGTTTCAAAAAATGTTTTTTATTTTCATTTTTAATTATAAAATTCTCACCTTGTTTTTATTATGTTTTCTATTTTTGTGTACAAGAAAATACTGAAACAACTCATATTTTCAGTGTTTTCTATACAAATATTGAAAAAAAAAAAGAACAAATGCAGGGGACCAATTTTTAATTAAAATAAAAAACGACCAAAAATTACATCAAACAATCCCTTAGTTCCAGTATTTCTTATACAAATATTTGAAAATAGAAAATGAATAATAATAAGATATTAATTTTGTAATTAAAAGTGAAAACAAAACATTTTCTAAAATCAAACAACTTCTAAAATTGCATGACCCTTTATTATTTTGTCTGTCTCCTATGATATTTCATAAGCATTACATGGTGGAACCTGATACATTATGCTATTTTTTATTGGCATGCTTGTGCGAACAGATTCCATACAATTGCTTATCTTCAACAAATTTGGTGGCTTGAAGTGGAAGGAGATATTGATTTCCAATTTCCACCTGGAACATACAGTGTGTTCTTCAGACTCCAGCTTGGAAGGTCATCCAAGAGGTTGGGTAGGCGAGTTTGTAAGACTGAGGACATTCATGGATGGAATATAAAACCTGTGAAATTTCAGCTAACAACTTCTGATGGACAGCATGTTGTATCCCAGAGTCATTTGGATAATCCAGGGCACTGGATTCTCTACCATGCAGGGAACTTTGTTTCTAAGAATCCTAATGATTTGATGAAGATCAAATTTTCATTGACTCAAATTGATTGCACTCATACCAAAGGCGGTTTGTGTGTAGACTCTGTATTTATATGCCATAGTGATGATGTAAGAAAAGAGGTGTAGAATGTTTTTGTAGGTAGGAAATTTGTACAGTAAAAAATGAGTGTTAGTTTTGTGATTTGTGTTATAGGGGAGTTAAGTAGAGGTTAATCTTCCAAATACGCCTCAGAGCAGAACTTCCCTTTAGATATTTTGTTTTTTTGATAGTGATCCCTTTAGTTGTTTTGTTTCTTTGTTAGGACAATGTTTCCTTTAATTAGGTTGTACACGTTTTATTACCCCCTTTTGGTCATAATCTATTTTACTCGTGTATATGTCCTCTGTTGTTGATGTTGGGAACTGATTTATGTGTTTTCTCAAAGAATGAAGTGATTCATGTGTAATAATTTTAGCTTGTATGTATGGTAGTTCATCTTTTTTTGTGATTTTCTTTTATGAAGGATTCTTGTACATGGTACAAAGACTTTGCTGAGTTGTGATGATGATGTAATCTGAACGCTTGAACATGCTTTTGAAATACTATATTGTCAATGTTCCTCTTCTCCTGCCACGTAGATTTGTCTTCATAGGACTTTGATGTGGTTACAAGTGACTCTCATCTAACCTCATAAACTTAGTCAAAGTCGCAGTTTCATTCTCGAGCGTTGTATCAATATTTACAGTTTGCACATACATGTAAACATATTTCCTTTTCCTTTTTCTTCCTTTTTCTTTTTTCTGTTCATTTTCTTTCTCAACCTGACCTTTATGTTCTTCATGACCCAGTGAGACGAGCATTGTTATAAGAATTGTAATTAGATTGGATTAGTTATGTCCAAACTAAGCAAAAGTTTTTTATTTGAATTGGGTGTAAAAGCAAACCGAACCAAACCAATTCAATTATGGTTGGGTTTGAGTTTTAATCTTTCTATTTATTTTAAATATATTTGTAATCTCTTGTTCCTTAGGAGGATTTTCATCATCAAATGCAATAACTTAAAGGTATGTGATTCGGAATTAAATATACTCTACTTGAACCATTACTTCATCCAAATTCATCATAAACCCTACACTAGTCTTTAATCACCTACTCAACTTAGATAAACCATTGCCAATACTTAATCTCATATTCAGTTGTAATCTTAAGCCTTAATCGTTATGTAATCCATGTACGTTATCTTATTATCCTATATCCTAATTACTGTCTTCTTGAAATCACATATTATCATGAGGAATGCAACTTAACCTTGAATAATCCGACTCTGGCTACCCTTAACACTACTCAGCCACTAACTAATATGAGAGTGAAGTTTATGTTATTAATAATTCTAGATCACATATAAACATTGTTCTAGCTTGCATATATACTCACAAGATTATATCGACTACATTCAAACACCATTATAATTATCAGAACACGAATTTTATATCTATTTTAAATGATAAATATTATTTATCCCTTTAATTGATTGAGGCTAATTTTAATGCAGAATGAAATTCGTATACTTTAAGATATTAAGGATGCTGAGGAGAATGGTGTCAACCCCAAAAGAAAATATTCTTGCAACGTAAAAATTTGGGCTGAGCTGTGTTAAATGCAATTATATATTACCCTAAACTTTAACTACAATTATATATTATTTTAATTATCTATATTAAATTGTATTGGAATTAAATAACCATAACTATAAAAATATAATTAAGTGATCTTTTTTTTTTACATATTTTATAAATTATGTTAATTTTAATGTATGAGAATAATGTGTTAAATAATTTTAATTTTATTTAAAATATTGTAGATATGATTTATATAATTAGAAATTTTAATCTAATAATTAATTTTTGTATTAAAACATTTAATAAAAATTTATTAACAAGATGAAAATAAATATAGCTTATATTGATGTAATTAAAGCAATCTTTTGTGTGTAAGTTGATATTTTAGAAAGTAAAGGTTTTTTATCTATAATTTTTTTTAATGATTTTTGTATATTTTAGTAGTATTTTACTATTTAATATAATTAAAATTTCATTTTGAATTTTCAAAATTATTAATTATTTCATTGATTAAGTGTTAACTTTTTTTTTTTATATTTATTTGCCTATATTATCTTTCTTATGATAATAGTTATTAAATGAATGGTTTGTGAAATAATGTGAAAAAGGTACAATTAAGTGTCATTCTTTAATTTAAAATATTAATTGTGTTGTTGCATTATTTTAAGAAAATGTTGAATCCTATATTTTACTCCAAGTGTATTTATTTTTCTAAAAAAACAATAACAAATATTTATAGGTGTATTTGCTCTAATGCCTAGACATTTGAAGAGGCATTTAATGTTTTTCTTAAATGGATCAATAAGGTTTATTTCATTAAATTTTGAAAAATTAATTTCTGTTACATTGCAAAGTTTTCGAAGTTTATAGGTATATAAGTCCATTACGTTGCAAAGTTTTCAACTTATTGCTTTTAGAGGAATAGACATTTCTATTGTTATACAGGTCACTATTACAATTATTTGAGAAGAACCCGAATGAAACTTTTGAGCAACATAATTAACAAATTACGAGAAGGCTTGTAAATTCAGGTGGTTTATTTATCTGTCATTTGCTTCTTTTTCTCCTATTTTTAATATATTATTCACAATTCTAATCAATATTTTTAAAATTGAATTCATTGATAAACTGGTAAATAAATTAATTTATGATTTATTAGTTCAAGTCATAGAACAAATACTCAACCCATTCATGCATGATGTTTTCACAAGAAATTTTTCTTTCTCTTGAAAGGAAAACAGACCTAACTATTATTTTCTATTTGAGTTATAATATAAGGGGCTCCCTGCCAGTAATTGTATTAGAGCTTTCTAATTATTTGATACTCATATTCTTAAGGTTTATCGGCTGAACAACTGACAGACAATTACTGGAGAGACTGTATCTACAGTCGCCTTTATCTGTAATAAAGTTATGAACATCTATATTTATTCAGAGTCTAAAGTCTCTATTAAAGGAGAGGATAAATGTGATAGTCATTATAAATAAAGTAAGTAAGAGTCTTTACAATACCATGAACACAACCAATACACAAACAGTTTTAGAAATTGTATTACATGCTTTATTATAAAAAAAAAATTATAGTAAAATAATAATTTATATATAAATATTGTGCGAGTCTTTATTTATTTAAAAAAATACAAGAAAAAAAGAAAAATAAACATTTTTTTAAATGAGCAGTTTAATTATGGGATTTATTTTCAGGTCAAGCAATGAAAATGAATTGGTCAATTTCAATTTTAACAAATATGATGGCTATAGTGGTAACGAATAATACAAACGACAAGTGGAAAGATGCAAGCTTGATAAATGAAATTTTCTAAGACGACCTAGAAAATGGTTTTGAGGTCGTCGCCCAAGTAATAGTTAAAAAGTAACAATTAATGCATGAAAATAGGTCACTCCATGGCAACTTGTTCCATTACACGCTAAACTGTCCTTTTCTCTCAGGTCACGCCTCCAACGCACACATTTTTCTATATAATTAAGAAACCACACTTCACCTCATTTAGTCGAGATAATAATTTAAAATTTTCTTGTCTTTCCTATATTAATAATATTTTAATTATTAAATATCATTTTTTAATTTTATATTATTAATTCAATTATATCTATCACATATTTAAATGGTGTAAGAAAGTTGACTACAATGGCAAGCTGTTTTTAATCTCTTAAGCAAATTTTTGAATTTAAGTTGTTGTGAATGTAAAAATCTTTTATAATAAACTTATCTACTATATTTAAGTCTTTGACCTGAGTTAAATTTAAATTAAATCAGATGAAAAAAATATAATATTATATTAAAATTTATTTGATATACTTTAATCAGTTGATCATAAATTTTTTTATATTATTGTTTCATCAGACTAAATTTTATTTTTATTTGTATAGATACGATAAAATCGATCTCAACAATTAATATTTTTATCTTATATTTATATACTTATACAATACATTTGTTTCTATTTTATTTCATTTTTTTTCAAAATTTTCTCTCTGTTACATTCATTTATCATATATTTTTTTAAAATTTTTCTCTATTTTTTTTCTTGTAATCATAAAAGTAAACAAATGACGAATATGAATTGCTTGTTGTCTTGATACAATATATAAATACCTGTGTTTGGTAGGGGTGCAAGCAAATGCATATTATTAAATCTCCATTCCTCTCATGACCAGATCTGTGCTAGGAATCTGAATGAGCGAATATTGGTTTCTGCAACTTCATTTTCAAAACTATCTCAATGCTTTGATCCGTGAATGGAGAAAGGATTCCTTGGCCTTTTCCATTCCATTCATCTCTTCAAATATTTTCCTCTTTGCGTTCATACTTCTGGTTATTTTGATAGTGGTCAAGAAAGGACTAGTCACCATTTCATCATCCTATTTTGAACTTTGAGGTTTGTTTCTATCTTATTTATTTTCATTTGCTTATCTTCATATAAATATATATATATATATATATATATATATATATATATATATATAATTTTAAACTCATTTTTTTTTCCAAGAAATTTGTTGATGCTAGATTTTTCGAGTTACAATCTTTGGAATATGGATTCATTAGTTTTTGAAGTTGGTTATAAAATTTATACTGTTAACTTTAGTTTGTTAGATAATTTGTTTTTATAAAGACCTTATTTGATAAGTGATTTGTTAATACTGGGCCTGAAAGCCCAACAAACTAAGTTCTTGTCCCTTAAAAATTCTTAGTTATTTATTTATTTTTAAAAGTTAATCTTTTATAATATATTTTTTGTGAATTTTATTTTTATTTAATCTCTTTAAATATTATAATTTATCATTTGATTTTCATAAATATTATAATTTTTTATTTAGTCCCATGGAATGAGAAACAAAAAGAAAATAAATAAAATTCATGATATTTTGAGGTATTTAAATACAATTGAAATATATATATATATAAAGTTTTATAGATTTTTTCTTCACTCTGCATATGCACACAGAAGCACACTGTGGTTCAATCTCCCTTCTCAACTGAACACAGAGACTAGGGTGAAACCCAGGGCTTGGACCGCGAAACCTAGTGCCATCACCTCAGCTCTAGGTGAGTTTATTTTGGGTCATTCTTAGTTAGGTTCGAACGACTCCTTACGAGCTGCCAAGAGATTATCTCTGTTGATTTTTGTGTTTTGTAGGTTCATTCGATCACTCACAACTCCACTGTTGCTGCGCGGGACGCATTCATTTGGTAAGCACTCGTAGAACGTTGTTACCTATAGAATTTCCTGCTAATCCAATCATAAAAAGTGAAAATAGTAGGAAGAAGATGAAAAAGGAAAAGAATCGTGTAAAGAGAAAAGAGAAAGATGGAGTAAGACAATAGAATTAACCTACCATTATATTTTGGCAAGCTAAATCGGAGTGGACTGGCTAGTCAGTGAACGCAAAACATTCGGTGGAGCCATTTTTGAGCCCATTATGACACCCAAAGCGGTAGTGATTAATTATGATTCGATCATTGTTGATAGAAAAAGATAAAGGGAATGAATATTGGCTCAAATTTAAGATCTTAAGTTGGTTCCATAATTTAAAGCAAAACGTTCAGGTCATAGCAATTTGTATGAAGTCAAGATTTTTTCTTTCAAAAGATTATGAAGCAACTTTAGAAATACCTTTCCACTTGCAATGCAATGCAAACCTATGAGGAACTCTTATATGATGCTTTGTGGGACAATTAACAGGTGTCATTTTAGCCTTGAAAATATGAAAGTTATGATGCTGTAAATGACGATTTTATTTATGTCATATTTCAGCTTTTTATGTCATATTTCAGTTAAGTTATAATAGAACAAATTAATAAATCATTAACAGATTGACTAGATACAAATGAAAAACATGTTTTGAGAGATTAAATTAAAAAAATAAATTAAATGAAATTTTTAAAATTTTTTAAAAATATTAAAATCTTAATTAGGCCTTTATAACTATTCAACAACATGATTTATATAAGATTGTAAAAAAAAAATAAAAATGGTCCAACAGTACTTGTTCATGGTAGGTTTTCACTGGTTTTGCCCAGTCTTGACCAGTTTTGAACCCATTTTTTGCTCCATCAATTTTTTGGATTGTCTAGATCGATGACTTGACAGTTTCTCGATCCAATTGGCTAGTCTGATTTTTAAAACAATGAATATATCTATTGAAATTAATGGTTAGGATAAGCTGGTGAGTTTGAAACGTGAGAAAATTAAAATGAAAGGGAATTCAATTATCTTCACTTTTGTAAAGTTTTGTGTTTCAGGTGAAATTAGAATTTTAATATGATTATTTTCAAAATAAAAGATAAATTATTTTATTTTTTTGTTGCATGCTAAATTGGAAAATAAAATGAATAAAAAAACAATAAGAAGCATAAAAATCAAAAGATTATCCAAAAAAATTTAAAATTTAGCTAGATCATTTTTTACCTTGTACATTCTTAAAAACATACTCTAACAATTGAGACTATTGCATCATTGTTGGCTTGTGGTTTTCCATTAGGCTTAGACTGGAGCAATACAACACAATCTTTTACTTCAATATGTTTAGGAGGATTAATTTTTGCACCGACTGTTTTTACTAGTTGCATCAATTTTTTTTCTTTTATATTTTAATTTCTGAAAGTATATATAATATATCTCAAAAACTAAAATTTGAAAGTCATTTACGAATTTCCTTTGGATATTAAATTTCAAAAAATGATTTGCTATATGAGTTTTAAAATTTATTTTTTGGAATGTATTAAACACATTCTACAAATTAAATTCTAAAAATGAAAATAGAAAAGGGGAGATTGCTATTTGCGCTACCGTTTTTGGCCATTTGCGTCATCCTTTCCGCTGTGGGCTCTAGAATTTAAATTTTGAAAGTGTATTAAATACTTTTTAGAAACTAAATTCCAAAAGTGATTTGTAAATGAGTTTTGGAGTTTAGTTTCTAGAATCACTTTTGGAATTTAGTTTATAGAAGATATTAAATTATTTTTGAAATTAAATTTTTGGAAATAATTTATAAATATTTTTCAAAATGTAGTTTCTAGAAGATACAAAATGACTTCTGAAATTTAGTTTTCAGAAGTCATTTGCAAACCACTTTCTAAATTTAGTTTTTGAAAAGTATTTAACACACTTTAAAAATTAAATTCTGGATGTCACCATAAAAAAAAGGTGGTGTGAATAATAAATTTAGGTAATGCAAAAAGTAATATCCTAAAATGGGTGGTGTGAATAGCAATTCCCTAGGTTCAGGAGTGTAATTTTGGTCATCTTTTTGAAATCCTTTTAAATTCTTATTTGCACGTTAAGAAGCGCAATTGTGGTACAATCACATCACGCAACCTATATCCATTATAGAACTTGAACTTTTTGCACAAAGAAGAACAAGAACAATAAAGCTCATCTCGTCTATTGATTATCATAATTAATATTATCTTGTCATTTACATACATGCAGAAGATGTAGTTAGGGGTGAGGCATGGCTTCTCTTGTTGGGATTTATCAATTCCTATCATCACCTGATGCAAAGGTGTGGCTAAAGGAGCACCTGATTGACTTGAAGTTGTACGAGGCAAGAGTTGAGGATTTGACAGCTGTTGTTCCAAAACTGAAGAGAGAGAGAGAAAGGGTTCAACATAGAGTTGAGGAGGAAGAAAGTCGTCATGGGAGAGGAATTTCAGATGAAATTAAAGAATGGATAAAACGGGTGGATAAAGTGATTTCTGAGCATGAGGATTTTGATGGAGATCATGAATGCCATGAACTTGCTGCGTTGGACTTCTTTACAAATGGTTACCTTCCTAAGCCAGGGATAAGGTATCGTCGAAGTAGAAAAGCAAATGATATTATAGGAAAGGTTAATGGATTACTGCAAAAGGCGCCAAAGTTTGATTCGTTTTCATATTGGCTTGGCCCACCCTCCATGGAATCCTTTTTCTCTAATGTTGATTATGAAAGACTTCCATCAAGAGATGAAGCTATGGAAAAGATTAAGACAGCATTGGAAGACCCAAGTGTTAGAATAATCGGGCTTCATGGGTTGAGTGGTGTAGGCAAGACCACTTTGGTCAAAGAACTAGCCAAGGATTTCTTGGAAGCTAACACATTTAAAAGAGTCATCATGGCAAACGTAACAAGGAATCCAGACATAAGAAAAATTCAAGGACAAATTGCTGACATGTTAGGGAAGCAATTAGATGGGGAAAGTGACATTGCTAGAGCTGATCAAATAAGAAACAGATTAAAGAATGAGAAGGAGGGCACCCTTATAATCCTAGATGACCTTTGCGAGAAATTGGACTTCAACATGCTAGGGATTCCATCAGTGAACAATAATAATGATTATGGCTCGATGAATGTGAAAGAAGGAACATCACTAGGCGCTGTGATGGGGAAACCGGAAAAAAACAAGGGTACTTCCAAAGTGATGAAACCGAAAACAACCTCTGGTGCTTCCAATAGGATGCAAACAGACGAAACTCATTACAGAGGGTGCAAAGTTTTGTTGATTTCTGAAATCAAACAAGTACTATTAAGCCAAATGGGAGGGAAGGAGAGCTCTATTTTTCAATTGGAGGCCTTGAAGGAAAATGAACCAAAGATACTATTCACGAAAATGGCTGGAATAAATGAGAGAAATTTTGAATTTGTAAAATTAGCTGCTCAAATTGCTGACAAATGCAATGGATTGCCAATGTTGATAGTTACAACGGCAAAGGCATTAAAAAATCAAAGCCGGTCAACGTGGGAGGATGTTCGTCGACAACTTGAATGGCAAAAGTCAACAGGGTCGCCTGAGTTTTCTACAAAGTTGAGTTATCAGCTTTTAGAAGATGAGGAGCTCAAGTACACTTTCTTACTTTGTGCTCGCATGGGTCATGACACATTACTTATGGATTTGGTGAAATACTGCGTTGGTTTGGGTTTTCTTCAAGGAATCTACACAGTAAGGGAAGCCAGAGATAGAGTGTATTCATTGGTTGGAAAGCTAAAGGGGTCTGGTTTGTTGTCTGATAGTTATTCAACTGATCATTTTACCATGCAAGATATTGTTCGTAGTGCGGCTTTGTCAATAGCATCCAAGGATAAGCAAGTATTTACAATGACAAAGGCAAAAGTAGATGAATTGCATGACAAATTTCGAAGGTATGCTGCTATTTCCTTACATCATTGTGATATCATTGAAGGCTTTCCTAGGAGAATAAATTGCCCAAAACTTACAGTCTTCCATGTCAACAATATTTATCCACATTTGGAAATACCTGACAACCTTTTTCAAGGAATGAAAGAACTCAAAGTGTTGATATTGACTGGCTTTCATCGATCCCCCTTACCTCCATCAATTAGATTCTTAACAAAACTCCGAATGCTTTGTTTGGAGCAATGTGTGCTAGGTAAGGACTTATCCTTCATAGCTGTGATGAAAATGTTAAGAATTCTTAGCTTTTCAGGATCTGATATTGAGAAATTGCCAGTTGAGTTGATGCAATTAACAAATCTTCAAATTTTTGACATAAGTAATTGCTTCAAACTTAATCACATTCCTTCCAATGTAATATCCAGTTTGATTAGTTTGGAAGAGTTGTATATGAGAAACACTTTGATTCAATTCAAGGTTGACCAACAAACAAAACAAAGTTTAGGTGTTCTTCTATCTGAGTTAAGGCATCTGAATCAGTTGACAATTTTAGACATACAAATTCCGTACATTGCCCAATTGCCGAAGAACTTGTTCTTTGACAAGTTATATAGTTACAAGATTGTTATTGGAGAATTGAATGCATATTTAGAGACAGATTTCAAGATGCCCGAGAAGCATGAAAGATCAAGATTTTTGGCAATACAGTTAAAAAAGGCCTTCGACATTCATTCTCAAATAGGTATAAAAATGTTGTTCGATAGAGTTGAAAATTTGTTGCTGGAAGATCTCGAAGGCGTCCAAGATTTATTTTATAGATTGAATTTGAAGGGATTTCCATATCTAAAATCTCTGTCAATTGTAAATAATTCTCATATTCTATCTCTCATTGATCCAAAGAAGAGAAGGCAGCATCCTGAGAAGGCTTTCCCCAAATTAGAGTCATTGTATCTCTATAATCTCAAGAAAATGGAAAGACTATGCTCTTGTAGACTTTCAGCACCCTCCTTCACCAAATTAAAAGTCATCAAGATCAATCTTTGTAGTGAATTAAAGAATATCTTCTTAATTTCTATGGTTAAACTTCTAATTGTTCTTGAAACAATTGAAGTTTCTGAATGTAACTCTTTGGATTACATTGTCGATGTGGAACAACATAATAATCGCAATGAAGAGCTTAAATTTCTTGAGTTGCGCTCTTTGACACTACGATCTTTACCCCAATTTGTTGGCTTTTCATCGAGGGCAATAGGAGGGATATTCAACGAAAAGGTGCGCTTAAAACTTTCTTGTGAATTAGTTTATCTTTCTTATTTTAAATTATACGCGTGTAGGGTAAAATATATTTCTAGTCCCTTTAAATATGGTTAAAATTGAGTTTAGTCCTCCTACGGCAACACATGCTATCTTAAAATGGTTGTTGATGTAGCATGCACATCACTATTGATACTAGGTATAAAAAAATTTAGTAAATTAAATACGATATAAAAAAAAAATAATGGGTTTCATTCTTTTTATGATTAATTTTTGCAACGATCAGGTCCTCTTTATACATCGAAGTTCCTTTTTCATTTAATTTTTATTTAATTAATGTAATTGTTAACTTGTACATTTCACATTGTTTAGCTTGCCTCATGAAATATTTAGTAATACACTAATAATATTTAAGTATTGAAATTAGTTGGGTAACTTATTTTATTCCGATCTTGCAAAGTAAATTAGGAGCATAATTTTACTTTAGTGGGTAACTATCTGTTATCAATGTAAAAGTCTTTGTCATCTTAAATTGCAAATTAGGGTGACTGAGTTTACACAAATTGAAACCATAAATTTTATAAGTGATGATAAGGGCTTGTTAAAAATATTTATGAGTATTAAAACTAAATTTATTTATATTTTTTAGACAAAATATATTTAAATTATACACATTTATACATGCAAAGAAAAAAGTTTGTAAGTTGGTAAAGTAAAATAAAAAATAAAAATTCTGTAGTGAATAAGTCAAATATATATATTGTTAAATATTTGGAGATGCTTATTTGTGTTTCTTCGCAGGTTGTAGTTTCCAAATTAGAGAGATTGGAGTTGTCCTTAATTCAAAGTGACAGAATATGGAGTAAAGAAGCTTCGCTATGTTCCTATTTTCAAAATTTGAGACACTTGGATGTGAATTATTGTTGGAATTTAACAAATTTGTTGTCATTTTCAATGGCCAAGAGTATGTTGAATCTTCAAAGCCTTTTCGTAAGCGAATGTGAGAACATGGAATGCATTTTTGTCGAAGGTGCAGGTAGTAGTTATCTTGGTAAAATGAAGGTACGTAGGCTAGAGGAATTAGATTATGCCTTCATAATGTGGAACTAATACTACTGTGAGCACCTAAATTTTGTCTTTTCATTGTTTTATTTTGTTTGTTATTATTATCTTATTTTCTTGTCGTCACTTCACTCACTTACTCTGTTTTTATCCACACATTTGCACTTTTTATCACCGTATCCAAAAAAACAGAATCTCAGAGAACATTTCCTCACTCTGCACAGAAAACACACAGACTAAGGATTTGAAATCTGTTTGTGGTGACACCTTAGATATTGAAAGATTATTCAGAACTGTACATGTAGATGTGTAAAAATATGAAACCATACATTTTCATGCTCAAATACTACTACAGCATACTACATATGGACAACTGCTCAAATAGGATTGCTTCCTGTTTAGAAGAAAAAGAAACGTGGACAACTAGTCGCTTAAGTGATTTAGTATGCAAAAAACTCATTAACTTAATTTATCATCTTAATAATTAAGATGATAAATTACCATTCATGATTCGAGAATTACTATAAATGATTTGATATGCTTTGTAATTCTTAAAGTTGTATTTTGCAATTGCCAAACTAGCAAGTAGCTACACTACAATTTCTTGACCTATATCGCAGTTTAAAACATTGGTAATCAATATACTTTCTGCTCTGTATACATTGATTTAGTTTGCTTAAAAATTTTGACATCTTGATTAACTATGGCTCTTGTGACCCAAAGCAGGATAGACTCTTTCCAAATTTGAAGAATATAAAATTGACTAGCATGAAGAGTTTAAGTGAGATATGGAATTCTGAAGTCCCTCCAGATTCCTTCGCAAAGCTGGAGACTTTGATAATCGAGAAGTGTGATAAATTAGTCAATGTTTTTCCTCTTTACATGGAGAAAATGTTTCAAAGTCTATGCACCTTGAGGGTTACTAATTGCAAGTCCATGAAAGCTATATTTGACTTAAAGAACAAAAGGCGAGATGCTGGGAATGTAACCAACTTGCAAGATGTTCATTTAGAAACACTCCCGAAATTGGAAAAGATATGGAAAGACAATCAGGAAGGGGCTCTTAAATTGAATAACCTGCAAAAATTACGGGTTCGCGATTGTGACAGCTTAAAAAATATATTTCCATTTCCCGTGGCCCATTGTCTTAATAATCTTGAATATCTTATGATATTGGATTGTTTTGAATTGAGGGAAATTGTTGCCAAGCGGGAAGGTATCAAAATCGATGGAAGCAGACCAACTCCAACTCCAGCACCAGCACCAACACCAACACCAACACAAAAACCATTTTTGTTTCCTAAACTAATGACAGTCAAATTTTCAAACCTACCAAAACTCAAGTGTTTCTATCCAGAAGTTTATGAGCTAAGTTGTCCTGCTTTGAAGGACCTGTCTATTGAACTTTGTGACAAGCTGGAACCATTCGAAAAAGAAAGTGCAGATGCTCATCCAAGAAAGCCTATCTTTCCTGAAGAGGTACTGCTATGCCTTTCAACTCTTTGGATTTCTTTCTAATTCATTGAGACGTAGACAAGATATGATAATAAGTGTACAGATGAATTGAAAATGATGTACTTTCATATATTTACATTTTTTCATCATTTGATTCTTATAGGTAATCAATAAGCTCAAGGCCATACAAATTGAGTTGTGGCATGCAAATTCGTCCAGCAGCTACATGGGGGAGGGGAACTATCGAAGCAATAACTTAGAAGAGCTTCAGTTATCAAAATTTATGAATACTGAGATTCTATATTCTTTCCTTCATAACAATCCTAATCTACAAAGCCTCTCATTGAACAATTGCTCCTTTAAAGAGATAGTGCCTCTTAAAAGGCGTCCTGAAATTCAGAACTTAGGGGTTGTTCCAAAGCTGAAAAGCCTGAAGTTAATAGACTTACCTATGCTTGAGAAGATAGGCTTTGAACGAGACATAGTCCTTCAAAGAATAGAGAGCTTGATTTTAAAGAATTGTCCTTCTTTAGACACTATAGTGCCTTCCTCGGTTTTTCTAGCTCACTTGACATATTTGGAAGTGGTTGAATGTAATGGATTGAGAAACTTAATGGCCCCATCAACTGCTATGGGTCAACTCAACATCATGAAAGTAATGAAATGTGAATCTTTGGAGCAAATTGTAAGGGATGAAGGAACAGATGCAGACAAAGTTGAGATTGTTTTCAAACAATTGAGAACTCTAGAACTTGTGTCACTGAAGAACCTCAAAAGCTTCTGCAGCTCTGAGAGTTGTGTCTTCGAGTTCCCGTCATTGGAGAAATTAGTAGTGAGTGCATGTGCCAAAATGGAAAATTTCTCTAAAGTCAAGAATGCGCCAAATTTAAAGAAAATATATATCCAACATGAACAAGAAAAAAAGAGATTGTACTGGAACGAAAATTTAGAAACTTCGATACGAACAATGTTCCAAGAAAAGGTACGTACACATGATTTATAATTACTTTGCTTTTTCTGATTTATTTGTTTTGCCTTTGAAAATTAATTTAAAACGAGTAACTTATTTCTTCAGATAATAATTTTAAAAACAAGGTTTTCTTTTTCTTAAAAGATGAAAAAGGAAAATATATTCTATCTAATTAAAATAAAGTGTTCAAGTATATATAACTATTCATTTGATATTTGTGTGGACATAGAGTTGTTATTCACCAGTAGAAAACAGGTATGGATCATTTTTCAAACTGAAATGAATGTTCTGATACCCTGTTCTAATCCTACCAATTATTATTTCCACTATAATTCGTTTACTTTTATTTTACTCATCCAATATTTTGTTAAAATCAATTAATAAAAATGTGTTCTTTTCAAACAACATTATTCATTCTATGTTGTTACTAAAATTAGAATAAATCCTTAAATTAATCATTTAAAGATTAGTATGTCTTAATAATAATTTAATAATAATTTTTTAAATCTTTGTTTTAAATATAATTTTATGTTAAATTTCGTTAACAGTATGAGATCATTATTTATTTTTGTAAACATTTGAGTAAAGAGTGCATAACTTTTTCAAAACACTGAAAAATTTTAATATGTTAGTTAAAAAATTGATAAAAAAATTGATTTTTTACAATTAGCGAAAGTAAGTGATAGTTTAAAAAATAAAGTTATAATAAATTAAAAATAAAATAAAATGAATTCATTCAAAAAGATAAATTTAGGCTCCATCAAATAAATCATTATTTATTATACAGAAAAGTAAATGATATCATAAATTAAAATAGATATTGTAGATATATAAATTTAAGGACTATTTGATTTTAAAAAATATTTACTATTTTTATATTCTATTTTCACTTTTAGTTTCAAACTTATCATCTTTTTTTCTTCTTCTTATTTTCAAAGATAAACAAGAAATGGTGAAAACAACCTTTTTTATTCTTTTCATCGTTTCATATAAAAATCTTTAAAAATAAGAAACAAAATGGAAACAAAGTGATAGTTTTACAACTAATGATAAAAATAAAATATTTTTTAGAATTAAACAGTCCCTTAACTTTCATCAAATAAATTACAGATTTTTAAAATAAATGAATAAATAGATAAATAGATGAAACTATTATAAATATACAAGAAAAATACATAGAAAATTTAACCTCTGCAAAATGGATTACAGATTATCATGATAAGAAATGTAACAGCATTGTTATAATAATTTAAAAAAAATAGAAAAAAACGGTATCATTTCATGAAGTATTAACATGTGACATGAATAACAAAAACTGATTTATATACATAAGTATTAACATGTTTAATGATAAACTAAATTGCAATTTACAGAAGTGTTTTGAAGGTATGGAGGAAATGAATTTTTCCGAACATCCTGAGTTACAAAAAGCTTGGCAATCAAATGATGCTCAACTGCTAGAGAATTGGTTTTCGAGCTTGACGACTTTGAAGCTGGTCGAATGTAAAATTCAACCCTATGCAGTTCCATCGAATATTCTTCCTTGCTTAATGAGCTTAAAAGAATTGGAGGTACATAATTGCAAGAAAATAAAGGCAATTTTTGACATGGAAAACCGAGAAGACACAATATTCCAATTGAAGAATTTGAGTTTAAAAGAGCTACCGAAGTTAAGACTTGTGTGGGAAAAGAACGGTCAAGGAATTCTCAGCTTTCAAAATCTGCAACATGTCTTTGTCAGTGGTTGTAAAAGGTTGCCGACTCTGTTTCCTGTGGCCCTGGCCAGAAACCTTAAGAAGCTCGAGAAACTTGAAATCCAATCTTGTCATAAGTTGTTTGAAATTGTTGAAAAGGAAAAAGCAGCAGCAACAGCAGAGGTGCCAGAAGAGTTTGTGTTCCTCCGTTTGACCGTGTTAAATCTTTATGACTTGCCACAATTAACTCACTTTTACCCTCAAACATTCACTGTGGAATGCCCCGCTTTAAGTAATTTAACTGTATTGGATTGTGGTGTGTTTGAGGTATTTCAAACTCCGGAAGACGAACATTCCACAGCAGAGGGTGAAGGTAGTAGCATTTCAATTAATAGACAACCCCTTTTCTCAAATCTAAAGGTAAAGTATTTTGGTTTAGATATGTTTTTTTTAAATCTTTGACAAAAAAATAGTTTTTATCTCTACATTTTGGTAAGATCTTTCTTTTAGTCATTCCAACCTTTTTTGGGTCGAACATAAAATAAAATAAAATAAATAGAGAAATTAAAACAACAAACTTGTAAAAATATAGGTACAAAAGCATATTTAAGCATTTCACAATTTGAAAATACACTTTTCATCTTTTAATTCATAGCCTTTATTTTTACTTGTTTTGCCTTTACTAGGTCATTGCCAAACTTGAGGAGTTGTCACTCGATTGGAAATACACTTCGATATTACGGTCTTGGATAGCGTCTGGACAATTTGAAGAAAACCTCAAGTATTTGAACGGTCTTTCTCTGTTCTTTGATTGCCATGATGATGACACGCCTAATTTTCCTATTCAAATTCTTGAAAAGGCTCCCAATTTAGAACAAATGAGTCTAGAATATTGCAAGAAACCTGAGATATTCCTCACTCAAAACCCCGTTAAGGACGGGATGCTTGAACAGTTGAAAGAATTGGCAGTGAACGTAGTATCAGATCTCCCTTCCATTGGATCAAATGGACCATCATTGTTAAATGCAATCTGCGAGAGGCTCCACCAATTATATGTTTTCGATTGTTCTGATTTGAGAGCAGTCGTAGATTCTTCTAGTACAGTATCTTTCGCCAATCTAAAAATATTGTTTATATCCGAATGTCCTAAATTGGAATATTTAATCACATCCTCAGCAGCAGAAAAGTTAAAGCACCTTGAGGAGTTAATGGTCGTTAATTGTGAATTACTGAAGGGAATAGTGGCGAACGAGCAAAACCAACCAACTTCAGGAGTGATTGAATTTAAGCAGCTAGACTCTATAAGCCTAATTTCTTTATCAAAACTGGAATGTTTTTATTCAGGCACTGCCACTTTGGATTTACCATCTCTGATACAAGTTCAAATATTACAGTGCCCAGATATGAAATATTTCTCACAAAATTTGAAAGTTGGAAAATCTTTTAGAGGAATTCAAGGTTCAGACAATGTAAATGATGATTTGATCTGGGGTGATAATTTCAACTCCTCGGTAGAAAAGGTGTCTCTTCTACAACGGGTAAGGACTTCATCCATATCATTTGGTCGATCATGGCGTTGGATAACAACGTTTGTTCATAATAACATCCACAAAATTATGATTCCAATATTTTGATAATTTCTTAATAACTTGTTGTTGTGTTAATGACTTATCTATCATTTTTGTTATATTAGCCATTTACATGATACTCCTACAACTACAACTAAGACTCAGAAGGACTTCACATTTTACGTCAATTGCTTTTGGCACTAACTTAGGGCAAACCTATTACATAGCTCTTTTCTTTTCTACTAATAAAAAGTTCACATTCTTTAATTTTTATTTCATATGTACACGTAAGTTTACTCAAATTTAACTTTAAAAAATTAAATTAATTATGATTTGCAAATGTCCAAATCAAAATATTTGTCTCAACTTTCAACAGAATTGCCTTTCCCTTGGAAATAATAATAGAAAGGAAAATGCTTACAATGAGGTAAATGACGAGAGGAAGAAATTGTGAAGAGAAATTGATAAATAAAATACTTCAATTTAGTAAAGGAAAAAAAAAATAGGAGTGCTATATTTGAAACTCGACATTACAATTAAACAACTGCTAGACAAGAATAGTGTGTTGCGTGGTCGAATGAATAACTATATTGTTAAGAGTGATAATAAATATTTAAAATGTAACGATAATATTTTAATAAATGTGTTCAAAATAAATTATACTAAAGTATTTACGTAATGGAAGGGAAATGTTAGTTTGAAATAATGTAAAATTGTAGAGGGGAGTAATTGAATTAAAAGTAAAAATGTGCCTTTTTTTGGTTAAATACAATTCCTGTTTGTGTTTATCTTTGTAGAAAAAATTGTCTTTATTTCCACGCGCTTGGCTGCTAAGTTGTGTGGGTATGTGTTTTCCTTTATTATGATTTATTTTCCTTAGCTTTGAATCAAGGTTTGGCTCTTCATCTTTGGATGTTCTATCATTTGTTTGTTTAGTAGTTGCCTTTAATTTCTTCTTAAACCAAATTCCAAAATTGATTCTTCCATATTTTGAATGTGTTTGTTCTTTAATAATGTTCTCTTATGTATTTTAGTGTGCATTTGTCACTAACCTGGTTCAATTGATAATGTTTTGGATTGTGTTATCAACGTCATAGATGGTCGCACAAATTGTGAATACTTCTCTAGTATGCATTTTAGTTTAATGTATAGAAATGATTAAGAGAGAATTGACTGATGAGAGTTACGAATTATGGAAATTGATGGAGTTATTAAGTTTAATGAAAATTAAATAGTTATTATGGAGATTAAGAGAGAAAAATATATCAAATGTTGTCCCTTGAAAGGTAAAATGATGCATCTCAGCTAAAACATTGAGGTCACAAACTTTTGTTAAATGTTTATTAACTTACATGGAAATGCTATAGGTTGAGCTTTTCCCAATTCAAATAAGTATAATGAAATGAGATTAACAGAAAATTGTGGACATTAGTGAGAATTACGAGGATTTATTAAGATTACTAAAAATTAAATAGTTATTATATAGAATAAGCGAGAAAAAAGTATATTAATGTCTTTGAAAGGTAACAACATAGTTAAAACTTGCCTACATGGATTCGCTTCTCAATTCAAATAAATAAAATGAAAACTTGTGGAGATTAAGAAAGAATTCTGGAGATGAATGAGAATTACAAAAATTGATTGTTATAAAGTTGAATGAAAATTAAATAGAGTTATTACAGAAATTAAGAGATAAAAGTATATTGAAGACCCTTTTTGAAAGGTAATTAAGATGATAGTAATTCAGCTAAAAAGTTAATGTGATAAATTTGCTTACAAGAAAGTGCTATAGCTCGCCCTTTAAAATTTATATATTATAAATAAATATATGAATCCTTAGACACATGTTTTTACATATGATTTTACATGTCCAGGATAATTTATATTTCAAGGATTCTCCAATGTTGAAAGAGATATGGCTTGGGTCAGAGATAGCCCTAAGTTGGTGTTTCAGCAATTTAAGTAGTTTAGTTTTGGAAGGATGTGATTTTTTATCAAATGCAATTCTACCCTCTCATTTGCTTCCTTTATTAAGAAACTTGAAAAAATTGCAAGTACGGGAATGCAATTCTATTAAGGCAATATTTGATCATATAATGATGATTAATGGGAATGGGGGACCTAATGGAAATTACAACCTTCCACTTCTGAAAAACCTTAGTGTGGAAAACTGTGAAGGGTTAGTACAATTTGTTGCAAAGGATGAAGCAACCGTTGAAGAAGCAAATAAAGAGCTTATAATTTTCCAGAAATTAACCTCATTGAAGCTGCTGAATTTGCCAAATCTGAGGTGCATTTATCCTGGAATAGGCATTCTAGAAATGCCTAAGTTAAGAAAATTAGATGTTTCTTCATGTCCTCGTTTGACAACATTAGTACATTCTACTTCTACTGTATCTTCCTCTAATCTAAAATTCTTTTACCTATCCAAATGTGGTGGATTGGAGTATTTATTCACATCCTCAACGGTAAATAAGTTCAACTGCCTTAAGCATTTCAGTGTTGAGGAATGTGAATCGATGAAAGTAATAGTGGCTAAAGAGCAAGGTGATACAAGTTCAGAAGTGATCAAATTTGAGCGACTAGAATTGATGGTTCTAAGCTCTTTATCAAGCCTAGAATGTTTTTATTCAGGCAGTGCCACTTTGGAGTTATCATCCCTGACAGCAGTGCAAATATTGCAGTGCCCAAAAATGGAAAATTTCTCTATGGGATCAACAGATGCAAAATCTTTTACTGGAATTCAAGTTTCCACTGACTCAAATGATGATTTGGTCCTCCACAATGATATTAATGGCTCAGTGAAACGGATCTTTCTACAACAGGTAAACGACTTCATCCAAATCAATTGATTATGACTACAACTTTTGCGTGCATTTCACAAAACAAACCTTGTTCAACCATCTCTTTTGATCAATTATGGCAGTGGATAATAATATTTATATTCTACTTATCCTTACTGTGTTTATTATAATATTTGGATAATTTGTTTGTAACTTTTGATTATGTAAAACTATGCTATCATTCTTAATACAATAACTTTATCACTTATCTCAAAGAAATATTAGCCATATACATTGTCTGTTTTTGTAAGAAAAAACGTCACATAGTGCAACTATACTTACACAACTATGATTTAAAAGGACTTTACATTTGGATTATTTTATTTTTATATCCACTTTTTCTTACATTCATTTCATATCATTTCTTTCTTTTTATCTTTCTTTTCTTTCCTTTGCATCATCAATAAAATCTCTTACTTTCACCTTTTTTCTCTCTCTTTCCTCTACCCATTTCACACCCATCATTCGTTTGGTGTACAATGAACATCACTATTTCATTTTACACCTCAATTGTTTGCTTTTGGCATTCACTTGGGACAAACTCATTTCATAGTTTTTTCGCTTCCTAATAAATAGTTCATACTCTTCTATTTTTGTTTAACTAATAACTGTACCCGTGCAATGTTTGTAAATATTCACCGCATTTAACTATATAAAATTAATTATTTAATTGGTGTTGTAAAAAAATAAAGTATGTCTTTCATTGGTCTTAGCTTTTGATAGAATGATCCTTCCTTGGAAAAAAAAATGATACAGAGGAAAATGCTTTACAATGAAGTAAAATGATTAATGACTTAAGGAAGTAATTACAGAAGAGAAATAAACAAAAGTGAATAAAATAATTTAATTTGGCAGAGTACAACATTTGATACTCAATAATTATGCATCCTTTCATCAAGATTAAGTACTTTCATGTCTTTATTCTCTTGCATGGCCAGGATCATTTAGCTCTCGGGGATTCTCGTATGTTGCAAGAGATATGGCTTAAGCCGGAGCCACTCCCAAGCTGGTGTTTCTGCAATTTAAATTCTTTGATCATTGAAGGCTGTGAATTTTTATCAAATGGGATACTACCATGTCATTTACTTCCTTTCCTTAGTAACTTGGAAAAGTTGCAAGTTCAAAAATGTAATTCAGTGGAGGCAATATTTGATCTGACACAGATGAATAATATGGAACCTGCTTCTGTTCCCCTCTCCATTCCCTTAAAGAAACTGATTTTGGATCAGCTTCCAATTCTGAAGCATGTTTGGAATGGAGATCCTCAAGTAAGTCTCAATCTTCCATTTTTGGAAGAAGTTTTGGTTAATGAATGTGACAGCATAAAAGGTTTGTTTCCAGCATCAGTGATTAACAATAAACTACAAAAACTTCATGTGGAGAACTGTGCGGAGTTGGTGGAAATTGTTGTAAAGAATGAATTAGCCGTAGAAGAAACAAATAAAGAGCTTGTTATATTTCCAAGCTTAACCTTGTTGAAGCTATGGAATTTGCCAAAACTGAGGTGCATTCATTCTGGAAAGCACATGCCAGAGTGGCCTATGTTAAAAGAATTACATGTTTTTCATTGTCAAATGCTGAAGTTTTTTGCAACAGATTTTCAAAATTCTACTAATTCACATTCAGAGGGTCAAGATAGTTTTCCCACAGACCAGCAAGCCATTGTCTCGCTCGAAAAGGTATGACTATTTCTGGGTGTGTTTATATAAACTGTTCAACTATAATTATATATTATTTAAATAATTTGTGTTAGATCTTGTAAAACTTGAACAAACATGAGAAGATAATTAAATAATTTTTATTTTTATATATTTTTAAAGTAGATATTATATTAATTTCAATATATATTAATATAGTATCAAATAATTTTATATTGATCTGAATGTTGTGTATATGATAAAAAGAAAATTAATCCAATGGTTGGATTTAGTATAAAATATCCAAAAAAAAATTATTAAATGGTATATGAGTTGGTGTAACTCATTGTAAGTTGATCTGATCCCTCCTATACATATACATAAACACACACTTAATTGCTTCTTAATATTGCTGTTTGTCTTTCGTTCGATCCCTATCCTAGGTGGATATGAATATGATACACAGGAAATTTTAGTTTTTATCAATCATTGACCACGGCATGTTATGCCTGGTTGGGTATACGATTCATTAATATGCCAGATACTGAAATATCTCATGATTGCTATTGCATATTTTAGGGCATATTTGGAAGTTAAATTTTAGAAGGGGAGTGATAGAGGGACCAATATTTGTTTTTAATTAAGAAAGTATATATTATAAAAGTAAATAAATGATCAGTTCATCAAATTTATATTTATAAAAGGATAAATGTTTATTTCTAATAAACATTTTTTAAAAACTTATCAAAATAGAGAATGTTTTTTTAGAAATAAGAGGGTGTATGTGTGATTAAGGGTATTGTTACACAAAATTTCAAATACTAACAAAAGTGTGTGTGATTAAATTGATTTATTTTGAAGAAATAATTATTTTTTAAAATTTCTAATAAAACTATTGGAAGAAAACAGCTTTATTAACTAGGCTATTCATTTTGACGTCTCATTTTTATTATTTATTATTTTGAATCCAAGGTTACCCCCCACTTGGAGGTACTGTCATTGGGAAAGCAAGAAGCCATCATGATTGAGCAAGGAAAATTTCATGTTGACCTCCAAGTAATAAACTCCCTCAATTTGCAGTGCTTTCATGACAAATCAGATGTATTTCCATTTATTTTCCATTCAAAGGTGTCACTGCCCAATATTGAAAAACTTGGAGTGCTTCACAGTGCCTTCGAAGAGATCTTTCCCACTGAAACACCTGACACAAATCGTACTATAATCCTTTCACATCTTAGAGTATTGGAGCTACGAAGAATGTCTCATCTTAAATCCATAGGGTTTGAACAGTCCTGGATGAGCCCCATCCTTCAAAATCTAGAAGACTTATTGGTTTGGGAATGTCATTGTTTGACAAACTTAACACCATCCAGTGTGTCTTTCTCCAATCTGATAAAGCTTAATGTAAATGATTGTTGTAGATTGGAATACTTGTTCACGTCTTCAACTGCCAAAACATTACATCTGCTGAAGGAGATGCATGTAACCAACTGTATATCCTTAAAAGCAATAGTGGCTAAAGATCAAGATGAAAAAGCAAATACAGATAGTGATGAAGATCAAGAAAAAGAAGCAAATGGTGAAGAAGAAGAAGAAAAAGAAGAAGAAGAAGAAAAAGAAGAAGAAGAAGAAGTAGAAAAAGAAGAAGAAAAAGAAGAGGAGGAGGAGGAGGAGGAGGAGGAGGAGGAAGATGAAGATGATGATGATGATGATGAAGAAGAGGAAGAAACGGAGGAGGAGGAAGATGAAGAGGAAGAAGAGGAAGTTGAAAAACATGAAAAAGAAGGAAAAGAAGAAGAAGAAGAAGGTGACAGTGAAGATGATGAAATGATGTTCAGGGAGCTAGAGATTTTGAGTCTCAGCTCATTACCAAAACTTGAAAGCTTTTACATAGGGAGTGCCACTTTGAATTTGCCGTCTTTGAAAGAAATGTCGTTCACCCATTGCCACAGAACAAAAGTTTTCCATCTTGGTGATGCAGTACCAAAGGAATTGAAAGTCACAATAGACGGTGTCCATTGGGAAGGTGATATAAATTCTGTGATCAAGCGACAGTCTGAAAAGGAGGCAGCCTGAATCCTATCATGACAGATTCCCTTGACTTGTATATGTAAGTGTGATATATATATATATATAAATAAATAAAGCATATTTGATGAGAGAGTGAAAAGAGGACTTATTAATAATTGAACTAATCATACATTGGATACTGAATATTATTTTAATTATCAGTGTGTCCTCTCACTCATGCATTTTACACCCACAATATATGCCGCCTTTTAGAAATTAGAATATTCATATCGTCATATAAGTTTTTTTTTTATTGCCTTCTCTGATTATCTCACTTTTTATATTATTTAATTTGCTTCAGGAAATAATTGTTGTCTGGTGAGAGAAGCTTATTGCTGTTGTTTCACTGTCCGTGCAAGTCTTGAAAACTAGTTGCTTTTCCTCAAGCAGCAACTGAGCAAAAAGCATGAAATGTTGGTCAGTTTGTTATTTTTCCTGCATTTTTTGTTCATCTTATGGAAACATGGATCTGAACATAGTAAAAGTTAACATGACAAGTTAATTTTGACATATAAAAAAAGTTAAAAAAATGATAATGGATTCATTTTGATTTAGCAGGGATAGAAACTCATATATAGTTGTTAAACAATTATTATAAAATTAGTCTAGCAAAGAAATCATTTAAACACAAAATTTGATAGCCTAACACTTTGACATGCTTTAAAAACTATGGTTTTTCTTCTCAATAAAATATGGTGTAAATTAAAGTTGCGTTGTCATATGAATCTAAACATTTATAGATTCAACATTTAAAAAAAAAAAAAAACAATTTAAGTTTGATATTTTTTATTGTTTTTATTTTTTAATTCAAGGTTAAGGCGGATCGAAAGAATGCAATAAGTGGATAGCACAAGGAACAACTATTAACAAGTCAAGGGCTTTTCTTTTCTGTTGAAGTGTGGTGTGCTTGAATAAAATTGACCTATATGCTTACAGGAGTTTGTATTGTTCTTATGTTGCATAGTGTGTTTGCTAAATAAAGTTGTCCTGCATTTATACAACAGGAGATGTATGCATGGATTTTAGGTTACAATAAGGGTGTTTCATAAATAAATTGGACCTATCTACCGGAGGTTTGCATGGTTTTTTTTTTAAGTTATAGAAGGGTGTAATATGAATAAAGTTGACAGAATGCATGGGAGAAGGATACTCTATGGAGAAAGTTGGCGAGGCCATGCATTTCTTGTCTATGGATTTTAAGTTACAAGGTGTTACTTTCATGAATAATGTAGACCTATATGTCTACGTGTGTGTGCTGTGAAATGTGTTCATGGATTTTAATGCATGTGAGTTTTAAGTTGTAAAAAGGTGTTTGGTGAGTTAAATTGACCTATAAAATTGCAGGATGTATGTATGGTTTTCAAACTGCAAAATGAATGCTTTATGAAGTTCAATTGCGTTTCTGCAATATATGTGTATATATATATATTTGGGTAATTATATAGTTTTTAAGTTATAAAAACTTTATTTTGAATTAGACTTAAACACACATTGCATGGGGGTACTTGGCTTAATCATAACAATGAAAAATACTAACAACTTGTTTGATTACTGTTCTTAAAAACAGTTTTTGATTTTTGAAATTAAAAAAAAAGACTTGTTTGACAAAATTTGTTTTTCTTTGGGGTTTTAAAAAAATCTCTCATAAAATTAATTTGTTTTAAAACGTGCCAGAAGAAATTCATAATTAATGGGAAATATTTGAAATCCATTTGCTGGCACTCAAATATAATAATTGTAACCTGTTTTCTTATTTTATTGTTATGCACATGTTTTTTATCATTTAGAAATATATTTTTTTGAAAAACATTATTCATTTTTAAATATTAAATTCTAAAATTCACTTGGAGAATTTATTTATTTTCTAAAAGATAATAATCACATAGTTTTATTCAGATTTAAAAACCCATTAATTATCGAACCCTTAAAAATCCATTTAATGCACTTTTAAATCTTGACAAAAAAATTTTAGAAACTAATTTTTGATGAATTTTTTTTTATAGAAATACATTTTTTAAGTTTTTACTTTAAAATAATTTTAAATGTTATGTGTTCACTAAAATAAAGTTTTATCAAGTGTCTAATACTCACTTAATTAGGTAAAAACTAAATTTTAATAACTTTTAAAATCTAATTTTAAATGTAACAACTTTTGTATTAATAAAAAATTTATCTAAGATAATTGCGGTAGTTCTCTTACGTTTGAGGAAGTTTCTGATACTCTTCATATTTATTTTTACTATAAAAAAATATTTTATTATAATTTATGGAGAATATTATATGTTTTCTCAACGGTCAGTATATCGTAAATTTTACCATTATTTAAATATAGTGCTAACGTATGTTGCCAATGTGTGTGTTAATGAATTGTATGAGATTCATTATAAGACAAATTTGATTGAATATATATTTAAGTGAACTACTTTTATTATGATTTTTGGATTATTAATTTTGTAAGTAATTTATAAATAGATTTTGAAATTTTATTTGTTAAATATGTTTTAAAAATTAAATTTTAGAAGAAAAAAGTAATATAATTATAAATTATTAAAAATTGATATGATTAATAAAAAAGGTACAACAGTGATGTCGGTATATAAATTCTTATTTTTTTCTTGTTATCTAACGTGATTATATATATTAAAAAGTTAATTTGAATACAACAACAGTGTAATAATTTTTACATGTCAACTAATTAAAAATTATTGTAAATATTACTGTTAAAATAATTATCATTAAAATGAATAAGTAGTAATGTGATTTATGATTAAATAACAATATATTTTACATTATGAATATATTTTAATTACATTTAATATTAAAAAGATAAAAAAAAATTATAATAAATAGAGATACATCATATATAATTATAAGACTTATTAGTAAATTCTTTTCCGCCTGATTATGCTATATCACAACTGCATCACATTCAAATCTTCAACTCATCTAATGGAGTAATGGCTATGAAAATATAAAAAAGAGGGGGGGGGGGGGGAAAGTACAAAGAAGACTATTAAAATTTTATAAGACGACTTAGTTAGGAGTGGTTCAAGCTAGTGAAAAAGAATAATTATAAAACTAATACAGGACACGAGATAGATCAAACTAATGTTTAAATAATGCCAATTTATTCTATTATACGACAAGATCCATTTCATAGCTGCATCATGTTCAATTTTTTAAGATTTCAATGTGATAAGAAAAATGTATAACAACAACAACAACCATAATTATCAAAGTAAACTTCAATGCATTTGGTCGCTATTGGCAGGCTATAGCGTATGTGAACATGAGCAGGGGAAGAGTAATTGATGAAATAGATAATTGCTTGTATTTGGTATTTCTTAAAACCAAGGGCTGATTAAACACCAATTCTTTTTATCACTGGATTTGTGCTACATATTTCAATGGAGTAATATTAGTTTCTGAACTTCATTTTCAAAGTGATCTCGATGCTTTGAAGTGATTGGAGGAAAGGTTTTGTAGCCCTTTTCTTTACACTGCTTTCTCAAGCTTTCTTCTTGGGATTCATTAGAACTAATCATATTCGTTGCCTTCAAAGTGGTCAAGTAAGAACTGATCATAACTTGATCCATCCTATTTGAGGTTGAGGTATGTTTCTGTCCTAGTCATTTTGTTCATTTGCTCTCTTCTAAAAGAAAGATTATTGATTAACAGAATCCATGTGCATCTATCGTCTTGAATGTTTGTCGCCTAGAATTTTAAACGAATTTAATTGTAATATGCTGACAGAGTATAAGACTGTTAATGCTTTTACACTTTGGTCCAATCATGGATTGCAATATTAATGAAAATTAATGACTTTTGTAATCTTATCATAAGGTATGTTCTAATTGACAGTATAAATATTTTTGCAGTGACGGTACATTAAAATTAAACTCATTTCTTCATTAGAACTGTGCTGATATTAGAAATTTAGAGATCCATTCTTCTCAATACCTCCATTTTTCTTAGCTGATGGCATACTATACATTTTTTAAAAGTATAGCTTGTTTATTTTTTCTGGTTAATGAAATGATTATTGTAACTCTTTTAAACATAAGTTATTCTTGTCTTATTGGTTTTAAATTATCAAGGTATCGATCATCTGCTGAACTATGCTGAAGATTTGGTGGCTGCAGTTCAGTTTGCACCTGTTTATGTATCCAAGATTTGCTGTGATGTTGGTAATTGAGATTTCTTAAAATTCTTAGGTGCTCGCGAGTCATATTGAATGATGCAGAAGAAGAAATTTCTTTTTACAACAGAGCATCTAAAGAGTTTCTTATTATATAATCTATGGATCAAGTTCTAATTATTTGTTATTAAAAATGTTCATATAATAATTCTCTCTCTCTCTCTCACACACACCCTATTCCACATAATTACCTTTTTAATTTTCATCATGAGGCCTTAGAAAATTGAATATTCAACAAAGTTTAAGTTATTGTTTACAGTGTCGCAACATATTTGTTGAAATATATATTCTACATCACGACGTAAATGTTGATATAATGATCAAACAATCTTGATTGGCTCTTTTATTTTTATGACAGTTCCATCGTGTAAATTGAATTGAGCCTACTTTAGTTCAAGCTAATTTTGAGCGTGTGGGGGTTGCAAATCTTCTCTAATTCAAATGGTAAGGTATGTTTTCATTTTGTATCCTTTTTTGATTGTTAATTGTGTTGGTCAATTGTAAGCCAAATTAATTGTGTAATACATTCGATCTTATTTATAAGAACAAATAATTAATTTATCAACGTCAATAAATAAATGAGGTAGTGTTTTATTAAATGAATAAATGTATCTATTTACATGGATAATGAATGAATGTGTTGTTAGTACAAATCTCACAATAAATATGCGTATTAATAGAATTTAGTAATTAATGTATTTAAAAATAAAAATTGTCTCATAAATAAGACAAGAAGTACTGGTATATATTCTATTATATATTTTGAATAAAATAGTTTCATATATTTATTAATTAGTTGTAATACTTGTAATTTACATGGCTTATTTTAAAAAGTAAATATTAAAATATATTTTGCTTGAGTATTTTATAAAATAATAAGAATATATTTTTAATTAAAGTGATCTAAAAAAAATTTAAATTGCTTTTATGTATTAAGTTCAATTGTACTATTTTTCTATAATTATTACAGATGAAAACATGGTAAGTGACTTTACTTGCTTTAAGCTCGTCTTTTTAATAAATAAATAAGGTTTAAACTTTATTTTAAGGCCTATTTAAGTAACTAAGCTAGGCATGAGTTGTTTACACAGCCGATTAAACTTGACAGGTCGACATGTTTATATATATATATATATATATATATATTATTATTATTATTTAAAATTTAATATTAAAAAATTATTCAACCTATTTATTAAGTGTTTGTTGGCCTAAACCTAATGACTTATTAAGAGATTTTTTTGCAATAGATTTTGTTAACAGGTTTTAGGCTAGGTAAGACCACCCAAACATATAAAAATAGATTGAAAATAAAATTTTAACAAATAATAGATTAGACTTAGGCTCAATAATTATGCTATATATTTGACTTATTTAGAGTAAGGCTTGATTTGTTATGTTTCTATGCCTAATAATCATGTTAATAAAAAGAATTAAATCCATCAATGTTAATATTTATTATAATATATTTCTTTATAAACATTACAATTTACAAAAGAAAATAGTTTTTAAAAAATATTCATTTATATTTTGCATATGTTAAAAAACTACCAACTCACTTATTTGTTCATTGGGAACCTCTTTTTAGCCTCTTCATAACGGTGATTATTTTAATTTCGATTCAGGTAGGTGTGATTGATTGGTGAACAATTCAACAATTATATATATATATATATATATATATATATATATATATTTTAAATTTTGATTATCCATTTTATTATTTGGACAAAATTTTCCATTGGAATTATTTATACTTTTTATCACCAAAATATTGTAGCACTTTTATTTTTCATTTTCTTTAAAATTTTCATTATTCGTGATTATTATATTATGGTTATATAATATGATTATAATAATTTTTAATGAAAATAATAAAATAAAATAAATAAACATATAATAAATCTAAGCAATATTATAATAATAATAATAAATAGTAAAATTGAGATTATAACGATAACCTTAAAAACTAATAAATGATAGTAAATATTATTATAAAAATTATTAAATAATATAAAAGACAAATAACATTCAAAATTATAAATTGTAGTTAAATAATGTTATTGCCGCAAAATAAATGAAATGCTTAATTGAGGTTTTGTCCCTTAAAATTTGGCGATTTTTCTACTTAGTCTCTCATTTTATTTTTCCAAAATGAGTCTCATAAATTATTTTTTTGGTATAAAATGGTCCTTTTTCATTTTTTTTCCATTTGATCCCTTCAACATCATAAATTTTTCGTTTAGTCCCTCATTTTAAGGGGTTCAAATGGAGAATTGATGATATTTATCCAAACTAAATAGAAGATTTGTGATATTTAAAGGCATCAAATAGAAATTTTCACAATATTTAGAGGGAGTAAATGGGAAACAAAAATCATAAGAGGTCTGTTTAAAAATCAAATCTATCTTATGAAGGACTGTTTGGGAAAAAATTAAAATGAAAGATCAAACTAGAAAATTACGAATTTTTACATGAAAACAACTATAATTAAGCCTATCTGAAGCAATAATATTAATTATCATGATTCATATTATTTTTCTGTTAACATATATGCAGAAGATGTAGTTGAGAATGAAGAATGGATCCTTTAGCTGGGTGTTATCAGTTTCTGACATCACCTCATGTAAAGGCATGGCTAGAGAAGCAGCTAAACGAGCTAGTGATCATTCACCTGAAGTTGTATGAAGCAAGAGTTCAGGAACTAAAAGAAGGTGTTCAGAAGCTTGAGAAAGCTAGGATTGAAGTTCAACATAAAGTTGATGAAGAAGAAGATCGATATGGAAGAGACATTCCTGTTGATGTAAAAGAATGGATAGAAAGGGTGGATAAAATAATTTCTGAATGTAAGAAGTTCAATGGCGACAAACGCCATGAACTTGCTGTGTTTGATAGCGGTTACCTTCCTAAACCAGGGATAAGGTATCGTCTAAGTAGAGAAGCATATAATATTACAAGGAAGGTTAATAGACTATTGCAAACATATAAGCATAATGTCATTTCTTATTGGCTTGGACCACCTTCCATAGCTGCCTTTTTAACCAACATTGGTTATGAAAGCTTTTCATCGAGAGATGAAACTATTAAAAAGATTAATGCAGCATTGAAAAATCCAAGCATTAGAATAATTGGAGTTCATGGGTGGAGTGGTGTGGGCAAGACAACTTTGGTTAAGGAAGTAGCTAAGGAAGCCTTGCAAAACTTAGAAGCTAAGATGTTCGAAGTGGTGATCATGGCAAATGCAACAAGAAATCCTGACATTAGAAAAATTCAAGGACAAATTGCTGACATGTTGGGGATGGCATTGGATGAGGAAAGTGACATTGCAAGAGCTGCTCGAATTCGGAACAGGTTAAAGAATGAGAAGAAGAGCACACTCATAATCTTAGATGATCTTTGGTCAAAAGTAGACTTTAATATGCTGGGGATTCCGTTTGAGAATGATAATATTGTCAAAGAAGGAAAATTGAAATATAATACATCTGAGGATTACAATTTTGTCAGAGAGGGAAAATTGGACTCCAATAAGTTGGGGGTTCCATCTGAGAATGGTAATATTGTCAAAGAAGGAAAATTGAACTTCAAAGGACTGAAGAATATTATCAAAGAAGGAAAATCCACTGGGGAGCATAATTTGATGATAATGGAAAAACAACATCATGCTTCCAGTGGGACAAAAACAGAAGAAACTCTTAGTCATTACATTGGGTGCAAAGTTTTTTTGATTTCTGAAAGCAAACAGATATTATCAAGTCATATGGAAGGGAAGGAGGATCACATTTTTTTTGTTGATGTCTTGGAGAAAAAGGAAGCTGAAACACTTTTCAAGAAAATGGCTGGAGTTGATTATGGAAATTCTGGATTTGAAAAATTAGCAGCTCAAATTGCCAACAGGTGCAATGGGTTGCCAATGTCAATAGTTACAACTGCAAAGGCATTAAAAAATCAGAGTCGCTCAGTATGGGAAGATGTTCATCGAAAGCTTGAATGGCAAAAGTTAACAGGAGCTCCTGAGTTTTCTACAAAGTTGAGCTATGATCTTTTAGAAAATGAAGAACTCAAGTATACTTTCTTACTCTGTGCTCGCATGGGTCATGATGCACTAATTGTGGACCTTGTGAAATACTGCATCGGTTTGGGTTTTCTTCAGGGAATCTACACGGTAAGGGAAGTTAGAGAAAGAGTATATTCATTGGTTGGAAAGCTAAAAGAGTCTGGTTTATTGTCTGATAGTTATTCAAGTGATCATTTCACCATGCAAGATATTGTTCGCAGTGCGGCTTTGTCAATAGCATCTAAGGAGAATGATGTATTTACAATGACAAAGAGAAAAATAGATGAATGGCCTGATAAACTTGAAAGGTATGCTGCTATTTCCTTGCATCATTGTGATATCATTGAGGGCTTTCCTAGGAGAATAAATTGCCCAAGACTTAGACTCTTCCATGTTGACAATAATGATCCAAGTCTCAAAATACCAGAAAACTTCTTTAAAGGAATGAGAGAACTGAAAGTGTTGATATTAACTGGCTTTCATCTATCCCCCTTACCTTCATCAATTAGATGCTTAACGAAACTCCGAATGCTTTGTTTGGAGCATTGTGTTTTAGGTAAGGACTTATCCATCATAGGTGAGTTGAAAAAATTAAGAATTCTGAGTTTTTCAGGATCTGATGTTGAACATTTGCCATTTGAATTGAAGCAGTTAACAAAGCTGCAAATTTTTGACATAAGTAATTGCTCCAAACTTAGAGAAATTCCACCTAATGTAATATCAAGTTTGATTAGTTTGGAAGAGTTACATATGAGAGACTCTTTAATTCAATCAAAGGATGAAGAACAAACAGATCAAAGTTTATTTACTGTTCTATCTGAGTTGAGGCTTCTACATCAGTTGACAACTCTAGACATACAAATCCCGAATACTGCCCATTTGCCAAACAACTTGTTCTTTGACAAGTTGTACAATTACAAGATTGTTATTGGAGATATGAAAGCAGATTTAGAGATCGATTTCAAGATGCCAGAGAAGCATGAAACATCAAGATTTTTGGCAATACAATTAAAAGATAGCTTTGACATTCATTCTCAAATGGGTATCAAAATGTTGTTTGATAGGGTTGAAATTCTGTTGTTGGAAGATCTTAAAGGTGTCCAAGACATTTTTTATTGTTTGAATTTGAAAGGATTTCCTTGTCTAAAACATTTGTTGATTGTAAGTAATTCTAACATTCATTCTCTCATCAATCCAAAGGACAGGCATCATCCTGAGAGGGCGTTTCCCAAATTAGAGTCACTGTATCTCTATGATCTAAAAAAATTGGATAAAATATGCTTATGTGAACTTTCAGAACCCTCCTTTGGTAAATTGAAAGTCATCAAGATCAACCTATGTGGTCAACTGAAGAATGTCTTCTCAAAATCTGTGGTTAAACTCTTAATTGCTCTTGAGACAATTGAAGTTTCTGAATGTAACTCTTTGGAGGCAATTGTGCAAAGCAACACTAATGAAGTTGAGCCTCTTAATTTTCCTGAATTACGCTCTTTGACACTACAATCTTTATCTAAATTTATTGGATTTTTTCCTATTTCAATAATAGAAGGAGAGGCGAGAGCACTCTTCCACGACAAGGTGTGTTTAAGCCTATCTTGTAGATTTGTTTACTTTTTACATTTCAAACTATTTCATATTTTTACTATGTCAAACTCAAAACTAAAAGGAGGGAGTTTTGTAGATGGTAAGCCTAAGATTTATTTCCTATCGGGAAAATAAACTTGAGGAAGTCAAAAAATGGGTTTTTTTATTGTTGGAGGCTCTACTCATGTGTATCACTTTGCAGGTTCTAGTTTCCAAATTAGAGAGAATGGAATTGTCCTCAATCCAAATCAGCAAAATATGGAGTGGCCAATTACCTTTCCCAAGATCCTATCTTCAAAATTTAACTCACTTGGATGTGAATGGTTGTTGGAATTTAGAATATTTAATATCATTTTCAATGGCCAACAGTCTGGTGAATCTTCAAAGCCTTTTCATAAGTGAGTGTGAAAAGATGAGATGTATCTTTTCCGTAGGGCAAGGTATTCACGCTAAAATGAAGGTACGTAAGTTGGTGATATAGAATTCAATTTTTAGATCTAGGTGACTTTTATTAATGTGGAATCCACACCGTGTTATCTTCGTAGTTGGCGAATTTGAGATCTATTTGTCATGAGTACTATGATATTAAAAAATTATTTCGAAACATATAGTGATGGTAAAGTGTGTCTCAACCTGTCAAAAGCTCGTCTAAAAATGGGTTAATCCGAGTTCGCTTTCTTTAAAAAATGGACTAGGTTTTTTAGTCTGACTTATTTAAAAATAGGCTGGTAGGCTAACAAATCAGCCTACCAAAAACCAAAAAATAAAAAAATTAAAAAAAATTACAATAAATAATAAAAAAGTATTTTTATATTAATAAAAAATTTAATTAATTTATCTTTTAAATTTTAAAAATAAAAAATGGGTCCAACGAACTTACTATTGACCCGTATTTTGATGAGTTAAATAGGACAGACTAAATAGGCCATTGAATCTAAACTACTTACTTTAATCTGTTAAATTTAGTGGGTTAAATGAGCAAGTCTGTCGGGCCAAGTCTAAATCTATTTTAACAACTCTAGAAATATTATTATATAGGATAATAAAAAATATGAAACATCCTACATTTTCATGTTTAATTTCTTCGTTAGCATAACAACTCATATAAATTTCAGTACTAATGATCCAAGTTCAGTTATCTTACAATAAGGTTTCAGATCAAGTTTTGTAAGTATATAAAAAATAGTCATTAGAAGAATCTTGTGACTTTTGTCTCCTTAAATGAGTTCATCTAACTTGGATACGACATGCATCTCATAAATATAAAGTCTAAGAAAAAAAAACATTACTAGCATACGAAATGTGGAAATTTAGATACTCATATTAATTCTTATATAATAGAGTTCTTACTTTTACTTTTGAGAGAGAGAAAATATATCCAATGTTACCCCCGACACTTGATTTCTCTATTATTTAACAATGTTTTATTTTAAAATTTTTAAAATTATTAATTACTCACATTTCAAAATATAACTACATATATTCTCCAATTAATTCCTTTTAATTTTTAAATATGATTTTTTTCTCTCCTAAATTTGAGTTATATCTTTTTATTAATTATATATATCACCCATATAGTTTCAAGTATTTTTCATTTAATTATTTTAAAATTTATCTAAATTAAAGATACTTGTATTAGTATCCTTAGTACTATAGCATTATGTATATCACCAATTTTTCTCAATGTTCTACAACTTTATGTATAGTCATGTATGCGGAATAACTGAACTTCTTAAAGATTAATTAAGAACTTTCCGATAAGAATGAGTTTATATAAAAACTCAACTTTGAGCCTTTAATTTTTTAATCTAATCTTAAACATGCTTACAAATGATATAAAAAATTATTTTTTAATGCATGCTCTTTGTAGATGGTATAGTTATGGCTGAGAATTTGAAAGAAAAAGTTAATGCTAAACTTAAGTTACGAAGAGTAACTTTAAAATTTAAGGGTTTTCATTTGAGTAGAAGTAAGACAGATTGTATGCATAGTGTATTGTAGGTTTAGCAAAAATAAAATAAAATAAAAATTATGCGTTAGAAATTAAAATTGGATATGATATTATACCATAAATTTTTCAGTTTCAAGTACTTGAGATTGATTATACAGAATAATGAAAAAATTAATAAAGATGTTACTTACAGAATACAAGCTGCAAGTTGGGTGATTAAAGTTGAGAAAAATATCAAGAGTTATTTGTAACCAAAGTATGTATCAAGTTAAAGGAAAGTTTTCCTGTATAGCAGTAAATATTGAACCTTTAAAGAAAAACATGAGAAAAAAGTGAGAATGACAAAATTAAAAATGCTGAAGTGTATGAATGAATACACAAGAAATGACGCGATATGAAATGATAGTATATAGGAAAATATTGGAATAATATCAATAATAAAAAAGATAACTAACAATCATCTAAGATAGTTCGGTCATGTGCAAAGAAGACCTTTGAAGCACTAATAAGAAGAGTAGATTGCATGATTTAGTTAGGTAAAAAGTATTGAAAGAAACTTAAAAAATCTTTAGACAAAATTATTAAAAGAGTCATTTTGATTAAATAAATTTCTAAAAATTTAATTTTTTACTAAGTTTAATTGCGTCCATGTAACCGCTAAACCTCAGCTAGTGGGATAAAGTTTGGTTGCTGCTTTTGCAAATGCTATAATAGTAATAGAAGTTCTTAATTCAAACAATGAGTTAATCTCTTTGTTATCAAAGTTAGTTTTGCTCTCTATTTATTGATTTGGCTTTGCTTTATGTTTAAAATCTATTTCAATTAACTTATAGCTATTGTGAACTAAAGCAGGGCAGCATCTTTCTAAAATTGAAGACTATCAAATTGAGCAACATGAAGAGCTTAAGTGAAATTTGGAATTCTGAACTCCCACTGGATTCCTTTGGCAAACTGGATACTCTAATTATTGAGGAGTGTCGTAAAATTGTCAATGTTTTTCCTTTTTACATGGCAGGGATATTTCGGAGTTTATGCAACATGAGGGTCACAAATTGCAGGTCATGAATGCAATATTTGACATTAATGATAAGAAACAAGATGTTGTGGATGTAATAAACTTGCAAGATGTTCATATAGAAACACTCCCAAATTTGAAGCATGTATGGAAATGGAACAAAGACCAAGAAGGGATTCTAAATTTGAACAAATTACAAAAAATATGGGTTCATGATTGCAACATGTTAGAAAATATATTTCCTTTTGCAGTAGCCAAGCATCTTAATAATCTTGAATACCTTGTGGTATCGGATTGCATTGGATTAAGGGAAATTGTTGCTGAGGGAGAAGCTACCAACACTAACACAACCAATCCTAACCCATCATTTAAATTTCCTAAACTGACTACTATCAAATTTTCGAAACTGCCAAAACTTGCAAGTTTCTATCCAGGAGCATTTGAATTATGTTTTCCAGCATTGAATGACTTGTCTATTAAACTTTGTGACAAGCTGGAACCATTCAGCAAAGAAACCACGCATGCACAAAGAAAGCTCGTTCTGTTTCCGGAAAAGGTACCAGTAAGCCTTTAAACTCTCTTAAGAATTTTTCTAAATAAAAATTCTCAATGGTATGAATTTTTGTATGTTTACTTTTGCAATAAGTTACTCTTTTTTTCATCATTATTTATTTCTTGCAGGTAATCAACAAGTTGAAGTCCATGCAAATTGAGTCATGGCATGCTAAGTCATCAAGCAGTTACATGGGGGAAGGGAACCATCGAAGGGACAACTTAGAAGAGCTTTGTTTATCAAGATTAATGAATACTGAGATTCTATATTCTTTCCTTCATCGTAATCCTAATCTGGAAAGCCTATCATTGAATAATTGTTTCTTTAGAAACATAATGCCTCTCAGAAGACCTATTGAAATTGAAAACTTGGGGGTTGTTCCAAAGTTGAAAAGCTTGAAGTTAATAGATATGCCTAATCTTGAAAACTTAGGCTTTGAACCAAACATAATTCTTCAAAGGATAGAGTTGATGATTTTAAAGAACTGTCCTTGTTTGGTCACTATGGTGCCTTCCTCAGTGTCTCTAACTCACTTGACAAATCTGGAAGTGGTCAACTGTAATGGATTAGAAAGTTTAATGTCACCTTCAACTGCAAAAAGCTTGGGTCAACTCAGCACTTTGAAGGTAATCAATTGTGAATCTCTGAAGGAAATAATAGGAGATGAAGATGAAAATGCAGAAAAAGTTGAAATTGTTTTTAAACAATTGAAGGCCTTGGAACTTGTTTCACTAAAGAATCTCAACAGTTTCTGTTGCTCTAAGAGTTGTGCCTTTGAGTTCCCCTCGTTGGAGAAATTAGTAGTGAGTGCTTGTTATAAAATGGCAAATTTTTCTGAAGAAGTCAGGGGCACGCCAATCTTGCAAAATATATATATAATACATGAAAAAGAGAAGAAAAGATGCTGCTGGGAAGGTAATTTAAATGCTACAATACAAAAAATGTTCAAGGAAAAGGTATGTATGAGATTTGTTACCTGAATTATTTTCCATTTTGTTTTTTTTCCTCTTTTAAAAATTCATTTTAAATAATTAAATTGTTTTTATGAAATAAAACTTTATTTGGATTGATAGTAAATAATAGAAGAGAAGGAAATGAAATTGAGATAAAATAATAACGCATGCCGTTGTTTAGATAATGAATTTATCTTGTAAACTTCTGGGTGTCCTACAGAGGAGAAGAAAGAGTAAGAATTGAGGAAGAATATAAATCGGAGATCTAAAGGAAACGATGTGACAAAAAAGAAAGACAAATTTTTAACCAAGTTAACGTTTTAAATAGAAAAAAATTATTTGAAACATTTTTAAAAGTTAAAGAATTAACATGAATAAAAGAAGTTGGACAAAATTGAAACTTGCCTTGTAAATAAAGGATGATTGGAAATTATGGTTTACAACTGAATTCTGTTAGTTTATAATAAAAGTAAACTGATTGGAAATTATGGTTTACAACTGACTGACAGATTTAGCTCTAATGCAATTGCTCTAGATTTTATTTTCAATTTAAAGATGCTAATATTAAAGGCATTGGAATGTGATAATCTCTTATTCACCATATATTTTACAGAAATTTTTCGAAGGGATGGAAGAGATGAGTTTCTCTAAACATCTTGAGCTACAAAAAGCCTGGCAAGAGGGAGTTGGTATGCAAAACAGTTGGTTTTACAGTTTGAAGACTTTGAAGCTGGAGAACTGTGAAATTCAACCATGTGCAATTCCATCCAATATTCTTCCTTATTTAAAGAGCTTAAAAGAATTGGAAGTACGAGGATGAAACAAAGTAAAGGTAATTTTTGATGTGAATGACACTGAATTCGTGGGAACAACATCCCAATTGCAGAAATTGACTTTACAAGGGTTATCAGAGCTGACACATGTGTGGGAAAAGAATGGTCAAGGAACTCTTAGCTTTCAAAATCTGCAGGTAGTCTTTGTTATTGATTGTGAAAACCTGCAAAATCTGTTTCCTGTGGTCCTGGCAAAAAATCTTAAGAAGCTTGACAAAATTAAAATAGAAAATTGTGATGGATTGCTTGAAATTGTTGGAAAGGAAGAAGACACAGCGTTGGGCATAACAGAGAAGTTTGTGTTCCCTTGTTTAACATGTCTGAACCTTTATGTCTTGCCACAACTCACTTACTTTTACCCTGGAACATTCATACTGGAATGCCCCACATTATATAGATTATCTGTGTGGCGTTGTCTTAAATTGAAGCTATTTGAAAATGCACAACTTGAGGGTGAGGGTAATAATAATTCAATTAATGGACAATTCCTTTTCCCGGATGTAAAGGTAAGTAACATACAGACTGCACTCTCTTTTTTTTGTCATTATTTTCATTTTTTAATTCAAAATTATTTATTTTTTTGCCTTGCTAGGCCATTTCCAACTTTGAAGAATTGATACTCAGTTGGAAACACATTTCAGCATTGAGATTAAGGGTACGGCAACTTACAGAAGACCTCAAATATTTAAGTTATCTTTGCTTGTTCTTTGATGTCAATGTGAATGAGAAGCCTATTTTACCCATTGAAATACTTGAGAAGGCACCCAATTTACAAAAATTAAGTATAGCATTTTGCAATAGCCCAGAGATATTCCTCACTCAAAACCACGAATTTGGTGAAAATGGGATGCTTGGACACTTAAAGATATTGACACTGGTCAAAGTATCGAAGCTCCAGTCATTTGGGTCTGAGGGTTCACCATGGTTAAACACAATCTGTGAGAAGCTCAATGAGTTAAATATTTCCGGATGTCCTAATTTGACAACTTTAGTACATTCTACTTCTGATGTTCCTTTCTCCTATCTTAAAAAATTGTATATATCTGATTGCAATGAATTGGGGTATTTATTCACATCCTCTGCAGCAAAAATGCTAATGCATCTTGAGGAGATCACAATCAAGGAATGTGAATCAATGAAAAAAATTCTGGAAAAGGAGCAAGAGGAAACAACTTTAGAAGGGATCAAATTTGAGCGACTACATCACATAGATCTAAATACTTTACCAAACTTGGAATGTTTTTATTCAGGCACTGACACTTTGCACTTGCCATCTCTTGTACAAGTGGACATTGGCAATGCCCCAAGATGACCATTTTCTCTCAAGGATTCATATGTGCTAAATCTTTTAGAGGAATTCAAGCTTCGGAAGACTCAAATGATGAATTGGTCTTCCAAAATGATCTTAACTCCTCTTTAAAGAAAGTATTTCTAAAACAGGTTAGGACTTCATCCCAATCAGTTGATTTTGTCTTCAACTTTTGCATGAATTTAAAGCTTTAAACTAGCCTTATCCATACAACTCTTTTGATCGACTTAAGCATAGGATAACACAGCATTTATAATTACATATTACTTTTCCAAACTACTAGAGTTCTAATATTTTTGATAATATGTTAGTAACTTGTTATTGTGTCAATAGCTTCTATATCCATATTGTTATTAATCCATTTTATAAGTTATCTCGAAAAAAATTGTTACCCATTTGCATTATATTTGTTTATGATTTAGAGGGATTTTACATTTTACTATTTGGTTGAATTTGTTAAAGATAATACTATTTCTTTTACAAATTATTGAAATAAAAGAATAAGATAAATCATGTGATATTTTTATAATTATTACTAACATGTTTGTTATATATACATTACTCTGTATTTAAACTTAGGTATTTTCTTTAAATATGAAAAAGAAAATTCATTATTGATAAACAATGATGGAATCCTCTAGGTTAAAGAAAATTAAAATATAATAGAAGATCTCTTTATTATCAATAATGAAAAATATTCGGTTGTATATGAATAAAGTAAAGGAATTGATTTTTCTTTAATTGAAGTGGAATTATAAAACTAAATTATTCGAAGTGAGGCACATCATCTGTATTTGTTAATTTAAATTTTAAGTATTTTTGTTATTACATTAATTATTTTAAAAAATAATTAGTAAATTCTTGTTTTTATGTAAACACATTAGTTCTGCTTGTAAAACTTTATAAAAAAAGAAAGCTGTGTGTTATAGGCTCAGTTTATGTGAAATAAGAGATGATTGATACATGATTTGCAATATATACAGAAGTTTTTTGAAGGCATGGATGAGATGACTTTTTCCAATCATCCTGAGCTACAACTAGCCTGGCATGGTGGAGTTGTTCTTCAAAATAATTTGTTTTACAGTTTGAAAACTATGAAGCTGGTCAACTGTGAAGTTCAACCCTACGCAGTTCCATCTAATATTCTTCCTTACTTATATAGCTTAAAAGAATTGGAAGTACGGGACTGTGACAATGTAAAGGTAATTTTTAACATGAAAGACACAGATATGGGCACAACATTCCAATTGCAGAAACTGACTTTACAGGGGTTATCAATGCTGACGCATGTATGGGAAGAGAATTTTAAAGGAATTCTTAGCTTTTCAAATTTGCAACATGTTATTGTTAAAAGATGTAACAATCTGCGAACTCTATTTCCTGCTGCCCTGGCCAAAAATCTTAAGAAGCTTGAGAAAGTTGAAATAGCATCGTGCAGTGGATTGATCGAAATTGTTGAATTTGTGGAAGATGTAGTAGTTGATGTTCCAGAAAAGTTTGAGTTCCCTTGTTTAACCTGGTTGGATCTTAATGACTTGCCACTACTCTCATACTTTTACCCTAAAGCATTTATGTTGGAATGCCCTGAGTTAAATAATTTATCTGTATTGGATTGTGGTAAGTTGGCAGTATTTAGAAGTCTACAAAATACACATTTTGAGGGTCATGGTGATGGTAGTAGAACTTCAGAAATAAGACAACCCCTTTTCTTGAATCTGAAGGTACATAAATAGAATTTGCATTCTCAATCTTTTTTCCTAGGGAAGATTAGACTTTCGTTGAGGTTTAACAAAATCTGACCCTATACTTCTCTCTTTTTTCACATTACATTGACCTCCCTAATTTATATAGTTGCGTAAGAAATTAGGGGTGGTATGTATAATAGATAAAGGTATACAGTATTATGTTATATAAATTAAGGGAGGTTTGTGTAGGGTAAAACAAGTAGGGGTAACGGTTTGCCCTTTTTTCTATTCATCATAATTAATATCCTTTTCTTTCTTATATATTATTCTATTACTAGGTCATATCTAACCTGAAGAAATTGTGTCTTGATTGGAAAGACACTTCAGCATTAGTTTCAAGACTAAGGTCAGGACAACTTAAAGAAAACCTCAAATATCTGAACGAAATTCATCTGTTCTTGGATGTGGATGAGGATGAGAATCCTATTTTTCCCTTTGAAATACTTGAAAAGGCATCCGATTTACAAGAAATGCGTATAGGATATTGCAGGAGTCAGGAGTTATTCCTCACTCAAATCCCAAAATTTGGCGAAGACAAGATGCTTGGATGCCTGAAAATATTGACACTGAACCAAGTATCTGTCCTCCAGTCCATTGGATCAAATGATTCACCATGGTTAAATGCAACTTGTGAGAAGCTCCATGACTTGAATGTTTCCATGTGTCCTGATTTGACAACATTGATACATATTACTTCTGCAGTATCATTCTCTCATCTAAAAAACTTGAATATAGCCAAATGTCATGAATTGCAGTACTTATTCACGTCCTTAGTGACCAAAAAGTTAATGCACCTTGAGCAGATCATAGTCAAGGAATGTGACTCAATGAAAGAAATAGTGGCAAAAGAGAATCAAGAGGAAACAACTTCAGAAGTGATCAAATTTGAGCGGCTAGACTGGATATATCTAAATTCTTTATCAAGTCTAGAATGTTTTTATTCTGGCAATGACACTTTGCAGTTACCATCTCTGTCACAAGTGAACATACAAAAGTGTCCCAACATGGAAATTTTCTCTAAAGGATCAATACTTGTGAAGTCTTTTAGAGGAATTCAAGCTTCAGACAACTCAAATGATGAATTAGTCTTCCTTGATGATCTAAACACCTCAGTAAAAAGAGTGTTTCTACAACAGGTAAGGACTTCTTCCCTATGACTTGATTATGATTTCAACTTTTGCATGACATCATCCAAACATGCATCTCCTTTGAATGAGAGATTTTACATTTTACACCTTGATCATTTTCTTCTAAAATTAAGATTAATTCTTTTACAATTTTTTTGAAAATAAAGGATAAAATAAATTTATCAACTAAGTAAAGACAATATATTGTATTAGAGTGGATTGAAGTACTGGAAAAAGAAAGTGTGGAAAGATAATAAAAGCAGTGAGAAAAAAATGCTATTACAACAAGCATTAAGTATTTATTTGGTGAGTACTTGGAATCCATTTTGCACATCATGGCATATGTTACTTAATAAATAAATTATTGATCTATAATGGGAAATATTTTTCGGTTTTAACCTATTGAATATACATTTTGTTGGAAAAATAACTATTTCATGATTGATTTTTAAATAAATAGGTAGTAATATATTTACTTTCAAAAGTTAATATATTAAAATTATTAATATTAGAATTAAACTAAAAATAAATACACATTTAATAATTTGTTTTGAAGATGGTATCATTTTAAAAAATCTTATAAAAGTGAATGCAGGCATAATAAAATGTAAGGAAAAAAGAAAAATGATTAATGTCTTTTATAAAAGAAAAATAATTTATGCGTATGATTTGAAACATTTACAGAAGTTTTTTGAAGGCGTAAACGAGATGTGTTTTTCCAATTATCCTGCACTACAAGAAGCATGGCGTGGTGAAGTAGGTCTGCAGAACAATTTGTTATACAGTTTGAGAACTGTGAAGCTGGTCAACTGTGAAGTTCAACCATATGCAATTCCATCAAATATTCTTCCTTTTTTTAAGTGCTTAAAAGAATTGGAAGTACGGGATTGCAGCAAGGTAAAAGGAATTTTTGAGATGAAAGACACAGAACATATGAGAAGAGAATCCAAATTGCAGAAATTGACTTTACAAGGTCTACCAGTGTTGACACATGTCTGGGAAAAGAATTGTCAAGGAATTATTGGCTTCCAAAATCTGAAACATGTCTTTGTTAGTGGTTGTAAAAATCTGCAAACTTTATTTCCTGTGTCCTTGGCCAAAAATCTCAAGAAACTTGAGATACTTGAAATAGAATCTTGTGGTGGGTTACTAGAAATTGTTGGAAAGGTAGAAGAGATAGCAGCAGACATAACAGACAAGTTTGAGTTCCCTTGTATGACCTGGCTGGATCTTTATAATTTGCCACAGCTTACTTACTTTTCCCATCAAGCATTCACACTGGAATGTCCTTCTTTAAATATATTAGCTGTGTTGTATTGTCCTAAGTTGGATTTATTTCCAAGTGCACATCCTGAGTGTGAGGGTGATAGTACTAGTACTTCAACTAACAGGCAACCCCTTTTCTCAGAACTAAAGGTGTGTAAACAAAATCTGGACTTTCAAGTTTTTTCTTTTACTTGGGTAAATTATACTTTACCCCTTTGTAGTTTTATGATTTCTCAATTTATTCCCCATATTTTATTTTCTATCAATAAATCCCATTGGGGGGGGGGGGGGTGTAAAAGTGATACAAAAATGTAGCACTAGAGGGAAGTTAAGTGACAAAAAAAAGGAAGTATAAGAGATTTTAGTGACATAAAGTGTAGGGGATAAATTGAAATGGTGTGAAACTACTACGGGTAAAGTGCAATCAACCCTTTTTTCTTTTTGTATTCTAATTTACATGCCTCTCTTTCCTATTTGTTTTGCCTTTACTAGGCCATTTCCAACTTGGAGAGATTGACACTCGATTGGAAACACACTTCGGTGTTAAGACAACTTACGGAAGACCTCAAATACTTAAATGAAGTTCGCTTCTTATTTGATGTCAGTAAGAATGAGAAGCCTATTTTTCCCTTTGAAATAGTTGAGAAGGGACCAAATTTACAAGAAATGAGTATAGATTGTTGTCGCAGCCTCGAGATATTTGTCACTCCAATCCCCAAAATTGGTGAATGCAAGATGCTTGGACAATTGAAAATATTGACATTGTGCAAAATATGTGACCTTCAATCCATTGGGTCAGTGGATTCTCCATGGTTAAATATAATCTGTGAGAAGCTCCACCAATTAAATGTTGCCCATTGTCCTGATTTGACAACGTTAGTACATTCTACTTTTTCATTATCATTCTCTTATCTAAAAGAATTGCATATATCTGAATGTCATAGATTGAAGAACTTATTCACATCCTTAGTAGCAAAAAAGTTAATACACCTCAAGGAAATCACAATTAAACAATGTGAATCAATGAAAGAAATAGTGGCAAAAGAGCAGGAAGAAACAACTTTAGAAGGGATCATATTTGAGAGGCTATACCGCATACATCTAAATACTTTATCAAGCCTGGAATGTTTTTATTCAGGTAATGACACTTTGGAGTTACCGTCTCTAATACAAGTGCAAATATTGCAATGCCCCAAGATGTACAATTTCTCACAGGGACCGATAAATGGAAAATCTTTTAAAGGAATTCAAGCTTTAGAGGACTTAAATAATGATTTGGTCTTCCACAATGATCTTAACTCCTCTGTAAAAAGGGTGTTTCTACTTCAGGTAAGGACTTCGTTTGAATCTATTGATCATGACTTCAACTTTTGCGTGAATTTTAATGTCTTAAACTAGTTTATTCAAACCTACTCTGATCAATTTTGTCTTTGGATAATAACATTTGTAAATTGTCGACAACTTTTCCGTACTATTATGATTTTGATACTTTGACAATAAGCTTGTAGCTTGTTATCATGTAGTGTGTTAATATATTTTATACCATTTTTGCTATTAATTTATTACACTTTTTGGTGACCTAATACTCCTTTTTTCGACCCTACACAAACCCTTATTAATTTATGTACCCTTCTTGGTTACACAAACACCCCCGATTTTTTTATGTAATTATATAAATTAGGGAAGGTCAAGAAGCAGAGGGATATCAGGTAAAATTTTGTTAAAGCCATATTTTAGACAAATTGTGTTGACCCTAGAACTTAAGTGATATTGCACGTTTGCACCTCATATTTCTGTGTGTTTTTTTTTTTTTTTCTATTGCCTACACAGACTTTTCTTAATTATGAAATTAGACTATCTTTGAGTTAACGGAAAAGAAACATGGTATTATGTCATTCGACTAATTGGGGAGGCTTGTGTAAGACTAAAAAATTGAAAGATGTTTAGGTACAATATCACTTATTTTCAAAGGGTGCAAATGTAATTTATTCATATATTTTTAAATTATATTTAAAGAAAAATTAGTTGTTTACACTATATTTATAAATTAAGATTTACAAAAAATATAAATTTTATATCTCAGTTGGTTGCTTTTAAAAATAAGATTTAATTAAATGTTCCTTACAAAGGTTGAGCAATTTATATTGAGTCCTTAATAAAATTGATTGCTAGAATATATTTCTTATTTCTGCATAAACTATTGTTTTGTCCTTTTAACTGATCAGGTCCATTGAGATGCTCTATAGTGTCAGCTTTTAATTATACCATGTCAAATAGAGAGACTACAATAATTACTACAAAAAGTGAGAATTATATCATAACAAAAAAAATTAATAAAGACTAAGTCAAAATTATATAACTTTTATAGAAACCAAACATTTAATTAAGCCTAAAAGTAACATTCTTTCTTTTGCAAATCCTTAAAATAAAGAATACACAGAATTTTCTTCATACTTTTATAATTGTTAATGAAAATACATCAATGAAAAATAAAAGGAAAAAATATTACTTCATCTTCTTATTTCATTCCTTTCAATATATTCAAAACTTCCATTGCGGAATCAAATAGATAAAGTTAGTGAGATCATTAACAAAAATGCACCATCTGCCTTAGCCTCAACTCAATACCTCTATTCTCCGTATCTACAGCCAACAAAAGTACATTGATTTGTGGACCAATCCTAAATATTCAGGGCTCCAATCATCAGAAGTACATTGAAAACACAATATATCCCACGTTAGATAATTATGCCAATACCGAGATCATAGATTTCGAATTTGTCTGATTTAGTTATATTACATGCTAGCCTATATCTCTGTAAAATTTATGGAGGTTTTGTTTGTACTAGTTGTATTTTCATTCACCATTTGTGTTTTCCTAATTTATTTATATTTTAAAATACTTTTAACCTTTTTTTGAATTTTTATATATATTTCTCTTCTAATTACAAATATTCTTTTTTAACATTCTTTGGGTCAAGTTGCATATATGTGCCAATTAGTAGATAAGATGGAAATGGGCCAAGGGTATGGAAGATTTTATATTAAATTAATGTTTAATATATATATATATATATATATATATATATATATATATGTATGTATGTATGTATATAATCCTACAGTTTACATAAAACACTAGTCTTGCATTTTCTTAATAAATCCTATTTATCTGAAATGATTGACTGTTATGATTTGCAATATTTACAGAAGTTTTCGGAAGGCATTGATGAGATGTGTTTTTCTAATCATCCTGAGCTACAACAAGCCTGGCTTGGGGCAGTTGGTCCACAAAACAATTGGTTTTACAATTTGAATACCATGAAACTGGTCAACTGTGATGTTCAACCATATGCAATTCCATCAAATATATTTCCTTATTTAAAATCCTTAAAAGAATTGGAAGTGCAGGATTGCAACAAAGTAAAGGTGATTTTTGATATGAAAAGCACAAAAATTATTCTTAAAGCCTCCAAATTGCAGAAATTGACTTTACAAGGGCTACCAGTGTTGACGCATGTGTGGGAAAAGAATTGTCAAGGAATTCTTAGCTTTCAAAATCTGCAGCATGTCTTTGTTAGTGGTTGTAAAAATCTGCAAACTCTATTCCCTGTGTCCATGGCCGAAAATCTTATGAAGCTCGAGAAACTTGAAATAACATTTTGTGATGAGTTGCAAACAATTGTGGAAAATGAAGCAGTAGTAGCACCAGTAACAGAAAAGTTTGTGTTCCCTCATTTGAAATGGCTTGATCTTTTTTACTTGCCGCAGCTCATTTACTTTTACTCTCAAAAATTCACATTGGAATGTCCCGCATTAAGCAGTTTATCTGTATTGGAATGTGCTAAGTTGGAGGTATTTCAAAGTCAGCAAGAAGCACATTCCAAAGGAGAGAGCGAAGGAAGTATTGCTTCAATTAACAAACAGCCTCTTTTCTCAGATCTCAAGGTAAGCTAGAATCTGCACTTAACATTTTTATTTTCTTTTTTCTTTTTTTCTATTTTCACCTTGTAATCGAGACAATTCTTTCTTTCCATTTTGTTTTGCCTATATATACTAGGTGACTTTTTCTATTTCTATTTGACTATTTTTTTTCACTCATACTTGTTATACCTTCATATACTAGGTCATTTCCAACTTGGAGAAATTGTCACTGAAATGGAAAGACACTTCGGTATTATGGTCAAGGCTAAGGTTGGGACAACTTACTAAAGATCTCACTTCTTTAAATGCAATTCACCTGTTCTTTGATGTTGATGAGAGTGACAAGCCTACTTTACCCATTGAAATACTTGAGAAGGCACCCAATTTACAAGAAATGAGTATTGAATATTGCAGCAGTCATGAGATATTCCTCACTCAAGACCCCAAAATTGGGGAACACGGGATGCTTGGACACTTGAAAATATTTTCATTGAACAATGTATCGAAGCTTCAGTACATCGGGTCAAAGGATTCAAATTGGTTAAATGCAATCTGTGAGAAGCTACTTAAATTAAATGTTTTCAGTTGTCCTGATTTGACAACATTGACACATTCTACTTCTGCGGTATCTTTTTCTTATCTAAAAGAATTGTATATACTCGAATGTCATGGATTGCAGTACCTTTTCACATCCTCAGTGGCAAAAAAGTTGATGCACATTGAGCTCATTACTGTCAAAGAATGTGACTCAATGAAAGAATTAGTGGCAGAAGAGCAAGAGGAAATAACTTCAAAAGGGATCAAATTTGAGCAACTAGACAGAATAGTTCTAAGTTCTTTATCAAGCTTACAATGTTTTTATTCAGGCAATGACACTTTAGAGTTGCCATCGCTGATACAAGTGGACATATGGGAGTGCCCCAAGATGGAAATTTTCTCTCGAGGATCAATAGAAGCAAATTCTTTTCAACGAATTCGAGCTTCATCAGACTCAAATGATGATTTGGTCTTTCACAATGATCTTAACTTCTCAGTAAAAAGGGTATGTCTACAGCAGGTAAAGATTTCATCAAAATCAGTTGATTGAGACTTTCAACTTAATGTGTGGATTTTATGGCTTAAACTAGCCTAATCCAAATCTCTTTTTGATCAATCATGGCATCAGATAACAACTTCAAATTTTATAATGTAAAGTGTGTTTGATTTTACTTTTGAATTATGAAAGTTATATATATTCATAAATGGAATTGGTGGGAACCTAAATTAAATTTAACAAGGGTAAATATTGATAGTTGGGTTAGGTGCAATGGTATTAAACTAGGGTAACATTATCAAGTTAGGATAATTTTTTTTTAAAATCAACTAAACTTAACTACTTTTATTGGTTTTTGTAATTTAGTTACTGATCCTTCCATTTACATTAACACATGCCGTACTCTTTTTTAATAATTCAGTTTATATCAATTAAGAGAAAATTATTAACACTTACAATTTGCTATACTTACAGAAGTTTTTGGAAGGCATGGATGAGATGTGTTTTTGCAATCATCTTGAGCTACAACAAGCATGGCTTGGTGAAGTTGGTTCACTAAACAATTTGTTTTATGGTTTGAAAACCATGAAGCTGGTCAACTGTGAAGTTCAACCATATGCAATTCCATTTAATATTCTTCCTTATTTGAAGAGCTTAAAAGAATTGGAAGTGCGGGATTGCAGCAAAGTCATGGTAATATTTGATATGAAAGACACAGAGTCAGAGATTATGGATGAAGCATCCGAATTGCAGAAATTGACTTTACAAGGTCTACCAGCATTGACGCATGTGTGGGAAAAGAATGGTCTAGGAATTCTTAGCTTTCAAAATCTGGAAGATGTCTTTGTTAGTGGTTGTAAAAATCTGCAAACTCTATTTCCTGTGTCCTTGGCCAAAAATCTTATGAAGCTTGAGAAACTTGAAATAGAATCTTGTGGTGGGTTGCAAGAAATAGTTGGAAAAGTAGAAGACGCAGCAGTGGACATAACAGAAAAGTTTGTGTTCCCTTGTTTAACCACGCTTGATCTTTTTAATTTGCCACAGCTCACTTACTTCTTCTCCGAAGCATTCGCTCTGGAATGTCCTGTGTTAAGTAATTTATCTGTATTGGAATGTGATAAGTTGGGTGTATTTCAAAGTCAGAAAAATGCACCTCCCAAAGGAGAGAGTAAAGGTATTACTTCACTTAACATACAGGCTCTTTTCTCAGATCTCAAGGTAAGCAACAAAGAATCTGCATGCTCAACCTTTTTATTATCTTTTTTTTTAATAATGTTATTTAAGGAATAAAAATGGATTTGGATCATCTCATGTTGTTTAGTAATAAGCTATGGTCATGTTGTAAAGAAAAAGACAATTTTTATCAATTTTAATTTGTGAGACCTACAACCAATCAAGGTGAGTTCTTATTTAATAAAAAAATATATCTTTCTCTCTCTAACATAATCATATCATTTTACTTATCCACATGAAAGATCCAAATCTGAATAAAAAATAGGAGTTTTTTATTGGGAAAACATAAAAACATTCACTCATGATTTCAAACGCATTCTAATGTAATTTTCAATAAAAGCTTATTATTTATTGATTCTTTAACTAAGGGCACTGGTTAGTAAGACTGTTATTTTTTTTCTTCTCTTTTCACCTTCTAATCCACAACTCGCTTTTTTCATTTTGTTTTTCCTTTATATACTAGGTCGTTACCAACCTGGAGAAATTGTTACTAGAGTTGAAAGACATTTTGGTATTATGCTCAAGGCTAAGGTTTGGGCAACTTGAGGAAGATTTCAAATGTTTAAATAAGATTCGCCTGTTCTTTGATGTCTATAAGAGTGAGAAGCCTACTTTACCCATTGAAATACTTGAGAAGGCACCCAATTTACAAGAAATGAGTATAGAATATTGCAATAGCCTTGAGATATTCCTCACTCAAGACCCTAAAATTGGTGAAGACGGGATGCTAGGACACTTGAAGATATTGACGTTGAACAATGTTTGGAAGCTCCAATCCATCGGGACAGAGGATTCACCATGGTTAAATGCAATCTGTGAAAAGATACATGAATTAAATGTTACCAAATGTCCTGACATGACAACATTGATAGATGCTGCATCTGCGGTATCTTTTTCTTATCTAAAAGAATTGTACATTGTCAAATGTCATGGATTGCAGTACCTTTTCACATCCTCAGTAGCAAAAAAGTTAATGCACCTTGAGCTCATCACTGTCAAAGAATGTGACTCAATGAAAGAATTAGTGGCAGAAGAGCAAGAGGAAATAACTTCAAAAGGGATCAAATTTGAGCGACTAAACAGGATTGTTCTAAGTTCTTTATCAAGCCTGATATGTTTCTATTCAGGCATTGACCCTTTGGAGTTGCCATCTCTGATACAAGTGGACGTAAGGGAGTGCCCCAATATGAAAATTTTCTCTCAGGGATTGATAGAAGCGAAATCTTTTCAAAGAATTCAAGCTTTATCCAACTCAAATAATGATTTGCTCTCCATGAAGATATGAACTCCTCAGTAAAAAGGGTGTTTCTACAACAGGTAAAGACTTCACCCAGATCAAGATGACTTTCAACTTTTGCATGAATTTAATGCCTTGAACTAGCCTTATTCAAACCTCTCTTTTGATCAATCACGGCGTCGGATAACAACTTCAACTTTTAAAATGTGAAGTCTGTGTGATTTTACTTTTAAATTAAGAAAGTTATACAATATTCATAAAAATAAATAAGATTGAAATATTAAGTTTATGGTAATATATTATTTTTATTTTATTTTATTTTAAAAATTTAGGGTAAATGTACAATTTGATCCTTGGGGGGTAACATTTTATTTATCTTGAAAGTTTTGTTTTGTACATTTGTCTCGTAAGGTGTTAACCTACGCTTTAGTACTTTTGCTTTACTTCATAGTATATCTGTGCGGCGCGTGCGTGATTTCTTCCCTTTGCTCTTTGCTTAATTACAACTTCATTGACCGCAAGAACATTCAAAATCTGCCTATTGAAAAGAAAAGCAATTTGATCACTAGAAATAACATGTCATTAAAGTTGGTGAAAAAAATGAGACCAAATTGTTGAAGATCCTCTTGTAATATTCATTAAAATCACGGTGTCTTTGAACTTCGTGGTGGAGACTTGATGACTGATTGTTTTGAACCTTTCTTTGTGATAGTTTGATCACGGAGATAAGGAAGTGATTAAGATTCAGTTTAGTTAAGTTTATGTAGAAGCACTTGTAGGAGGAAAAAAAAATAAAACAAATAAAATTTTCTCATTAGTTAATCAACTTATGCACTTCATGTTTTAGAGAACTTAATTGATCAGAAGAGTTGTAAAAAAAAAAAAAAAAAAAGAACGTAAGTTAAGTTAATTTTAACTTATGAGAATGATTTTATTTATTATATCTCATTTTTTTCTTACAAATATTTCTATAAAAGCTTACTTAAATTGGATCTAAGTTAGGATCCAATTACAAGATATGCAACCTGAGTCTCACATTCGAAGTATGGAGTTTATAAGGCTTTAAGCTCTCCAACAACAATAGCTACCTTTTGCAGTATGGTTCTCCTAAGTATCTTATGATACTAAGGATGTGATTATTCCGTGACTCCCTCTATTATCCATGTCTACTCTCCCGTTCTCCATTCATCTACTAAAATAGAAGGACATGTAAACGTTGTTATTTATCCTGTTGTGATACTGATTAATTATTCGGTATATTTTTCTTTTTAAGTTTGAAACTTTTTAAACTTTCAGCTACTATCTAATATCTAATATTGTTTTAAAAAATATTTCAATTTTCAGGGGAACTCAAAAAGTGCTATAAGAGGATGACAGCATGGCACCAACTCTTGAAAACTTGAGAGCTTTTCTTTTTATTTGAAGAGACCTGTTCATGAATAAAGTTTACGTGTATATGGCTGCAGGAACTGTGGTTCTTGAGTTACACGTAAGTGTGTTTTCTGAATAAAATTGTCACCGTATTTTTATAACAGATCATGTGTGCTTGGCTTTTAAGGTGCTATGTGTGATTCGTGTCTATTTCCATTTTTGTTGATATTGGAAATTAATTCCTGTGTTTTCTTAAAGAATATTAAAGTGGTTCATGTGTTTTTGTTAGCTGGTATACAAGTTTAGTTTATCTTCTTTTGTAGAATTTCTTTTAAGACTTCTCAGTTTTTGATGATATAATTTGAATAATTACTATAATTTTCCACTCAATTTTCTTATACGTCTATTTTTATTTTATTTTTTCATTCTCTCTTTCTTCTGTTCTTATCAAGATTTTCACTTATTTCACTCCGCCAAGAAAAATAATCATTTTTTTAAATATGGGTGAAGGGCACAGAGAGATATGAAAAGAGAGAGAGAAAAGTAAAACATAGAATAAATAATGCTAAAGAAAATGAAAAAAAAAGTGAAATAGATAAAAGAAGAGTGAATATAAAAATATAATACAAATTTTATATCCCACATGGATATATTTTTCATATAATCCATAAATTTTGATAAATTCATAATTTTGATGTCACAAATGTTATATCAATATCTACAAGCACTCTTTTAAACATAATTTTAAATAAAAAATTAAAGATAAATTATTTTAAAACAAACTTAATTACTCAAAATAATTTAGACTTTGTTTAGAAGTTGATTTTTAAGAAGAGAAGGAAAGAAAAAATGTACACGATTAATTATTATTAATTTGAGAGCTTTTAAATGAGAAAGAAATAGTTTATAAACTATTTAAGACCTTCTTGATATTATATTTCTTAAATTCTCTTAATTTGTATAATTTTGTATTAAAATCTTTCTTTCTCCTCCTTTTTTTCTCTCTTTTCTTACTTTTTAAACACTTTTCTTTTCTTTTTTTCTAAACTCCTAAACAAAATCTTCAAATGCACCAGCTTGTATTTATTTCAAGTCAACTCTACGAAGCATGATACATATTGAGTGAGTTCAGTTCAACTAATTTAATGGGCTTGACCTTGGTGTTATTTGTCTCGATTAGACCAAAAAAAAAATAAATAATAATAATAACACAGGATTTTGATGTGATAATTCACATTTTCATTAATATTAACATTAATTTTTTAAAAATAGAAGTGAAATTCTAGAAAAATTATGTAAAATAAAAAAATTATAAAAAGCAAAAAATGTATAGAATTTAGAGTATTTTAGTTGAGTCTAATTCATCACGTTGATCTTTGTATATTGGATTGAAAATAGTATAAACAAATAAAATATTTGAAACATTTCATTTAAAAAATTTAAAACTAATCTAATTAATGAGAAATTAATTTAATGGTGGCTTACTATTATCTCCTCTAATTCTATATATTAATTGTGAATTCTCACTCTTAAGTGAGAGCATTTTTAAGAATTATTATATTTTTCATTATTATTACTTTTCTTGCTTTAATTATATAATTTTTTAATTTAATAAATTATATTTTAAATTTCTCATAACGTATTTTTAAATTTTAAAAAACTGTTATTATTATCTCTTTAATTTAGTCATATATAATAGAATAGAATATTATTATTATTATTATTATTATTATTATTATTATTATTAAAAATATACTATTTTTAATTTAAGTCATGCTAATATACATATTTTTCACTTAAAATTTTAATTTAATAATATATGTGAAATATATGGAAAACTCACTATTTTTATTTGATAATAACTTATTAAAAATTTAAGTAATAGTTAGAAAATAAAAGAAATCAATAATTAATAGTTAATAATATCTTTTGAATGAATAAATATTTAAGAAAGTAATTAATATTAATTTGAATTTTGGTTTATTTAGTGTCTTTTTTCTAAGGTCAAATATCATTTTGTGTCTTAAATTAAAAGAATTCAAGACTAACTTTTGTTCGCAATTCATGAACCCCCAGGATATTCTTGATAAGGTGACATTCGAACATCACTTTCTACTAACCTTGCATGCAATGGCTTTATATCACTACGCCAATCCTTCGAGTTCTTCGTTTGATTAGTTTAAAATTGAATAAATTTAATTTGAAAGTTTTAACAAAAATAAAATAAAATAAAAATCGAGTTTATTGCAAAATATTTCATTTACAGTTATACTAGGTCATGTGAAAAGTTAAATAAAATTATTTTACTTACAATATAGAAAACTATTATAATTGACGTATGTGAGAGACTTAACGTAGGAAGTCCAATAGAATTCAATAAATATTGAGAAGACTGATTATAATAGACTTTTGAATTATTGTAGTCTTTTATTAGTGAATCCAGCGAGTTTGATATAGTATCTGCAATTCAATATTTGTATTGATTTAGTATATAACGTTGTTCTTCTCTTCCAAAATTAATGGAAAATTGATTGTAATTGACTTCACTGTACGTCAAAGAAGTTGTGTGTATGTTGAACTAAGACATTCCATATTCACGGCATCATTTTAAATATTGCAATGCAATTGAGCTGATTATAACATTTTGCAAAACTAATCACGAATGTCTACCTGCATCTGCTGCACCAAGTCCTCCATATTTGTAATCACAACTTTTTCCTTTATATAAGTTTATTATATAGCTGATCCATTTAGCTTCAATGGACTGAAAGAAACTAACGGTGTTTTCATTTTTCTTCTGTAAATCGTGTACGGAAAAAAGAATCAGTATCTATCTAACATCTTTATTCTGTAAATCTTGTAAACAAAATTTTCCTTCAAAATGTTCTTATGACATAACCACAACCAACTACGTACACATTAACTATGATTGTATTGTGCCAATATTTGAAAAAAATGAAACAATAAGTAATTGGTATTCAAACAAAGATAGTGAACGTGTTAAATGACATCTGTTTTTGAGATAAACAAGACTATGATATTCCGAAGTGACTCTTAAGTTGATCCGTGTCCAATTTTAAATGATTTTGACTACTTTTTAATTGGTTTTCTGCTTCATTAATTTTTTTTTAGGCTAATCAAACCAGTTATCTGATTGATTCTTAATCCAACCAATTAAACCGATCGAGCCAATCCAATTTTAGCAATTTTAGTGGTAATGAAAAATACAAAAAAATATGTGAAAAAATACAAGCTTAACTAATGAAATTTCTCAAGACGACTTCAGAAGTCGTCTCAAAGTCGTGCGTAATAGTTCTATAATAATATATGATAAAGAGTGGTTGGTAGATGCAGATGATTGATGTTTACTTGTTAGATGACATTTTTCACACCCTTTCTGCATTAATGGCAAGGTTAATGACTCAGGCATGTTATCATACAGTTTAATAGAAAAAACTGAAATAGAGAGAAAAGAAAAAATCGTACACAACATTTTGGATCTGCAAGATCAAGATGATAAGGCCTTGGATTGGAAGCAATAGGTGGAAACCGAGGTGAATTAGCTGCTGTTGACGACCACGACTTGGGAGGTGAATAAAATTCACCGTATTAACGAGACAACTGTATACCAATAGCCATCATAATTATAAACATAGACTTGACTCTGGTCGCTATTGCGCAGCTATAAACGTTTACTTTACGAATCGACAAGACAAGGATTTGGGAAAAACGTTGATCCCCGGCCCTTCTATTCTTTCCTTGATCTTTCTTCGTTCGTTCCAATAACATGCATGCAAAATGGACCATTCTACTTCTTCCTTTAAGTAACCAGTTTCAAGTTATTTTCGTTGATCAATTAAACTGCATCATGGCACTGCAAGAAAACAGTTCAGAAACAAACACCTTATCAACTATGAAGAAATATTTGAAGTCAGCAGTAGCTTCATTCCGTAATCTATTCGTCTTCTCTATGTCTATGCCTTTCATCGGCGGTAATAATTGAAGATTGTGCACTAAATTATTGTAAATAACACTAAAAATGCCTAAACAGGTGTACTTAGAATTATTTTTTTTCCTTTCAATTAGCTCACCCGTTATATATTCTCAGGTTTGATTGTTAGCTTCACCTTTGCGAAATATGCGGTGGTGTCTATCTTGATGAATTACTTGACAGATATAATGGGTAAGGACGACCTACGGTTAGCTGCTGTTGTTACAATTCTGCAAGATGTTCTATCATCTTTCTTTGCTGTTGCTGTTTGTTTAGTCTCAGAAGCATACACGGGTTGCTTCAGTACGATCACATTATGTGCTACGGCTTCACTCATGGTAAATTATTATTTATATATGTGAAATATTATCGTTTATTTTAAGTTACTAAACTAGTAAGATTTTATTGTTCAAAAATATTTATCATCAATAGTTGTTACAAAAAAAAAACTATTATTTCTTAAGAATAACACAATTTTTTTATTTTAATTCCTCCGTTAATATAAAATATATAATTTTATCCTCTTGTTAATTAGTGATTAATAACACATGTTTTTAAGTATCTTTTAAAGACTAAAACTTTGATATTTTTAACATCGATTCTTAATATTGAATTTAGACATATATAAAAATAATAACATTTTTCGGTAAAATTTTATTATTTCAGTTGTTTAGTCTGATCGCTGATTTATCATGCATAGCTTGCAATCAACACTTGACAAAACCCAAAAATCCCATTCTATTTGCAGGGGATAATGCTACTGTGGGTAGATGAGACATCAGGTTCATTTTCGGATTCACAATACATCGTCTATGTAGCAATAGTGCTCCTTGCGTTAGGGGGTAATGGCAAAACGCTTTCACAAAATTTTCTTGAATATCAGTTGCGAGAGAAAGCGAAAGCCAAAAAAGAAAGCGCGCAGAACACAGAATCCAACGACGTGGATGACAACATTCTCACTAAAATTTGGGTGTTCGTTCCACGGATTATTGGATACATCACAACAACTATATTTGTCTATGCATATGAAGGCAAAATGTATGTGCACAACTTCCAATTTGGAGCACTTCTGATGGGAGCGACTTATCTGTTCTTCTACTTTGGATATCCATGGTATAGGCATGAAGAATTTGGTTTTGAAAGCAATGCACACAAGATATATAGAGTGTGCAGAACAGCTTTGAGGAGGCGCAAATTCACATATCCAACATCATGGGATGGGTATTACTGGAAGACTTATAAGCAGCCAAATTTGCCTGATCATAATGGTAAGCAACTAAGATTATCGCCTCAAATTCCAAGACTATTCAGGTGGTTGGACAAGGCAGCTATAGTTAAAGTTGGTAAGAGTCCCCATAGAGAAGAAGAGAAGGGGGAGCTATGTGTGGTTAAGGAAGTGAGGGAAGTGAAAAGCCTTGTTCCTTTGATCTACTTGGGGTATTTTACCTTCTTTGCTTATAGTTTACTTGTGGCCGCTGGCAACACTTTCTTTGTAGCACAAACAACATACTTGCGATCCAGTTTTAAAACTGATAATGATATTACCGTTCTCTTTTTGATCCAATCCGCTTCGCTTCATTTTTCACAATTCATATGCTTTCTACTCAGATTTTCATTTCCAAACTTGAAAAAAGCCAACAGAAAAGCAGCCACAATTACAAGGATTGGTACTGGCCTGGTTTTTGCGGTAATTTGCTGCTTAACAGCGTGGAAGGTGGAGGTTCGTAGATGGTCATTGATAGAAGAAGAAGAAAAAAAAAGGGCACTCCAAGACCTGGAAACAATTAACATGACTACAATTACCTTATTTCCACAATTTATACTGTGGGGAGTAGCGGAGGGACTTGCTCAAAATGGGTTAACGATTTTATTCCATGAACATGTAGCTGAATCCATGAGGACTTTTGAGGAGTCCTTCATTGAATTGGGGATTGGTATTGGAAAACTTGGTAGCGTACTACTTGTCTTCATTTTTAAAGTCGAGAGTGCAAGTATGACCAGTATTTTCTGACGTTGGCAGTATTAAACATTATTTTCCTTCTCTTCTTTCTGTACTACTCCTTAAGATATACTTACAAGGAAGAATATAAGGAGGATGAAAAAATTCCGACGGAGGATGAAGAAATTCCGACGAAGGATGAAGAAATAATGACGGAGGGTGAAGAAATTCCGACGGAGGGAAGAGTGAATCATGCTCATCATATGGACATAGCGGAAGTGGCCACAGAAGAAATTCCGACGGAGGATAAAGAAATTCCCATGAGGAATTAATGAAATCCTAAATTTTAAGAATAAATTATCTTTTTTATTTTATAAAATAAAAATTAATGAGCACTAGCTTATAGGAAGAGTGACAAATTTTAGGGAAAAAATAGTTATTTTATACAACTACATTTTTAAAACTCAAATTTAAGAGTATTTTTAACTGAAATAATTTTTCGCTAATTGATTTACGTGCACATTCCGTTGTCATTCATAACATGATTTTGGGGAATAACATAAAAATCATTTTAAATTTCTTTCATTGATTTTTTTAGTCATAAAAGAAAATTAGTATTTTTATTTTAAAATATTAATAGGTGGAAGAATAAGACAGAAAAAATAGAAAAAGTTATTAATGTTAGGACTAGAGTACCAGTATGATAACTCACAACTATAAGAGACTACTACTATCAAGTACAAGATCTCAGTGTAATACAAGAGTGAGAGGGAAAGAAGATTTGGGATGAATGGATAAGGGGGCCCAAGACTCTATATATAGCATAAGAGGGGTCCTCCCATTTTTTACCCCACACGATGTGGGACTAACAATTCTCTCACTTGAAGATTATGATTAAGTTAATCATATCTTCACACATTACAATTATATGTTACTTATACTTTTAATAGGCCATACAAGGATCGATACCATGTAAACTTGTCAATATTGACTGACTTTGTTATTATGTCTACTATGTTGTCTTTGGTATGAATCTTCTGCATATCAACTCTTCCTTCCTCTACTACTTCATGAACAAAATGATATTGTATGCCTATGTGCTTTGTTCTAGAATGAAAGGCTGGATTCTTTGCAATATACAAAGCACTTTGATTGTCACAATACACAGTAGTAGTCTGTTGTTTGTCCCTAAGTTCCTTCAATAGCTTTTGAATCCAGATTGCTTCCTTGCATGTCTCAGTAGCTGCCATGTATTCAGCTTCTGTAGTAGACAAAACTATAACAGTCTGCAACTTAGATAACCGGCTTACTGCCCTTCTAGCAAGTGTAAACACATAATCAGTAGTAAATTTTCTTTTATCCAGATCTCCTGCAAAATCTGAATCAACATAGCCTTTCACAATAAATTCTGATCCTTCAAAACATAATGCAACATTAGCGGTTCTTTTTATGTATCTAAGGATCCTCTTTGCAATATTCCAATGCTCTCTACCAGGATCTGCCATAAAGCTACTGACTGCTACCACTGCTTGTGCAATGTCTGGTCTAGTACAAATCATGGCATACATAAGACTTCCCACTGCTTATGCATACGACACTTGAGACATTTTCATCCTCTCTGCTTCATTGCTAGGCTTCATACTTGAGGATAATTTGCAATTGACAGGAAGTGGGATAGAAATTGGCTTACAATCTTGCATGTTAAAGCGCCGCAAGACTTTCAGTAAATAATTCTTCTAAGAAAGCCAAATCTTTCTATCTTTTCTGTCTCGGTGAATTTGCATCCCTAAAATCTTGTTTACTGATCCCAAATTCTTCATATCAAACTCCTTAGCCAATTGTGCCTTTAATTCTTGGATTTGTTCTTTATTGGGGCCTACCACCAACATGTCATCCATATACAACAACAAAATGATGAAATCATTTTCATCAAATCTATTGTAATACGTACAATGGTCTGACTTTAGTCTGTTGTAACCAAGGCTAATAATGAAGGAATCAAATCTCTTATACCAACATCTCGGCGCCTGGTTTAGCCCGTATAGAGATTTGGTCAACCTGCAAACTAAGTTCTCTTTTCCTTGTTCTTTAAAACCTTCTGGTTGGAGCATATATATTTCCTCTTCAAGTTTTCCATGGAGAAAAGCAGTCTTTACATCAAGTTGCTCAAAATGTATATAAAATGCAGCACACATTGCTAGAAAAATTCTGATTGTGGTTAATCGGACTACTGGAGAGAACATCTCGTTGAAATCAATGCCTTCTTTTTTAGCATATCCTTTAACTACTAATCTTGCACGATATCGCTCCACTTGATCGTTACCATCTTGTTTGATTTTGTAGACCCATTTACAACCAATGGCTTTTCGATCTTTTGGAAGTTCAACAAGTTCTCATGTCTTGTTTTTATGTAAGGCCTCAATTTCTTCCTGCATTGTTGTCATCCATAATGAAGCATCTGAACTCCTCAAAGCCTCATGAAAGGTTGATGGTTCACCCTCTTCATTTAGAAGACAATATGCATCATGGCTTGTCATAACATAGTTTGAGTGCCAAAATGGTCTCCTTATCTCACGTCTTGTTTGTTGAGCTTCTCTATCATTAGCATCATTTGGTTCTTGTTCTCTGTGCTCTTGTTCTGCTTCAGATGTGTCATCTTCTTTATACTTCCTTTTTATTACTACTGAAGTAGTGTCTTTGGTAGTACTGTCATCTTTTTGCTCCTTTTGCAGTTCATTTTCTGCAAAGACTACATCTCTGCTAACAACAACCTTGCGGGTAGTGGGATCCCACAAGCGATACCCCTTAACATTGTCAGCATAACCCAAGAATATACATTTCCTAGATTTTTGATCCAGTTTTGTTCTTTCTTGGGAATTATACATTATGTACACAAGACATCCAAACACATGTAATGAAGAATAATTAGGTGACTTTCCATTTCATACCTCCATTGGTGTCTTCAAACCAATTGTTGTTGATGGTGATCGGTTTATCACGTAACAAGTAGTTTTCACTGCTTCTGCCCACAAAGATTTGGCCACTCCTGCTGTTCTTAGCACAACTCTTGTTTTTTCTAGAAGAGTTTTGTTCATCCGCTTTGCTACACCATTCTGCTGAGGTGTATAAGGCACTGTGAATTGCCTTGAAATACCCTCTTGCTTGTAGAATGCCAGAAAATCACCATCTACATATTCTCCCACATTGTCTGTCCTTAAGCACTTAATTCTTTTTCCAGTTTCAAGTTCTACTAGTGTTTTGAATTCCTTGAACATTGGAAACACATCTGACTTCTTCTTGATTGGGTACACCCACAATCTCCTTGAGTGATCATCAATGAATGATACAAAATATTTTACTCCTCCAATAGATACTTCCGGTGATTCCCATACATCAAAATGAATTAAGTCCAATATGTGTCTGCTTCTTGTAGTCACTTTGGCAAACTTCAATCGATGCTGCTTACTTGCACACAGTGCTCACAAAATGGTAAGGTTACCATTTTGAGCCCTGGTAAAAGATTACGTTCTGCTAGATTTTTCAGGCCTCGTTCTGACATATGACCAAGTCTAAGATGCCACATCATTGTTTCTTCTTGACTAATTGCAACTGATGCATCTGCTTCTTGCAACGTATCTCCCAAAAGCATGATAAATTAGTTGTGATCTTTTCTGCTTTCATCACCACCAAGTTGCCTTTAACCACTTTCAAGATTCCACCTTCAATGTAGATCTTGCAATTGAGGTTATCCAATTGCCCAACGAACAATAGATTCTTTTTCAAGCCCTTCACATGTCGTACTCCTTGAATTGTACGAACAGTACCATCATGCATTTTCAATTTGACAGTACCAATTCCAGCAATTTCTAGGGCATAATCATTTCCCATGAACACGGATCCTCCCGAGATAGGTTCATAATTGTAAAACCAGTCTCGATATGGAGTCATGTGCCAGATTGCACCTGAATTCAATATCCAACATTCATGGAGTTGTCTTCCACCTCTAGAATTTATTACTACTTCACTATATAAGATTTCACCATCATCTGAGGTACTTGCAACACAACCTTGAGTGGTTGATGCTTCAGTATTCTTCCCTCTTCTACTCTTCTTGTTCCAACAATCTTTCTTCACGTGCCCTCTCTTACCACAGTGGTAGCATTTGAGGTTCTTCCTTCTCTGAAATTTTGATTTACCATGATTCTAACTCCCACTGGAACCACGTTCCATTGATCTTCCTCTCATCATCGTCAATGCTTTTGCTTGTTTAGAATTTTTCAGTCTATCTTCCTTATTCTTTCGCCTGGATTCTTCTTCAAGAACTGCTCCAACAACATCATCAAAGGCCCTAAACCCTAAACGACCGATAATGTTGTTGTTTGTTATATTGATGATGAGTTGATCATATGAATCTGGTAAACTCTCGAGTAGAAGCTCCGCATGTTCATTTTCTATTATGTTGAAATATGCGGCTGTAAGCTAAGCAAACAATGTATTCAGATTGTTGATGTGGACTCACTCATTCGAAGAGTGTAGAGTTTCCTCTTCAAGAATATTCTGGTGTGAAGTGACTTGACCTCGTACAACTTGATCATTGTGTCCCAAATCTCCTTTGCAGTCTTCTTCTCTGCAACACTGGATAACACTGAATCTGCCAATGCTAAGTGCAAATTGGCAACAGCATTATTATCCATTTCTCTCCATTTTTCTTCTGAAATATCTGCGGGTCTGCCTTCAATTGCATCAAGACAATTGTCTTTCCTCAAAATTGCTCTTATTTTCAATTTCCACAAGGAGAAATTACTCCCATAAAATTTCTCTATCTCATATTTTGCTTCCAGAATTTCTTTCTTAATTATAACGACTTATGTAACTTTCACTGTGAATAGTACTACCTACTGGAACAATAATAATGATAAACTGTGAATAAGTACACACTAGATATACACTTTTACACTACCAAAATTGTTACCCAGTAACAAGAATAATTCTTTTTTGATGTGGCAGATCAGACAATACTGCAACCACTCCTCACTCTTTTAGGATCAGAGTACCAGTATGATAACTCATAACTAAAATAAAGATGAGAAAAATAAGAACTAAAAGAGAGATAATAAAGAAAATATAAAAATATTTTCTAAAGAAAAATTACACCACTCCTCACTTTAAAATTTACTCCTTAATACAAGAGACTACTATTATCAAGTACAAGATCTCGGTGTAATACAAAAGTGAAAGGGAGAGAAGATTTAAGATGAATGGATATGGGGGCCCAAGACTCTATATAGCCTAAGAGGGGTTCTCCCATTTTTTACCCCACACGATGTGAGAC